TTCATTCATTCATTCATTTCATTCATTCATTCATTCATTCATTCATTCATTCACTCACTCACTCACTCATTCATTCATTCATTCATTCATTCATTTCATTCATTCATTCATTCATTCATTCACTCACTCACTCACTCATTCATTCATTCATTCATTCATTCATTCATTCATTCATTCATTCATTCATTCATTCATTGCTCTCTCTCTTTCTCCCTCTTTCTCTCTGTCTTTCTCTCTTCTCTTTCTCTCTTTCTCTTCCTGTTCCGTGCAACTTCGTATTCCTCCTCTTCGCCCGTTTAGGGATGGCCTCTTCCCCCTCTCGTTCTTCGACTTCGGTGGTGTTCGTCTACGAGGTTTAGGACGTTTTGCGCTGAGGGCTGTTGCCCTCCGAGACCCTAAGCCTGGTTCTGTCGTTCTTGTTTCTTGGTTGGGGTTTTGCCCTCGGAGACCCAACCTGGGGCCTTTTTGCTTTGTTTTGCTTTGTGTTGCTGTTGGGACTTCGCCCCGCGGGTGCGTGTGCGGAGTTCCTGATCTACCCAGGAACCGCTTTTTTTACAGTCTAGAGAGAAGCCACCTGTCTCTCCACTCGAACCTGTTGACTCAACTAATGTTTGCTCGAATGTAAGACTTGCTCTTTTTTGGAGACATTTCAGTGTTTGGTGTCTGTGTGGGCTGTGTATGTGTGTTGCGCCTGTGTGTGTGTTGTGAACAGATGCGTTTTGTGCGCGTGTCTCCTGTCTGTGTGTCTTCGTCTGTGCCTGTGTCTGTCTTTGTGCCTGTGTGTCTCTATGTGGGTCAGATTGTGGGTCAGGTTGTGGGTCACCGTGTGTGTGTGTGTGTATGCGGGTCCCGGTGTGCCTGCGTGAGTGCCGGAATGAGTGCCTGCATGTGTGCCTGTCTGCCTGTGTGCCTGCGTAAGCTCGTGCGTGCGTGTGTGGGTGCGTGGATCCGTGGGTGGGTGGGTGGGTGGGTGGGTGGACGGGTGGGTGTGTGTGTGCCTATTTGCGGGTGGTGTGTGTGTGTATCTGTCTCTCTGTGTCCGTGTGTCTGTGTCAGCGTCTGTCCTTTGCACTCCTCTACGTGTATGTGTTTGTGTGCGTGGGTGTGTGTTTGTATTTCAATGTGTCTGTGTGTGTCTGTCAGCCTCGGTGTGCATATGTCTGAGTCCGTGTGTCTGCGTATCTCTGTGCCAGCGTTGTGGTGTATGTGTGTGTGTGTGGCCGTGTGTCTATGGGTCTGGTTGTCTGTGTGTCTCTAGGGCATGCCTACCTGTTGCTCCATCGAGTTCTTTTGCTGGGCCCCGAAGCATTGGGTTAATCGCTACACGGTGATACGCTTGGCTACTGGAAACACGCTGCAATTGGCAAACATGCACCTTGGAAGATCCCAAACTTTGTGTGCCAAATGGCAAAAGTCTGATGGGGTCTAGGAGATGACCGCACCAAAATGGGGGGGTGGAGACGATATCTTGCCATCTACCAACTCCCCCAACTCAGCTTCCCCCTCATGGTTCGGAGCTTTGTGGTTTGGAAGTTAGGAAGAACCAGGGGCCCAATCCAAGCCACCAACCAAGGCTTGCCTGACCAAGACTTGGTCTCTGCAGAGAAACCTTCTCCTGGTTGCCAGCCGGATCCCGAAGCTTTCGCCAAACTCTAAGATGTGCCACGCGTTTTCCTTTGGCGCTCCATCCACGCTCTCAAAATAAGGCGAAGGCCAGGGCCAACGGCACATTGATACTTGGGCGCTCTGCCCTGTATTTGCAGGCCATGATAGGCCATATGTCCCTTGCTTGTTGCCCCTAACGGGAAAAGCACAGCTTGCTTCAGGCCTGAGTCCCTAATTCTTCAGCTGCGCTCCTTTCTCCTGAGCCATAAATTCGGCCCCTTAATGCATCCTAGGCTTGCTCCCACAGGTCGAGAACTTAATTTTGCGTGATGGAAATAACATCCTTTTCTCGGGCCCCGAAGACACACACTGGTCTGTTCCTTGTCTGCTCTCTTTGCTTTCGCCTGCCAACCTCCCGAAAAAACGCTGGCAACCGGGAAAGCCGGAACGTATGGAGTACGGACAGGCGACGTGGAAACGTTGGATGCGGCGTTAAATTCCATGTCCGGCTTGTTTGCAAACCGGCCTTCCGGAAATCGGTTGGGTGAAAATTTTGCGGAGCCGATGTCCAACTTGCGGTTAGTTTCCATAGGTGGCTTTTTGGAGAAACTGACCTGGTAAATGGAATAAACCCAATCTAACCCAGGGTCCTCTATGTTTTAAGAAAAACCCAGCCAGAAAGGACACCTATGTTAGTTTCCTTTTGAGGTGTTGTTTCATGTTGAACCCAGATAATAAACCCCTGCTTATCAATATGGAGGTGTTCCCTTCCAAAAGTGATGATTCCCATTGAAACCAGGGACACCCCCATATTAATAAACATGGGTTTATTAATGGGTACCTGGCGACCTTGCGACGACCGGATCCCCGTCGATCGTTCCCCGGGCTCCGCGGCAGATCTTTCCGGGTGCTCCCGATTCCAGCCGGCGACGAGCCCCCCGCTGAGCACCTGCCGGTTTCGATCGACTCAAGGGGTTGCACAAAAACCAGTATGTGAGTCACACTTCAAAACCTTGTACCCTCACTCCAACTAACGTGGCAGTGTGGGAGGGTACGTGGAAGATCAAGTTCCTCTTGGAGGGATCCCCTTTCAGGTGTCATGTTGGTGGGAGAGAGGGTACACTGCCTGGAATTAAACAGGAAGTCCGTGCTCTCAGAAGTCGACCATCTCCTAACATAGAATTTGTGCCAGGTGCCACGGCAATCCTGGCATTTCCCAAAACAACCCTAGATTCTTCGGGGGGCCGGTTTCGAGCCTGCACTTCCATGTAAACGAAAAAACGTGAGTGAACATACACGTTCTGACCGACGCAAGTGTCCTAACAGAGAACCTGAAAATGGGCCCTGCACTTCCATGTAAAGGAGCGCACGTGTGCTTAACATGGAAGTGCAGCTCGTCGTTATCCCTATTGTTTTTGTGGGTCAATAGGGAAACTATGATTTTGTTAGGAGCAGTTTTGCATGTCCCTGAGAAAAGTCGTGAAGCGGCATTTTTCCGGTACGCTTAAAATTACGGTGCGTCCGCCCGCTAATGCTAAAAATTGCGAGTCAATCTCACCCCCCACATGCCCAGTCGTACGTCGTACCTAGGTGGGGTTCTGGGCCAGTTCCGGAAGGGGTGTGGGGGGGGAGTTCGGTTTGTGTTTGGGGGGGAGTAGGGTTTTTGAGGGTTTAAGGGAGCCGTTGCCGAAACCATTGTCGGAAGTGAGCTGCGTGTTCTGAAATGCGGAAGCCGGCCAAACATTTTCAGGGACTTCTTTGTTTGCATTTATCAAAAGCCTGTTTTTTCTACCAACCTGCAAAACAAATAGAACCTTCGGAGCTTCCTGTTTAATTCCAGGGAGTGTAGTAAAAATAGTCTGCGCAAACTAATGCTTTTTGAACTAGAAAGGGGGCCGCACCTAATGCTCGTTGAGACTGTCCCTAGCCTTCAGTTACCCGGGTTTTGAGTATGGCGCATGTGTCTGCCCCAGTGCTTCCAGTTACCACGGGAAACCAAAGTTTCTTGCCCCTAATCATGGCTTCCCGTGCTAACCTACAATAGTGGCAACTGGAAGCACTGGGGGTGTCAAAGAGGGCCCCCCTGCTTCTTTTCCTGTTGGCTTCCCAGTCTAACTTGAAAAGGCAGGGTGTGATTTGTTCTGAGGGTCGTGAACCCGGTCGTTCATAACTATGGACGTGCATCTCTTGAAGTTGGCTTTTTTGATGGGGGACACATGGACATTTAGGGGAATTCATGTCCAACATTGTCCAACCACCTTCGAGGCGGGTCCCTAACCACTTTGAGCACACGCTCATGCTAATCAGCTAATCATCAATGGGTTGATAGAATCCGGGGCATGCGAGATTCAAAACAAAACAAACAAACCATGCCTTTGCACAGAAGCAGGTTTCTGAAAATGATGTACCCCTCTTGATTGGGAGGGGCTTTGAAGGGACAATTAAAAGCAACCAGCCCACTTTTGGTGGTCTTTTCGTGCAATGGCCCCGAGTTCGCTCCAAGCTCAGCGTTCGTTCCTCATGGTGACCTCACCGTCATCGCGCCTTCTTCACCATCATGGTGACGCCATCGGTGAGGTCCACATCGATGCCCAGGGAGGTGACGGTGGTGGTCTTGACCTTGAGAAGGACACTCTGCAGGAAAACCCTGAGGTTTTTGGTTTGCATTACATCCCCTGAATTTTTGGTGGGTGTGAGGCGTAGCAAACAGGTGCAGAAGACAAGGAATCCTTCTGGACGTCCAGCCGCGTTTGAGGCTTAGGAGCAGCTCACAGTGGAAGTCGGGAGTGACCCTTCAGCTCAATGCGTGGAGGTCAGAGAATGCCGCGATAGGCAGGGAATGAGACATCGAATGACACGGATAGCCATCCAACTGGTGGTTTCCTTGAAGCTTTAAGGGAATCCCTGGGTTCATTCCCACCATCCCCTCAGGCACCAGCAAGGAGAATAACATGTCCACCCCTGACTGGAAAAATATGTTTGGAGACTCCAGTTCGCCCCAAACCGGGCCGATCGAGTGGACCAACCTCAAGCCCTTTTTTGGGGGGCGTACGTGTTCACTTGCAGGGGTGTCCACGTCCGGAGTTTATCATTTCACCAGCAACCCAGTTTGAACAGTGTGTTACGCCTCCTAGCCAAACGGGACTCCAACAATGGGCGTGGGTCGTTTCCCAAACCAAGATCTCGAAAACGAGCTTGTGCGTGGGGTGTCTCTACTTTCTTCCGGGCGGAGTTCAACAACGTCGCAAACCGCACATTGCTGACGAGGTACGGTTGTTTCTTGGCAAGAAGGTGGGAACCATAATAATATTATTGTGGCTCGCGGCCGGCTTGCGTGTGACATTGGACAATTACGCAAGGCTCCGCAAAAGGATTGCCAGGACTTTCTTGAGCTCCTTCAAACCGTTGATTGGGTCTTTGTTTCTCTTGACATTAGCGCTATTAAGCATGCGCAAGGACGTACAGACCTCTTTCTGCGCGGCATAGAGTTCACCCGGATCGATAAACCCGGGTTGACCATTGGAAAGGTGTCACCATTGCAGTGGGAGCCCCCAAATAACACCCCCATATTCTCAGCTTCCTTCGTGGTCTGGTTGGTGGCTTGGTAGTTTGGGTGATTTGACATTTACCCTCCACAAGAACCAGGGCTTCAACTCCAACTTCAAACCGATCCGAGCCAATGAAGGGGCACCTGATATTACTGGGCTGCCCTCAGATCCCCTGCTACAAGTTTGATTTTTAGTGGGTCAAATGGAAACCCAACCACTAAACACTCAAAGTCTAAAAAGCTAAGGAACCGGACGGCTGGGAGCCACCAAGATTAGGATGGGCTTACTGCGGGAGCTCCTGACCTTCGAAAGCACTCTGGGCCCTGGAGCCACGTCGATGCTGAAGTAGTGGTGCTCGGGCTCCACCATCTGGCGAAGGCCGTCTTTTGTTTTTCGATTTCGCGCCAATTCCTCCCCAAACAAAATAAGCTCAGGTGATATCCCCGGCAGCATGCCGTGCTCTTTTTAACCCCGCGGAACCCTGGTAGAACCCTGGTGGAACCCTGGTAAAATTTTGGTGGAACCCCCGGACCAACCCGAGCCTATCTGGGCTGAGACCTCGAAGATGTCAGCTGTTGGGGAAAAAACGGCGCCCAAAGATGAAGCGAGGGTCATGATGGCATTGGTGGATGACGTGCTAAAATGGATCACTTGTTTGGGCTTCACCCAGATGTTCGAATCCTCGATCCATAGTGGGACACCGCTACAAGGGACGCCATGACTATTTGTTTAGGTTTTGTGCAGAACGTTGTTAGAAGATTGAGGCGGCAGCAAGGACCAACAAAAGGAGGGCAAACCAGAACAGAGACCCGGCTTTGGATGGTAAAGGGTGACAGTTCTGTCCTCGCCAAGATTTTGGCCACAAGGTCAATTCGAGAGCACCCAACAAGGACACTAGTCCAAAGGGAGCACCCCCACATTGGATCGTGTCCCTTTCGGTTCCCTTTCAACCCCCAAAAAGGGGGGTTCCCACTTCGGAAGGGAAGCGAATGAGAAAAACTCTGAACTGATCCCTTGGACATCGAACGTTCCTTGGGGGTTCCTGTCTGAACATTTGGGAGTGTTCCCTGAACAATGGGACCTTGGTTTTTGCCAAATGCCAGACTCCATCAGCCATGACAAAGCCCGTTTGTTCAACCTTTTGACCAACAGTTTCCCATGTTTTTCGCATGTTGCCATGGGGGCCGAGTGGGGCCGGTAGGCAGGAAGAACATCCGCGCGGAAAACCGCGAATTAAGCGAGAGCGACCAATTCGTTTAGCCCGTCCGCCTGCACCAAGGCGGGGTGCTTCACTATCTTCACCTCATCCACCACCTCATCGCTCACCTGCGACCAGATCGCCGGAAGCGCCGCTTGCGCCGCTTTGGCACCCGCCATTATGGATGTTAAAATGCAGCAAGATCTCCCACATAGAAAGGGAGCACAAATTAGACCAATGTGTAAAAGAGCATTTTATGGTTGTCAACTTGGCTCACAATCCATATCTTTAATTTATTGTACAGTACCAGACACATCACAACACAACATGGTGTATTTAGTGCATTGCGTAGTAAAATAGAGGTGAAATATAGCCTGGGTTGCGACCACGCTGGAAGGGACCGGTGACTCATTTCTGAGAGTGCCATACGCTGGGCCATGGTCGGAGGAGCCCTTCCCATTTTCAAAATGCCGCTTGATCCCACACTAAAGGCGAGAGATCTCAGGGGGGAAAAGGCCTTAAGATCTGAGGGGGGGAAAGGCCTTAGGGGGGAAAGGGGGAAAGGATCTCAACAGGGAAAGGGGGCAAAGGATCTTAGGGAGGAAAAGGGAGAAGATCTGAAAAGGCCTTGGGGGGGAAAGGGGGAGAAAGGATCTCAACAGGGACAGGGAGAAAAGATCCTAGGGAGGAAAAGGGAGAAGATCTCGGGGGGAAAGGGGGAAAGGATCTCAACCGAGGGAAAAGATCGTGGGGAGGAAAAGGGAGAAGACCTCAGGGGGGGAAAGGCCTTAGGGGGGACAGGGGGGAAAGGATCTCAACAGGGAAAGGGGGGAAAACATCTTAGGGAGGAAAAGGGAGAAGATCTTGGGGGGGGAAACGCCTTAGGGGGGAAAGGGGGGGAAATGATCTCAACAAGGAAAGGAGGCAAAGGATCTTAGGGAGGAATAGGAAGATCGCGGGGGAAAACAAAAAGGCCTTAGGGGAAAAGGAGGGAAAGGATCTCAACAGGGAAAGGTGGCAAAAGATCTTAGGGAGGAAAAGGGAGAAGATCTCAGAGGGGGGGAGAGGCCTTAGGGGGGAAAGGGGGGAAAGGATCTCAGCAGGGAAAGGGGGGGGGAAAGATCTTAGGGAGGAAAGGGAGAAGATCAGGGGAAGAAAAGGCCTTAGGGGGGAAAGGGGAGAAATGATCTCTACAGGGAAAGGTGTGGAAAAGATCTTAGGGAGGAAAGGGAGAAGGTCTGGGGGAAAAAAGCCAACAGGAAAGGGGGGGAAAGATCTTAAGAAGGAAAAGGGAGAATCTCTCAGGAGGGGAAAGGCCTTAGGGGGGAAAGATCTCAACAGGGAAAGGGGGGAAACAATCGCCTTCGGGGTAGGGGGGGAAAGGATCTCAACAGGGAAAGGGGGCAAAGGACCTTAGGGAGGAACAGGGAGAAGATCTCAGCGGGGGGAAAGGCCTTCTCAACAGGGGAAGGGGGGGAAAGATCTCAGGGAGGAAAGGGAAAAGATCTCAGGAGGGGGGGGGGGAAAAGGCCTTAGGTGGGAAAGGGGGGGAAAGGGAGGAAAAGGGAGATGATCTCAGGGGCGAAAAGGCCTTAGGGGGCAAAGGGGGGAAAGGATCTCAACAGGGAGAGGGATCTTAGGGAGGAAAAGCAAACTCAGAGGGAGAAAGGGCCTTAGGGGGGAAAGGGGGAATGGATCTCAACAGGGAAAGGTGGCAAAAGATCTTAGGGAGGAAAAGGGAGAAGATCTCAGGGGGGGGGAAGGCTTTAGGGGGGAAAGGGGGGAAAGGATCTCAGCAGGCAAAGGGGGGAAAGATCTTAGGGAGGAAAGGGAGAAGATCTGGGGGCAAAGGCCTTAGGGGGGAAAGGGGAGAAATGATCTCAACAGAGAAAGGGGTGGAAAAGATCTTAGGGAGGAAAGGGAGAAGATCTGGGGGAAAAAAGGCCAACAGGGAAAGGGGGGAAAGACCTTAGGAAGGAACAGGGAGAAGGTCTCAGCAAGGCCTTAGGGGGAAAGGGTGGGAAGGATCTCAACAGGGAAAGGGGGGAAACAATCTTAGGAAGGAAAAGGGAGAAGATCTGGAAAGGCCTTCGGGGTAGGGGGGGAAAGGATCTCAACAGGGAAAGGGGGCAAACGATCTTAGGGAGGAATAGGGAGAAGATCTCAGCGGGGGGAAAGGCCTTAGGGGGGAAAGGGGGGAAAGGATCTCAACAGGGAAGGGGGGAAAGATCTCAGGGAGGAAAAAGAAAAGATCTCAGGGGAAGAAAAGGCCTTAGGGGGGAAAGTGGGGGAAAGGGAGGAAAATGGAGATGATCTCAGGGGGGACAAAGGCCTTAGGGGAGAAAGGGGATCTCAACAGGGAGAGGGCGGAAAACATCTTAGGGAGGAAAAGGGAAAAATCTCAGAAGAAGAAAGGGCCTTAGGGGGGAAAGGGGGAATGGATCTCAACAGGGCAAAAATCTTTGAGGGGAAGGGGGGCGAGGGGACAATTCCAAAGGGACGCAAATAAGAAAGGAGGCCTGTAATGTTGGCGGCCTGAGCCGGAGGCGTTAAAATAAAAGCTTCGGAGCTTCCTGTTTAATTCCAGGGAGTGTAGTAAAAATAGTCTGCGCAAACCAATGTTTTTTGAACTAGAAGGGGGCCGCACCTAATGCTCGTTGAGACTGTCCCTAGCCTTCAGTTACCCGGGTTTTGAGTATGGCGCATGTGTCTGCCCCAGTGCTTCCAGTTACCACTATAATAGGAAACCAAAGTTTCTTGCCCCTAATCATGGCTTCCCGTGCTAACCTACAATAGTGGCAACTGGAAGCACTGGGGGTGTCAAAGAGGGCCCCCCTGCTTCTTTTTCTGTTGGCTTCCCAGTCCAATTTGAAAAGGCAGGGTGTGATTTGTTCTGAGGGTCGTGAATCCGGTCGTTCATAACTATGGACGTGCATCTCTTGAAGTTGGCTTTTTTGATGGGGGACACATGGACATTTAGGGGAATTCATGTCGTCCCCAACCACTTTGAGCACACCCGCATGCTAATCAGCTAATCATCAATGGGTTGATAGAATTCGGGGCATGCGAGATTCAAAACAAAACAAACAAACCATGCCTTTGCACAGAAGCAGGTTTCTGAAAATGATGTACCCCTCTTGATTGGGAGGGGCTTTGAAGGGACAATTAAAAGCAACCAGCCCACTTTTGGTGGTCTTTTCGTGCAATGGCCCCGAGTTCGCTCCAAGCTCAGCGTTCGTTCCTCATGGTGACCTCACCGTCATCGCGCCTTCTTCACCATCATGGTGACGCCATCGGTGAGGTCCACATCGATGCCCAGGGAGGTGACGGTGGTGGTCTTGACCTTGAGAAGGACACTCTGCAGGAAAACCCTGAGGTTTTTGGTTTGCATTACATCCCCTGAATTTTTGGTGGGTGTGAGGCGTAGCAAACAGGTGCAGAAGACAGGGAAATTTTCTTCTGGACGTCCAGCCGCGTTTGAGGCTTAGGAGCAGCTCACAGTGGAAGTCGGGAGTGACCCTTCAGCTCAATGCGTGGAGTTCAGAGAATGCCGCGATAGGCAGGGAATGAGACATCGAATGACACGGATAGCCATCCAACTGGTGGTTTCCTTGAAGCTTTAAGGGAATCCCTGGCTTCATTCCCACCATCCTCTCAGGAACCAGCAAGGAGAATAACATGTCCACCCCTGACTGGAAAAATATGTTTGGAGACTCCAGTTCGCCCCAAACCGGGCCGATCGAGTGGACCAACCTCAAGCCCTTTTTTGGGGGGCGTACGTGTTCACTTGCAGGGGTGTCCACGTCCGGAGTTTATCATTTCACCAGCAACCCAGTTTGAACAGTGTGTTACATCTCCTAGCCAAACGGGACCCCAACAATGGGCGTGGGTCGTTTCCCAAACCAAGATCTCGAAAACGAGCTTCTGCGTGGGGGTGTCTCTACTTTCTTCCGGGCGGCGTTCAACAACGTCGCAAACCGCACATTGCTGACGAGGTACGGTTGTTTCTTGGCAAGAAGGTGGGAACCATAATAATATTATTGTGGCTTGCGGCCGGCTTGTGTGTGACATTGGACAATTACGCAAGGCTCCGCAAAAGGATTGCCAGGACTTTCTTGAGCCCCTTCAAACCGTTGATTGGGTCTTTGTTTCTCTTGACATTAGCGCGATTAAGCATGCGCAAGGACGTACAGACCTCTTTCTGCGCGGCATAGAGAGTTCACCCGGATCGATAAACCCGGGTTGACCATTGGAAAGGTGTCACCATTGCAGTGGGAGCCCCCAAATAACACCCCCATATTCTCAGCTTCCTTCGTAGTCTGGTTGGTGGCTTGGTAGTTTGGGTGATTTGACATTTACCCTCCACAAGAACCAGGGCTTCAACTCCAACTTCAAACCGATCCGAGCCAATGAAAGGGCACCTGATATTACTGGGCTGCCCTCAGATCCCCTGCTAAAAGTTTGACTTTTAGTGGGTCAAATGGAACCACAACCACTAAACACTCAAAGTCTAAAAGGCTAAGGAACCGGACGGCTGGGAGCCACCAAGATTAGGATGGGCTTACTGCGGGAGCTCCTGACCTTCGAAAGCACCCTGGGCCCTGGAGCCACGTCGATGCTGAAGTAGTGGTGCTCGGGCTCCACCATCTGGCGAAGGCCGTCTTTTGTTTTTCGATTTCGCGCCAATTCCTCCCCAAACAAAATAAGCTCAGGTGATATCCCCGGCAGCATGCCGTGCTCTTTTTAACCCCGCGGAACCCTGGTAGAACCCTGGTGGAACCCTGGTAAAATTTTGGTGGAACCCCCGGACCAACCCGAGCCTATCTGGGCTGAGACCTCGAAGATGTCAGCTGTTGGGGAAAAAACGGCGCCCAAAGATGAAGCGAGGGTCATGATGGCATTGGTGGATGACGTGCTAAAATGGATCACTTGTTTGGGCTTCACCCAGATGTTCGAATCCTCGATCCATAGTGGGACACCGCTACAAGGGACGCCATGACTATTTGTTTAGGTTTTGTGCAGAACGTTGTTAGAAGATTGAGGCGGCAGCAAGGACCAACAAAAGGAAGGCAAACCAGAACAGAGACCAGGTTTTGGATGGTAAAGGGTGACAGTTCTGTCCTCGCCAAGATTTTGGCCACAAGGTCAATTCGAGAGCACCCAACAAGGACACTAGTTTTGTCTCCAAATGCGTCGGCGTCCAAAGGGAGCACCCCCAAATTGGATCGTTTCCCTTTCGGTTCCCTTTCAACCCCCAAAAAGGGGGGTTCCCACTTCGGAAGGGAAGCGAATGAGAAAACTCTGAACTGATCCCTTGGACATCGAACGTTCCTTGGGGGTTCCTGTCTGAACATTTGGGAGTGTTCCCTGAACAATGGGACCTTGGTTTTGCCAAATGCCAGACTCCATCAGCCATGACAAAGCCCGTTTGTTCAACCTTTTGACCAACAGTTTCCCATGTTTTTCGCCTTTTGCCATGGGGGCCGAATGGGGCCGGTAGGCAGGAAGAACATCCGCGCGGAAAACCGCGGATTAAGCGCGAGCGACCAATTCGTTTAGCCCGTCCGCCTGCACCAAGGCGGGGTCCTTCACTATTTTCACCTCATCCACCACCTCATCGCTCACCTGCGACCAGATCGCCGGAAGCGCCGCTTTGGCACCCGCCAGTATGGATGTTAAAATGCAGCAAGATCCACCACATAGAAATGGAGCACAAATTAGACCAATGTGTAAAAGAGCATTTTATGGTTGTCAACTTGGCTCAGAATCCATATCTCCAATTGATTGTACAGTACCAGACACATCACAACACAACATGGTGTATTTAGTGCATTGCGTAAAATAGAGGTGACATATAGCCCGGGTTGCGACCACGCTGGAAGGGACCGGTGACTCATTTCTGAGAGTGCCATACGCTGGGCCATGGTCGGAGGAGCCCTTCCCATTTTCAAAATGCCGCTTGATCCCACACTAAAGGCGAACCTTTTGGGTCCACGACTAAAGATGGACCAAAACGGAGAAACCACAAGTCGAAAAGGTCGACTATGGGCAACTGAGTCCCACACCCCTCCATCTCTCTCTCTCTCTCTCTCTCTGTCGTTATCTTCATTTATGCATCTTTCTCGGTTGCTTTCATTTTTCTTTATTTGGTTATTTCTTTATTTATTGCCTTTCTTCTCTATTTGTTTTATTTTGCTGTGTCGTGTGTCTTTCATGTCATGTTATGCTGATTAGATATGTATTTGTTTATTTGTACTGGTTTCTTGATTTATGTAGTTTGCTTTATTTGTGTGTTCCGTTACTCATGTATTTAAGTATGTCCTTTCTTTCTATACGCCTTTCTTTTTTGTTTCCTTTATTTCATCCTTTCTTTCCTTTCTCTGACTACAACCACGTCAGCGCAGCGCAGCGCAAGGCAGGCAACGCCCATTTTCCGCGCTGCTTCTCAAGCTCGGGAGTTCGGGTCAGCTCCGGGACCCTGGCGGACGATAACTAGGCTCCAATTGGCCTCTCTAGTGTGGAAATAAGGCAAAGCCCGAGCAAAACGTACTGAAGTGATCTCATGGGAGCCGAACTGCGCGCACGGCGGTTTCAAGTTGTCTGGGCGGTTTGCCTCGCCCTGTCTGCGCCTCCTAGGCACCGGGAAATTTCGCTTCGAAGGGGCGAGCGGAAGCTTTTTCAGGCGCAAAGAAGCGAACGGAACACCCGAAGTCGAACCTCCCAGTGATTCCAAGCAAAGCAACAAAAAGGGGCCTGACCTCTAGTAACAGATTGGCTAGAACCACAGGCCTTGCCAAAATGGGGGGCGGGGGGAGACGAACGTTGCATGGCCAATCCTCCGCACCGATCTAGCCGCGCTCAGTACGGCCCGGGGCGGTCCATCGGTTTGGGAGTTTGGCAGAGGCTGCACCTGGGAATGAATGATTTGGGCGGACCAAATCTAGGTCCTCCAGTGGGGAGGTTAGAATAAGAGTTCCCGAGTCTTGTCTGCAGTCTTTAATAGGGAAACACTTCCGCCCCCCGAAAAATGGGTAAAAGGGCACTACTGAGGGACCAAGAAATGATTTGGGCGGACCAAATGCTCGGCTGGGAATCCTGCAGAAAAACCCGTTGGTCCAATTCTCAACTTGATGGTGCGATAGGCAGGGAATGAGTTGGAATGACCCTGAAGAAAAAAACTATCCAATGCTGGTCGAGGGAATTCCTGGGTTCAGTCCCGCATTTACTGAGCAGCAAGTCAAAATGCAACTTACTGGGCTCCAAAAAGGGGCATGGAGGGATCCCCGTGCCCAACATCTTGTCGCTTGATCGGTTGCATTTGCCTTTGGACAGACCCAGAAAATGGCCTGGCTGTCATCAATTGGGTGAACACCCAGCCCAGAGCGCTTCACCTTGTCCAGCAAACATGGAAGTGGACAAGGGGGCAAAGGATCTAACACCCGCTGTCCACTTCCCAGATTTCTTGCATACACCAAGTGAGAGTGCCACAACTCCCTTTCTGCGGGCAAGCAACGGGATGACAAGTGACCAACGTGAAGGAATTGTGCCATCCACTTTTTGCAAAACTGTCATTGCTTGCTTTTGCGTGCAATAGCCTTGAAGGAACATCAACATGTTTTTTTGCCGGGGGGGGGGGACCTGCCCACCCACCAAAGAGGAAATTGACGGCGGTGAAAGGCACCATGCTAAAAACTGGGGTGGAAAACAGGACAACTTGAGGGGCTAAAATGATGGTTTTCTCATGGCTGATTTTGGCTTGAATAATTCATGCCGGTTCTGTTCATCATGGCTAAATGATTACTACATGAATGTTGACCCCGGATTGGTAAACCTGTCCTGTCAAAAGGTGTCCCCTCAACGGACACCCACTAAGAGGGGACACCCAACCAACATCAACCAGGTGTTCTGCATTCATCCCGGGTTCCCAATGCCTGCCCATTGCCTGCCAAACCTCCAGCCAACAGCCAGTACCCCGTACTTGAGCAACAAAACCCAGCTGGGGCAGGGTTCGAGATGGGGCCTGTCGGGTGCCTCGGGTTCAAAGTGGTCCAGAATTGTTCATGGTGGTTCGAATGATTCGATTCCCGCAACTGCGAATCAACAATAGTTTCAACCATGGTTCCAAGTGATTTACCTTTTCTTTCGTCCATCCGCAGAAAAAGTAGGTTAGCCCCGGAGATTGTGGGAGCTGATGCTACAGGAAATCCTCCCTTCAAACGTTTGCTCGCGGCTGATTCTAGCTTCAAGTGCGGGATTGATCAGGGCTTTTTGTTGGTGGCGCGAAACGGATTAACTTCGCAACCATCCAGAGCTAGCGGTCTGTCGCTTTCGGCCGATTTTCGAGGTTCCATTCCCTTTTTTGGGGGGGGGCTACCCAAGCGCAACATGGATTTGGCCATGTTTATTATTATTATTATTTTAAGTCCAAAAATCCATTTTGGACGCCCCTTCTGTGGATTCCACGTTGGGAACTGCTAAATGGGTGTCAAAGGAGTGCGACAACTGGTATCCACAGTTCGGGCCGTCTACCCTCTTGCTCGGAAAAGTTGAGTGTTTCATGGGTTGTGAGATTTGGAAGACCCAGTGAATCCCCTTTTTTGTTAAGTGTTGAATCCCTTTTGTCCCATTTGTCAAATCTAAAGGGAATTGCTCTTGTTTGTTCCATGCCTTGTTCCATGGAATCCCTTGTTGGACTCCCTTTGCAGGCGACTCCAAGCTCAAAAGCAAGTGGCTGACACGCCCACAAGTCTGGGTTCAACCAAAGGGGCCCAGGTAAGCTGAACTTCCATTTGCTCAAGCACCCTGAAAAAATATCAATATGTCCAGTGAGTCCAGTAGTGATAGATCCCCCTTGAAACCAACAGGGGGATGTTCAACATATTCTTAGGCAAATGGAAGTCAAATGGTTATGAATCAAAGCATCTCAGGTAACAAGGGAGCCTTAGGGTATATTTGGGTGTCTCTTTTCGAAGGGAACCCTTTCAAGTCGGATTGTGTAAACTTGGGCATGTGTAAAGAATAGAGCACCCCCCCCCCCCCCAATTTTGTCGTTTTGCTTTTGGCTTCCCTTTTAAACCCCAAAAAGCCAAACAACCCCCCCAAAAAAAGAACGGAACATGACATGGATCGCCGCGTCTAGGTCCTCCATAAGAGAGGTTAGAATAAGGGTACCAAGTTGCTCTGGTGTCTAATTTCGTAGTGGAACCCTCCCACCCAAAAAAAAAGAGGTACTAGAGAGGGCACCATTCGCTGGGGGACCCCGGCGTTTTTTTTTGGGGGGGTTTTCGTTTCCTCGCGGAGCTCCGAGGCGCACGTTCTTGGAGGCGAAGACCAGGTCCCCGCAGGCGGGGCAGGTCCAGTCCCCCGGCTTCATGCCCATGCGCTGGGCACCCCCGGGCTTGCCCTGGCCACAGCGGTTGCACTTGTCCCGGGAGCTGAAGACCAGATCCTGACGGAGCCGGTTTTCGTTTTTGGCGCGGCCCGGTTTTGGCGCCGGAAATGCGCGGGCTGGGGGGACGTGACGACGGAGCCCGTTTTGGCGCGGGCTGGGTTTGGGCGGAAACTTGGGTCACTGGAGGGACGGATCACCTCACTGGCCGAGATTTGTTCTCCCCAAAAAAGTGCGAGGTGAGCCCCTTTTGGGGCCAGAGGAAAACAGAAAGGAAAAGGGTCGATCCATGTCGATCCGCGTCAAGGCAGGATCTGCAGGGATCTGGATGGGATGGATCCCAAAAAACTGACCCCCACGGCTAGGCAGGGGATGGACTTCAGGATCTGGACGGAATGGAGAAACTCACCTTGAGTTGCCGCTGGACTTGCACCATTGATGAAGTCCGAAGGGGAGAAGCCACACAATGGCATCCCGCTGCTTTTTTCCTTCCAGGGATCGGAAAAGACGCCACTTGGCGTTTGATAGGTGGGCGAGAGGTCGCCCATGCACAGCTTCAGTCATTCCAGGTGGAAGATGTGATGCACCCTGGAGGCAGCTTGAGGTGAGGGTGGGCTACCCCTCCAACTTCCCCCGGTTGATGTGCGGCTTGCGCAGTCCGTTTCCCCAGGCGTCCTTGAAAGAAATAGATGGATATTGATATATCCCTGGTAGATGAGTTTGCCGCCAGGTAAACCAGGGGCCATGGTTTGCTTCCAGCAAAAGTTAGCCGAAAAGGACGCGCCTATCCCCGTTTCTCTTTGGCCAAGGCTCCCCGCAGGCCGGGCACATCCAATCTCCTGGTCTCATTGCACCGCTGCCGCCGCCGCCGCCCTTGCCGCCCATGCCGCCCATGCCCATGGCGGCCATGGCCATGTCAATGCCACCCATGCCTGCGGAAGCCGGAGTGGCTTCGGAGAACCCCGTCCGCAGCCAATGGAAGCTAGGCCCTCCAGTAGAGGTTAGAATAAGGGCACCTGACTTTTTTCTCTGTAGTCTATAGTAGGGGAACCCTCCCCCAAAAAAGCTGGTAAAAGGGCACTACTGGGGGACCTAGGAGGGGGCCTGAGGAAACTCAAAAAGAGAACGAGACCGAACATGTTTGCTTTGGGCAGGGAGGGAGGGACCAGCGATGAACTTGAGTGCGAAGCCCATAGACCAAAAACGGGCGCGCTCTTGTCACAACAGCGGAAATCAGCGCCACTTCTCAGAGTCTCTGCAAGGAGTTGGGTGACCAAAGGAACCCGACAAGTGGTTGGTCCCTTCTAAGCTTGCTTTCAAATTCAGCAGGTGGGAGATGCCTTTTCACATAGATTCATCTTTTGCCCCGAAAGGAAGTTGCCGCCGTGTTGTACGTTTTGTATTGCGTTGGTCCGGTCCCATTTGCTCGGCCACGAAGCAACAGTCACCACGCAAAATGGGGAGGAAAAAACAGGTTCGTGAAACAAACAAAAGCTGGGTGCTCTAGAAAAAACAGACGCAAATTAGTATAAATCCTCAGTTGGCTCCTTTTGGGGAAGTTGAAAATGATGGGAAACTTCCCCCCCAGATTAAGATGGAACCCAACAATCCCACCCAATAGTGGAGGAAACTCCTTTTGGGGCCTGGACCAAACAAAAAACCCCCCCCACCTCCTCCCCCCCCACTCACCACCACCCCCACCCCCACCCACACGCACACGCGCACCCACAGGAAGATTGCTTGGACGCGTCGCTCGCTTGCAAGTGGATTGCGCGGCCTCCCGGCGCGCTGCCGCAGCGGTTGCAGGCGGAGCGCCAGGCGAAGACGTTATCCCCGCAGCTGGGGCAAATCCAATCCTCGAGCAATTCCATCCGGGGGAGGGGTGAGGGGTGGGGGTGCTTGGGGGTGGTGTGAGGTGCTATCCCTGAACCCCTGAAGCTCGTAAGGGCTTAATGACCCCGGATTTATAAGCCCCTGTTTCTTAATATGGGGGTGTCCCTGGTTTTAGTGGGGATTCATCACTTTTGTAGGGGAACACCCCCCCAAAAAAAACAAAAGACAGGGGTTTGTTAATCCGGGGTCCACATTATCCTTGCCTTATCCTGCGCTTCTCCAGGGATAGAATCCCCCCCCATAGCCCGTCCAGGAAAAGTGGCGAGGGAGCAGCCTACAGCCATGCTGACCCTCTACTCCAAGAACCTTTCAAAATACAGGGCGCAAACGAAGAAGTGGTTTGAACCTGTTGCTGACCAAAAGCACGGCCATACGTTTGTATGACCGGACCTGCGAGCGAAGAACTTGGTTATTTTTGAGAACCAAGAGGTTTTCTGAGTAGAGGAAATAACGAGGGTTCAACTTCAACAAATGGGGTGTGGGGGAGGAAACACCCACCATTCGCAGTTTCTAGCCTTCAGATGGAAATGGAACTGTAGAAATTTCAGGTACCCAGGTACCCACATAGCCTCTCTGATGTTGCTGGTTGGGTACCCTGGCTACCGGAGGTATCTGACCCACCCTCCTTCAGTTACTACTCGGTTTGGACCACATTTGCTCAAAGGAGCCCCCGATCTTAGAAACAACCATGGATGCTTGCAGAATGTGGGCGTCTCGTTGCTTCGGGGGACCCCGACAAATTGTGGGCCCGATGGTGCAACCGCGGGGACTCCCTGCAAGACTCTGGTGTCGACGGCTTTTGCTGGCGAAAAGTGAAGATGACGGAAACCCCAAGGGGCAAACTTGGTTGCTGTTGACCCCCCTGCAAAAGAAAAAAAAAACATAACTTTTTGGGGGTTTACTTGATTTAACCAAATGTTAAAGTCTAAAGATCCAACCCAATAGCAGTTAAGCAAAAAAGGGCAACCCTGCAGCTTCAGTTGCCAGGCGTCTCCCGGCTTCATCATGGCGCCGCCGCCGCCGCCGCCGCCACCGCTGCCTGCCCCACTTTTCTAGGAAACAGTTTGGATGCGGTTTTTGTGGATCCACCGTTGTAGGATAGCAAAAGAGTACTAAAAGAGTATTAAAAGAGGAACAACTCGCCAAACAACATGGGGAAACGACAGAAAGCGCATCCAAACCGTTTCCTAGAACTTAAAGTGGATGGCTTCCCAGGAGTCGAGCAAGAACTAACCTTCAATTTTCTTAAGCCCCCTGGAAAAAAAGGAAATGGCTGTGGGTCAAAGCCCTGTGCCCCTGGTGAACATCAAAATAGGCGGCACATGGGTGTTCATCCGCCCCAAAATGGAGCCATAGGTTATGACCCATGGCCAAATATATTCAGTTGTGATAGACCCCAAGAAAAAATAACATCGCCCACGGGGAAAAAACATACAAACAACGTTCTTGAACAAATGAAGGTGCTGGTCAGCAAGCAACCTACCTCATTTTTTGCCAGCTTTTGGGGCTAGATGGGAGCCACGGAGCTGCTCCATTCCCAAACATAAGCTCCCAGCGTGCCACCCAAACATTGAATCTGGTTTTCGGGGCTGTGGTTGTCTACCTCCTCGAGGTTGGAGTTCACGGTACCCGTTTCTTTTTCTTTTTTTCCCCGTAGTCTGTTCTAGGGGAACCCTCCCCCAAAAAATCTGGTAAAAGGGCACTGGGGGACCTAGTTGCTTGAATTTTCCGCGAACAAGTCATGTTTGATCCTCCGCCAAGAGAAATCCCCAGCCATTCCCCGCATCCTGCCTTGGGAGGCTGGCTTGCAGTCGACCCACTTGCCGTCCACGCTGTTGTTGTCATAGTTCGCGAGCACCTCCGGACAGAAACCGGCGGACTCATCAAAGTCGGCCTTTCCTGGTCGAGCCAGTTGCCCTGCACCCGTCATGTGCCAGCCAGTTGCCATGCACCCGTCATGTGCCAGACTCATACGTTGGTATACTGCAAGGCCCTAAGGCAAAGTAGGACGGGGTTGTGGGGTACTGGGCCAAATCCAGCCATGACTCTAGGGGCAAGATATTGAAGGAGGTCTGGGTTCCCCCCCCCAGACGTGGTACGGTCTAGGGAAACACACAACATCTAATCAGCCAACCACAAGTAGCAAGGGGGGGAACAACAAGTGGGGGGAGGCTTTCTGCTTGCTTGCCCAAATGGGGACCCCAAAACGAACCAAATTGAGTAGAACAAGGAATCCAGGAAAGATCCGGTCAATTCGCCTTGCGCACATGGGACTGGCCACGTGGAATAGACATACGGTCCTCTCAAAATAGGCTGACCCCTCAAAATATGCCAAACCCAACAACGGTAATTAACCGGCCTCACCGAAGATCTCCCCACATGGGTGCTCCCCTCTCCACCCAACTTCGAGGGTTCCGGCAAACAACACGGCGGCGAAGCAGCGCCTGCTTCGCCTCCTCCAGTGTGGAAAAGGTCACGAAGCAGTAGCCCTTGGACTCCCCGTGCTCTCCCGTCATCATCTTGATCCTGACATCGCGGCCGCACCTCCCCCTCCGCAGTCATGCCAGCGCAAAACGGGATTGAAAGTGGGAAGTGCGGAGGACACGCGGAGAAAGCACGGCCATCGGCTTCGAGTGTTGCACAGCATGTGTAGTGACGGCATATCGCCTTTAAAACTTACACAGAACGAGAAATCACCTCGAATGGTTTTGGTAGTCATCTGAAGTCATGCTTTGGGTCGCACCCCCCGCCACTTACAGTTTAGGGTCGCACCCCCCGCCACTTACAGTTGATGATGGGAGAGGCAAACTGCTGCAAACATGGTCGGCTGACAAAGGTGACTCTTAGTGGTTTCAAGTTTTGTCCCGAGCCCATTGCTTTAGGGTGTCGACTGCTTGGTTGCTTTCAAACAGGAGCCAAAAGGAAACGACATACCCGTTTTAGGAGGTGTCCCCCGTTTTGAGACAAACCCTATTCCAAGTAAATAGGGGCGCTGCCTTAACAACCTGCAAACGGGATCTCGAGTGATGCGAGAGGCATGATTCCCCCAATGTGCAAGCGAACCAGCCACATGGGACAGGCAGCAGCCCTCATGTTCCACTATTTGCAACATATTATGGTGTGTCATTTTTGGGACCGCAAGAATGGGTGCATTTCCTTTCGGTTTCCCTTTGACGCCACCAAAACAGGGTACCAACTCCAAAACAGGACACATCCATATGCAGCGGTGGAGTGGTGGGTGGGGGAACTTCGGATCAAGCCGCCAAACAAAGCGCCTTGTGCCGGTTCTGGCCACGTCCTTTTGAGCTCACGGGGGCCAAACAAAGTCTAAAGCCCGTGTTTGCCACTAAAACGGCCTGCCCAAAAAAGGTGACTAACGCACATGAACTCGAGAAGTGCGGTAAACGTGAGGTTGTTTGGCAAAGGTCCTACGAGTGCTAAGTCGAGCCAAGTTCAGGGCATTGCCTGCCAAAAGACTTCTCCAAGATGGGGAAATCAAGAATTATCGACTGCACATCGGTGGCCCCCTGTCAAACACAAACTCAACTTACCTGTGCGACAATCATGGACCAACGGAAGTGTTCTAGGTTCGGTGTGGAAGATTATTATCCTTTCGAAACAGGCCCCTTGTCCACTTCCCGGGGTGATGAACAAGTAGGTAACCACCTTACTTCTAATTGGTGTTTTGGACGCCCGGCGCTACCTTCCCAGAAGAAAAAGGAACTGGGGTTCAACCCCCAGTTTCAATATTTTGTTTAAGCATCCCTCTTGCTTGGCCGGACTTGCCTGGTTCCTACGCAACAAGCGGCTTTGAGCCCCCAGTTCCCACCCAAAAAACCGGAGAACTCTCCAAAGGATGGCCAATGCCCCGTTGCACCCGCCATTTCCGTTGAGCTCGCCAGATGTCATGGGGCTAACAAACCGATGCAAGCCACCAGCTCGCCATGGATCAATATGGGTCCAGAAACACGGGGCATCCCTGGAGGCTAAAACCAGCCCAGGGTGTTAGATCCTGGATTCTCACCCCCCTTGAGCAAGCAGAAGCCAAAAGAAAAACAAAAGCGACCCGCTGCAGCCCGGGAGCTCCATGATGTTGCCAAACGGCGCAAAGGCTTGGCGCACCGAGGCCTGGAGACCAGCCGTCCGGCCAATTGATGGACGTCCGTGGAGCGGCCACCGGACCCGCCCCCCCCAAAAAAAGAAGGCGGGGTTAACATATAGAAAACCCTGGCTGTAGATGGACAGAAATCCATTTCGCACCATTCGAAAGGTAGTTCATCCTAAGCAAGCTGGCCCAAATACCCAAATAAGGGTGTTGAACCAGCCAGGACATAACAAACGAGGTTGAGATACAATGAAAGAACATGCCCAAACGAGTCTTTCAAAGCAGCGGTTGCTCGTGGTTGCTCAAGCATGGCAAAACATCTGGAGTGTTTCTCTCAGATTAGGGGACCCAACGTATTTTGATTTCCTGTTGGTCCTCTTGCCAGCCCAAACGGGGTACCAACTCCAAACAAGAACGAGCCACCCAAAGGGAGACCTTTGAAACCCGTCCGACGCGGTCGCGGCCTCTGAGACCACCTTGGGCAGGGCCCCAACGAAGACCTTGTTGGACGGCTGGCTGGTTGATCCGCCTGGCGGCTTGATCCGCTCGCGTCGCCCGGGAAAACGACCCTTCCCCCAAAACGTGGGATATTCACAAAAACAAAAGCCCGTGTGCGCCGGGTACGCGACAAATGACAGAGATGGCCCAAACGGTACCTTCTGGGCCTTGCTGGAACCAACCCCTACGACTTGTTATGTTGATCATCCATGATGCGTTGAAATGCATATGAGAGCTCAAAAACGCTCTTGAAAGGTAGATGGTCCACTTCCATCCTTCGAAAACGACCCACTCTCCTTCCGAAGCAAGCCCCCCCTCAAAGAAGATCGGCAGTCTCCTCAAAAACAACAAGAGAATAAAAAAAACCTAGCTCCGATCACCCCCGCCCCCTTTCTTCCATCTGCAAAAAGTGCCCGTCCAGCTGAAAGGTTTGGGGCCAAAACACCGCAGCCGCGCGGCCGACCCCCGCCTTTGCCGCCTTTGCCCTTGCCGCCGTCCCAGCTGGGAGATCCGTACCTCTGCTCCCAGATCTGCCAAAAGTCAAGTTGATGTCGTGGGTGAAGTGGAAACTGCCACTCAAGCGCTCTGACTCAACCCCAGTTTACTAATGGGGGGAATGGGGGCCCCTCCAAAAGTGGCCTGATTCCCCCACATTTCACCCGACTCCCACGAATCCCATTAAGCGAAACACCGAAAAGTGGAAACAGAACACCTAAAACAGCGAAACACCTACAAACCAAGCGAAACACCTAAAAAGTGCGAAAACACTGAGAAAAAAATAAACAAAAACAAAAAAACAGAGAAAACAAATGACAAAACATATATTCACCGCGAAGCACCGAAGGAATCGGACTGGAAACCAAGGAGCATGGACGCCATGGTCATCGCCCAGCCCATGAGGTCCCACTCGTCCTGCCGAGCGAACGAGCGAGGCCCAGGCGGCGAGCGGCGAGCGCAAGGGGAAGACCTACCTGGGAAAGAGGAGGGGCGCCTCATAAATAAATAAAGATAGACGGGGTTTGTTCACCTTGTTGACCACAGACGAAAACCCAGGGGTGGTAAGGAGACGAGGTAGTCAAAAAGTGGAACTCTGAACATAAAACAAGTATATGTAGATGCGTAGTTGTATATGTTTGTCTTATACATATATAGATATATACTGGTTGTTCAGCGTTTTTTCTTTGAAGAGATGATGGAATTCGAGGGAAGGCGCAAAAACACACACGATCTGCTCATCACTCAACAGGCTTCCAACAAATGTGAGCAGCATCATGTACATACCAAGGGGCACCCGCACAACATGAGGCATGTTAGAACCCCATAGTCTTGTGCAGATTGGGTGGTCCTCACCCCAGCCCTGGGGAGGACCTTTACCATCTCTGGCATAACAGACCTCAGACAGATGATTTGAAGCGGAGGCTTCCGAGTAAAGAACTTACCCCTCGCCTGCAGCACAATACCTCTTGAGCTCATGTGAAGGTCCCTTTGAGTCTTCCAAACTGCGGGGAGCTCTCACGTTCCAAGGAATACATGGGTGCGTGTCTTTCTTTAGGGAGCCGCAAAAAATGAGTAGTTGACCCGTTTAAAGCCCCCTACGATGGTAGCCTCAAAGGCTACCTCGAGCCAGCCACGGGACCTCCAAGGCCTCACCGTAAAGCACGTCCTGTGCCCTGTGAAAAGGAAGCATCGCCAGAATCAAATCCTGGCACTAACATGGGCGTGAAATCGAACCCAGGTAAAAAAATGAAACGGCGGAGATCCGCACCCATGGCTGGGATTGTCCCTGACTACCCTCCACTGACTCACCTGAGCCTGGCATTAAAACGGGCTGCCCAGAACCAGGCAAATTAAAGATGCGGAAGGCAGCCCTTGGTTGAGATTATTCTTTAAGCTTCATCTACCCGCGTTTTGAGCAAGTGGCTCCGAGACTCAGAAAGGTTTCGAGCTTCACCCACGACACAGAACCTCATTCCCGCATGGAAACCCCAAGCTCATCCCAATTCTGGGGTCACCCCCGTTCAGTGGTGGGTAGGGAAACCGATTCCAGTTTCTGACTTTAACCCCGAGAATCCGCCGAAATAGGAAAAACCCAGCGGTCCTTGCCCTTGCCCTTGCCCTTGTCGCCGCCCCACCACTCGCCCATGGCTCTGTCTCAAGCCGCCGAGAACCTCCGCCGAGGGCTTGGCTTTTTTGAGCCAAACTTTGCGCGCAGCATCCGCCTTCATGGTTGACTCCGGACCTGGTTGGGGTAGAAGGGGGTTGGGGTGGAATTGGGGTGGAGTTGGGGTGTCGAGTTGGGTGGGGTTGAGGCGCGGGCTTAAGGGCCAAACTTTGCGCATCCCTTCCTTGCGGACTCCGGACCCATGTCGCTGGACCCCTCCTGTCAATTTGACGTCACTGGAAGAGACCACGTTGATCACCAATGGATGGGCGAGCCACCCTTCTTAGATTTCAAACGTATTTCAATCAAGAAGCCCTTCACAACGAAAGAAGGGCGCGGGTGAAAATGAGGCCAATTCGTGTCTTCGGTCTTTGCTTCAAAGCAGTCACGGCCTTTGCGGCTGAGTCTCGAAGTACTGAGGCCTGCGGGCTGGCAAATGTCCAAGTCCCTTGCCAATCTTCAGGGCGCCGGAAGTCGCCGGAAGTCTTAACCCACCGGTTTTGTAGGCATCTCCGTTTGGGTTCCGTGTTCCCCTACTTCCCACCGTGGAAGTGGACGAATGGGGCAGCCCCAAAGGGAAAGCAGACTTCCAAAACCCTCCGATCGTCAGCTTACATGATTCCGCAAAAGTTACTACCCAGACGCTCCTGGCTTCGGCTTCCAATGGAAGACCCAGACCCTCCATTGGACACAGAGGGTTTTGGGGAGACCAAAAACCTGGCCGTTTGAAGGCCCAAAATCCATCGAAGTTCGAAGTTGGAGCGTCTGGGTATTGCAAAAGGGCTGAACTCAGGGATCCCCAAGTATGGAGCGAGCGCCCATGGGCGCGCGCCCCCGCCTGGCTCTTGCAGCAAGGCCGGCCTGGCGCTTCACACTGAAAACTGGACTCCCTAAACTGTTGACCCCATGTTTGATCACCCAGAAAAAATGAAAGGGTGTCCATTTCCGGGCTTAGTGCGGACTCAGACCACTTTTGGAGGGCCCCCCACCCCCTATTTATAAACTGAGGTTGATTACTTCCCATTTAAACATCACCCCATTGGATCCCATCCATCCACTTAGAGAACCCTTCGCCATTGTCCTTTTTTGGGTTTCTAAAGGGCTGTTGTCTTGGACACCTCGCTGGGCAAGACAAACATCAGCCACCAATCGGTCACGCTCCAACCGGTTGCCAAGCGCGGCAATCCTGCCGTTGGCTTCCCCTCTTTGTATTTGGGGCCTCTTTGGAGGCGCTATGGTCACAGTGTTGGACGTCAGCCTGAGTGTCAGGTTGGAGCCCGAGTTTCTCGACAGAAGTTCCCAAGAATACGTCCCGTCAAACATCACCCTCCAGTTGCGAAAAAGCCCCCTGCGAAAAGTGAGAAGGCACGTCCAGTAGTGATAGGTCCCCTTTAAAAAAGAAAAAGGGAAAATTGATACAAACAAACCATTTCAGCAAATGGAAGTCATCCGGACACTTCTCTCAGAATCGCCGGATGGGCTGCAAGCGGCTCGGGGGTCGACTGGGCAGGGCTTGGGTCCATGTGGGCAGATTTTGTGGGGCTCCGACAGAAAAGAAGAAGGGGAAAACAATGGGGCGAGGTTGCAGGCCAAACCCCTGCAAGGCAAGTCGCTATATGCAAATGCAACCCCACGAACGGAATGTCGACCCCGGATAACTCCACGTGCTCCGGTGCCATTCCGGTCCAAACTGGGCTGCGCACCCCAACATTCATGATTCATATGAGATTCATTCTTCAAGTCATAGGGTCACATGTTCTCTTTGCACAGTGGAACCTCGACAACAGTTTGTCTCTCTTGACGTTCACTTTGGGTTCCCATTGCGACAGCTCTTTGGCGCGCGTTTCCGGTCCTTTTGTCATTCAATGACCCCCCTTTCCAATAAGGAACCGAGACCGGTGCCATTGCCTCCATTTGCTGAAGCCCCCTGAAAAAATGAGAAAATATGTCGAGTAATGAAATCGATTCCCTGTAAAAACAACAAGGCTAGACCAAACAAATGTTTACGCCAAAGCCAAAAAAACAACGCAACAAATACATATCCATATCCATGAAAACCAAAAACAAGAAAAAGCGCAAGCGGAAGGTTGCTGCAGTTCTGGCTCTCACCCTGCCTTGAGAGCAGGCAGCGCCCATGACTACAAGTCCATTCCTACAAGCCCTGGAGCCGTCGATGGCGGAAGCACATGGCCAACCAGTGGCCCATGGAAACAAGAAATGGGCACAAGCTGAGTGGCGTTCTTGTCCAGATATGGGTGTGGCTCAAAATTAAACGGGAGGGGTTACGCAGGTTGTGGTCCATGTGTCCACTTACCAGGGTTGACTTTGGTACCGGTTTTTTGAGCCACAGCCATGTGAAGCTTAAAATCCAAAAATCCAAAAGAGATCCTTCCCGTTGCTTATGTCCTGTGAGATGTGGAAGTTGAGTCTGGTGAGTAACATCGGCGAGAACATTTGGTGCGTGCCCAATTGCGGTTCGCACATACCAAACTTGCGCCAATCCCTTAAGTTAAAACGTGTTGAAACCACCAAACTGTTTAAACCACCACCAGAACCACCAAACCAACCTCGCCCCGAAAATCTCGCACGTCATCTGTCTGAAGGGGTTGGCCGAGCTGCTAGGGCCTAGGGCCTCCCCCCGGGAAAAAAAACGCCTGGAACATAAGCGCGGAGGTCGACCGGGCCCGGACGCCTTCCGTACATTTTTGGGTGCTTCGCCTCCTGAAGCCCCGGCCTTGGCTCCAAGCGCTCCAAGCGCTCCCAGCTGAACCCCCGGTGCCCCGGTGCCGCCGGCCGGCCGGCAGACCCTTTTTTCCTCGCGGCGCGACTCGCGTGACTCGGGGACCCCCGGAGCTCCCCTGGCACCGGCGGAGCCGAGCCGATGCATGGCCAGGCTGGTTTCGATAGGCAGGGAATGAGTTGGAACCCCTAACCATCCAACGGATGGCCTCCTTCCAAGGGAATCCCAAACGGTTTCCCCAAACAGCCGGTATCGCTCATTGCCTATCCACCAGCAAGCTCTTCTTTGGCGGCCGGACCATGTGTAAAGAAAAGAAGTCATCGGAATCCTGCAACCAAACCCGGATTTGGAGAGGTTCACAGGGCCGGTTACGTCGCTGAACGCAAAGCCGGGATCGAATTGGACGTAGATTCGGTTGGCGAAGACTCTAACCCCCAGAAGGTTTTCAGTGACGACACTAAGCCCCAAGCCCCAAAGTGACCATTACCTGCCCAGGAGCTGCTGTTGTGTACACAGGAAATGTCGCCTGCTGGCCCCCAAGACGGTTCATGCTCAAATCCCTAAGGCTCATGACCCCTCCAATGCAGGCCCCCGAACCCTCCAATGAAAAACCCAGACCACCCTTGAAATCAACCCATCTTCAAGATTAGGGATAGTGGAATTCAGAGCAAAAGTTGGGCACCGCGGCACTTGGTCCGATTTGTCAATAGTCACCAGGCTGCAACTTGCCCCATGGCTTTGAATTGTTCGATTGGCAATGAGTTGGAATGACCCATATAAACCATCCCCTATGGTTTCCTAAGGAATCCTTCCCAACACCCTGGATCATTCCCGATCACCAGCAAGCCTGAATAGCGGCATACCTCTTCGCCAAAACAGGCTGGCTCGCCCGGCTTTCACCCAACGAAACTGAAACGGCTCCCAGCTTGACTTTTTTTGGAAGGCACGTTGGTGCATCTGTTGGATTGCCACGCATACCATTTCAATTGTCTGGGTCAATGAAGGGCATATGTTGGTGCATCGTCAGTTCTCTCAGACAACTCTGGGGTCAATCTGAAAACCAGTTTGGCTTCCGCCCTTTGGTTTAGTGTTTGCAGGGGGCCAGGCAACCTCAACTCGAAGCGGCGCTCGGCGCCCCGATTTTCCACTGGCGCTCTCTCCATTCTGGTCTCGACATGTGGGCCGTCTGACCTAACTTTTGCCGGTTTCTGCCACAACCCACTGACAAGTCCCGTGACCCCCAGGCTCGATTGCCACATTGAGACCGAGAAAAGGGGCACTTTTGGCCCTTCAAAGCAGCCCGCCTGCGTTCGGTCTGCGTTCGGGCTGGAAACTGACCTAGGCCTAGCGCAGGAGCATGTCCTGCCTTTCATCCGCTGGCTTGAAATCCGGCCGGCCGGCACGAACACTTCAGCCCATCTCGGTCGGGTCACCGCTCTTTTCGGTCTGTTTTTTTTTGTCCCTGTCCGGTTGGGGGACCTGGAACTGGTGACCTTGTCCGCGTGTCCGAACACCCCAGAACATGGCAGGTGGGGGTTGGGGGTTCGGAGATTCCGACCTGCTGCAATGGCCCTCAAAACGGTGGGGCTGAGGGCGTGGGAGGACGTCCCAGCCCAACAGACATGGCTTGCAGTTTCCAGGTTGCGCTCGTGCCCAGGGGTTTCAACAAAAACGGGGAATAAAAACAACAATAATGAAACATGTGTTTAATGTTTTTTTTTTTTTTTTTCTATCAAAAAATATTATTATTATTTTTTTTTTTTATTATTATTATTATTATTATTATTACTATTATTATTATTATTACTATTAGTATTATTATTCTTATGTGTTTTTTTTTTTTTAAGAAAAAAGTGAGGTGGAGCTAAGAACATGGCACCCATTTTGGTACCAAAGCGAGGTTTACATCCCCATAGCATAGCACCTCAAGTTGATTCTCCCCATATGGCAGAAAAGGGTTCTCAAGCCTATCGCCTCACTTGCGCAGGTGGGACCTGGAAACAAAAGGTGATACGTCTTCTGGAACTTTGCGCGAAATGACAAAGTGGGCAGTAAAACCACTCTACAAGTAGCAAGGCAATGAGAACAATGAAAACCAAAAAGCGGACAATAATAGCAATCCTAAGGAGCAAACTCCGGCCTCATCTGGGCCCGACAACGCCAAGTTGAGATTCTGTGGGGCAAGCGCGACTTGAGAAGCTCATGGTCAGAAAATAAAAACCCGAGCAGCAACGGTGGTCCTTACCTATCCCCCCTACCATCCATCCAAATCCAAAACGCAAAACACCGGAGTGAGTTCAATTCCCAAAGCGGGACATACGCCTCCACCGGTTGAATTGGAACCTGACAGGGGGGTTCTGGAAGACCATGGTCCCTTAGCACCGCCTGTCAGGTTCCACGTTCATGGGAAGGTAAATCCCCCAATGATGTGCGAAGCGTCCCCTGAAATTCACACCCATGTCCCTGCCGTGATGTCTGACCTTTGGCGCATCCGCACGGAGGCCTCTCCGCGCGGTTGCAAGCGAACCAGTTCCAGCTCCTTGGGAGGAGGAACTAGGCTGAGGCAGGGATCTTGATATTCCTCGTGGATGGTTAAAGCATCACATGGGCATGTGTTGTGTAAGATTTGGCTATGAACTTGAGTGGGAAGCCCCTCAACCATCAATTGGTGGACATTAATCGCATGGCGAATGATGTCCAAACAACTCCAATTAAGATTCGTACTAAGGCCTAAACAGTTATAATGGGAAGTTGAGGGGTGACATTTAGTCATGAGTGCAGGAATGCACTCTTGATGATTGCCCGGCCCCATCTGCTTCCTCTTCCTCACTTCCTGAGTGGACTGAACCAAACAAGCAACCAAGTAACCAAACTGCTTGTTTGCCTCCAAAACGGTCCAAACCCACCAAGTGCCGAAAAAACTGCTGAGTTCCGGAACTCAGGGAGTGAGTGGCTCGCTCACTTCGCTCGCTTCGCTCACTTCGCTCACTTCGCTCTCGGGTCGCTCCAGGCCGGGCAGAATTCACCTGGGAGAGAGCCCGAGGTCAAAAGCTGCGGTGCCCGCGGGGGAACGCAAAACAAACCCGAGGAACGGGGGGTTTGCAGGGGTCACTGCAGTCCAACCCAACAGGTTGGCCAACTTACTGGTGGTGTCCACTAAAAGGATCGCCACCTTGGGAGGTTCAAGAGGGGAAACGGAGGAAACCCGGTCGGATCGGCAGTGATTCGGAGAAAAACAAAAAAGTCCCTAGAGGGGTCCCTTTCAGGTTCCATGAATGTTGTTGGAAAGGTACTCATCCATGTGCAAAAACACTTGACCTTGCAACACGGATTGCACTTGCCCAAAGGACCAAGGCGAAAAGGACCTTTTGGGCAGGGGAGGTGGGGCTGGGGTTGCAATTGGACCGAATCTCCGATCAATAGCCAGATCCGGGCCATTCGCCATGATTCACCCACTCCTGGTAAACACCTTGGGCTCATCCACCTTTCAAATTGTGGCTCCGGGGTCTGGAACCTTGCTTCCCGTTTGAATCCAGTGCAATTCCCCGCTGAGGGCCTATTTTGATGGGGCTTTGAAATGTAGAGGTCCCGTAGATCGAAAGATCTGTTGACACAACATGCTGGCCACTTCGCACTGACCAGTGTTAAACACGTCGAAGAGCCCTGAAACAAAGATCGGTTTGGGCATAGGATTCATCCTGCCATGGTGGAGGTGTTTGTGTGGTAGAATGAGGGGATCTCAACCACAAAAACGTACCTTCAAAAACAAGCGCACACACACACACACGCCTTGGACCATGGCCCCCCTTGACCCCCGAGTGTGCCTCCAAATAGAGAAGCCAGCTTCACTGTTTCCCTGTACGGAAGGACGAAGCTCACAGGATATCCTGACTTGGATCTGGATGTTCCTTCTGGTGCATCCCGCAGCTGCGTCCAAGCCGCTAGATGCAAACGAAAACAGCTTCCTCGTTGATGCCGTCCTGGACGCGAAGGAAGGCAACCCATGGTGAGAGGGGGAGAGGGGGGCTGCGGCCAACTCGTTGAACCTTCAGTTGTGAGCTCGTGTTGCCTGCAGTGAGCTCGCAAGTAGGAACATTTTCATCATTCCCTCAATATTGTCCTTTCGGTGTCCCTTTCAAACATCTCCCTCCTTGGACATGACCTCGCCTATAGAAACTTCATGTAACTCCATGTCAGAAGCTTCCCTAATTATCCCGTTCAGACTTGTATGCCAGGGTTACTTAAGGGCACATGTATACTGTATACATGTGCACATGTAGAAATGTAGACATGTCTGCATCTATATCTATACATATGTATATATATATATATGTATGTGTGTATGTATGTATGTGTGTATGTATGTGTGTATGTATGTATGTATGTATGTATGTATGTATGTATGTATGTATGTATGTAGGTAGGTAGGTAGGTAGGTAGGTAGGTAGGTAGGTAGGTAGGTATGTATGTATGTATGTATGTATGTGTGTATGTATGTATGTATGTATGTATGTAGGTAGGCAGGCAGGCAGCTAGGTAGGAATGTATGCAGGTACAAATGCATGGGTATTTACCTATGTGTGCGTATATGTGCATAAAAAAGAGGATTTTGACCCCAAACAGGGGTTTTCTTGTGGTCCCTTGAAACCACCCTTAAAGGGTACCCACACCCATCTGGACGAAAGTGCCACCCCCAAAAACACAAATAGAGACACAAACACGGACACAGACACACAGCACAGCCACACACACAGCCACACACACAGACACTCACACACAGACACCACGCCCCGAACGGATCATCTCCAAAGGGCCCCAAACAAAAAACAAAAGAAACAAACGCCTCCCCCCCAACAAGAAAAAAACACAAGCAAGCCCCTTAAAACCCAGCCAGCCAAGCCCCCGTGTTCGTGCGTTGCCCCCCATGTTCGTGCGTTGCCCCCCAACACGCAACGGCATGGTCTCCTTCTCATCCGGCTCCCGGGACAAGTTCCAAATGCCCCGCCAGGTGTTAGGCGGAGGGTGAAACCTGGCAGCCAGCAGCTACCAAACCGAACTCAGCCTTTCGAACTGACTAGATAAAAGTAGAAGTAATGACATCAGGTGAGTGATGCCCTGCTAATGGCGGCCGATCCTGAGGGAACTCATCATTCTGTCCAGTCAACCAACCCAAGATGTATGTGTATGTTTATGGTTGGCCCAGCAAACCAAACCAAACTAACCAACCAAACTGGTCAACCAAACTAGTCAACCAAACTAACCACTCAACCAACCCAAAATGTATGTGTATGTTTATGGTCGGCCAACCAAACCAAACTATCCAATCAACCAAACCCATGTGTTGTGTGCATATATCTATGGTTGAGCGGAATTCTCGCCCAACTCAACATTTCTGGTGAATGTATTGTTTTTTCAGGGGGATCGGAAGTTATAAATTAAACTTGTTCTGGGGGCACCCAACTGGAAAGGTGGAGATGTTGGGTCCCCCCTTTTAGAAACCAACCACAAGTTGGAGAGTGATTGGGGGGCCTCAATTAATTAGCACTCATTGACCCATAGTGCACAGAAAACCTTCGCCGCACTTTCAGCAAGGCCAAGAAGCAGCTGTCAGCCTGAAAGATGAGCCTTCCCCATGGTCAACTCGAGCACCCTTCCAACCAAACTGAACCAACCAGCACTTTTTAAGGGTGGTCCATCTGTACCTGCAGTGCTTTTGTGTGAGCCATTTTGGGTGCAAATGGACCACCCCTGGAGGGTGCTGTAGCCCGACTTTGATTTGTGTTTCTATTTTGGGGGGATAGGAACTGTTAGAGGGCTGTTGGACATGGAAAACATGTGGAGTTTTGGACCCCCCCCAATTTAGAGACAAACCCATTTAAGATTGCGACTCTCTTGGACACCTGATTCTTTGTGAGGGCGCAACATGATGACACCTTAGCTCTTGAAGATGGATGTTTGGAAGAAGCCATAGTTAGGGCATCCGCCCCCCCCCCCTTTGGCTTCCCTTTAAAACCAACCACAAAGGTCCCACAAAAAGGACGCGCCGCCCCATTGGACATGCTGCAACCCTAGCAAACCTACACTCCTTTTGCCTCGGAATCTAAGGCCAAGGGTTTGGTGGAGCTAGCGCCCTGGCCCCAAGCCACGGTTTGGGGCTACAGTTCTAGGGGTTGATTCAGCCATTCCCCATTCCTTTCGATGGGGTTTGAACCAGACCCTGGGTGACCAGTTTTTGGCTTGTCCCTAGTTTTTCTCTAGGGGTTGCTTCCTTTTCCATTCCTTTCAGCCATTTTTCTTAGCCATTTCCCAAGGGCTTTTTGGTGGTTTTCTAGAAAGAAGGATCCTTGGAAAGAATGGGGAAGTTACCCCTAGAATGGAGGGCGGAGTTCAAGCCAAAACGTTGATCGTCCTGGCGGCGTCCGTTGAAACTGCTCAATTGGGGGGGTGTCCACTTGCAATCCGGATCACTTTTGATGGGTCGCTTGGAACCAGTGAGTACCATGATGAAAATACCCCTTGGGTTGCCTCAACTTGCTTGAGTGGATTTGCCCAAAACAAGTCCAACTTCCTTTGTTCGCCATCCAAGTTGAAGCTAAAGGCAATCCATTCCCAGACAAGAGAACAAGGGTTTCACAACTGGGTGGACGTCTACTTGTTGTAGCTATTGCGCTGGAAAGTGAAGGTGGTTTGGACAAGTAAGGTACGTATGCATGCTGATCAAACAACGTGGGATGCTTCCTCGAAATGGTTGCATGTTAGGGTCTTTGCCCACATCGGCGGCAAGGGGTGGTTTGGGGCAGCTTTCAGCTCAAAAGGGTTGAACAGCTTTTAGGGGGGTTCGGGGCTGTTGGGGATACCACCTGGGCTTCTGCTTTTGTTTCTGACTTTGCTTCTGATTTGAATGGAACACCACCATTCCGTCTCCCCTAAGGACACACCGGCCAAGGAAGAGCATTCAGCAAGGGGACGAGGCGTAAATGCAGCGGGGATCAGCGCATCGGGAGCCGGGAGCCGGGGCCCGCCGCGAGCGGGGGGGTTTTGGCCTGGCAGCCTGGGGCCCCGGCTGGTAGTAGCTGGCGCGCTTCCGCATGACCACCGAGGCTTTGTCGAAGATCCCCAGGTGCTGACCCATCTGAAGGCTCACCTGGCCGATGGATTCCGTCGAAAACCCCCTGGAAGCTACCAATTGGTTGCTGCAACCGCCCCTCGGCAAAAAGCTTAAAAACAAAAACAAGCTGTGTGGGTGTCATCGAACATCCCTTGATTTCTAACAAAAATTGAAGTCTCTGAAGATCCAACTCAACAGCAATCAAGCCTTTCTTCTCCAAACAGCTGGAAGCCACGGAACCTCTGCCCGCATCAGCTCCGGGGTCCAGGCGGCTCTGAGGTCGGGTTCCAAGCAGGGTTCCAGGGGGGTTCGGGGCTGTTGGGGATCACCTGGGCAAATTTGGGGTGGAACCTCTTGGACTAGTACATTCACCTTGCCCGTGGTGCCTGGTGGCTTTGTTTGGTGGCATGGGACCTTTGGCTTGGTACCTTCCCATTTGGTTTCAAATTAGGAACTGGGGTCCAAACCCCCAAGCCACCAAACGAAACCACCAATCAAGGGCTGGCTGAAATTAGGTATGCGTCACACTAGAGACTTGGACCACAAAATGGTGGAAATCCGTTTTGCTGTCGGTTTGCCTTAAGCCAACCGCCAAAACCGGACAAGTAAAGGTCTAGTTGGCGCTGAAATGACCCTTGGACGAGCTCAGCTAGAATGTGGATGCGTCTCAGGAAGTCCCTTAGACGTGTCATACGTACTGTTCATCCATGTGTCTGTCCCTATTTCCGTTTCCTCTTTCTTTTCTTTTGCTTTTGTCCGCTTCCGTTTTTTCATTTGGGGGGGGGCTGATATATGCCGCCTGGCCCCCCCAACGCCGCCTCCCTTTCAAACCCACCGGAACCGAAGCCCCGAAGCCCGACTCAAAGCCCCGCGGCCTCGCGGAAGGCGCCCGCGGCCTTGTCGAACTTCCGGTCCACGTAGAGCTTCAAGGCTCGCCTTCGACCCACGACCCGAACGAAGGAATCGAAGGAACCGAAGGCATCGATCGAAACGATCGGTGCATCGGCCGAAGGACTCGAACGCGACGGGCGGCCCGGTAGGCCGGAATTGGTCCCCGGTGCCCTGGGTTCCGAGAAGCAAGCACAAAGTGAGCGAGTGAAGTAGTTTGGTTTTTTTTGAGGTTCTGAAAGGGATTTTTGGTTTGGTGCGGACCCAGTTTTGGGGGTTCCAAAAAAAGGGGAACACGCGCAGCAACAAAAAAGGCGAGATGCAGCCCTTGCAGCAGGGGAGGGGCCAACTTGCAGCAAAAAAAACGCCGCAAGCATGATACCTTGGTCGTGTGTTGGCGCCGCAAAATGCGGCCGGGATGCTCGTACTTGCGTGACAGCGTGTCGCGGAGAATGAACCTGGCCGAGAGCCCCGCTTGGAATCGGTGTGTCTTGCTTGAAGCCAGGCCTGCCCCCCAAACCCCGCCAGGAACGCCCTTGGCAAGGCAGCCAAACAAACCATCAGCCAAAGGAGGAAGGAGCGAAGTGAACACCCATCAAGCTGTCAAGCCTAAGCAGATTGAAAGGGTGCGCCCCTACCGCCAGAAGGGCCCTGCAAAACGCAGGCAGTGGGCTCCTATCCATGTATCATGTATGCTCGAAGCATACTGAAAATGCCCAGTGCTTAGCTGAAGAGTACCAACAACTTCTACTTCCCAGGACCCTACTTTTCGGAGGAACCTCCTTTTGTTCTTTGTACCTGAGCGCCCCGAAGCTCGCACAAACCACCCCCCTACGTGCCTAGGGCTTGGTCGGGAGGAGCCCAGGTGTTGAATCACCTCAAACACCATCTCCTCCAACTCCTCGCCATACCTCGGAACGCTTGTTTTCCTATCTGCAACTCAACCAGGGATCTCCTTTTTCTCGCCCGTTGTATAGCGAGTTGAATATCACCCTGGCTCCCCGTTGAACACATTCAGGAATACATGGGGCTCTGCTTCAGGACACCTCCGAAAATAATCTTTCGCTCCATTCCGCACCCAGAGCAGAAGTCCATTCCTACCTTCGGAGTTAGACAGTAGAGAGGCGTTCGAGGCTGCATGTTGATCCCCGAGAGGGACATTTACCTCGGACATTGCTCAATCCTCCTGCAAGGAGAAAGGCGGGGGTGGGGTGTTGGTAGGAGCAGCTTGGTGATTCAGTGCTCTTTAGGGTTCTTGTGGAAACCATTGGGATTTCATTTGCAGCAGCAAGCAATGCAAACCCAACGCGTTTACATTAAAAACAACTAACTCAGGGCCTTTCTTGGCGAAACCATGGAGCGTTCGACACCAAAAGCCATGCGCATCGCGGCACGAGAGGTCCACAAAGTCCACCGGTCTCAGCACAAACCTCGGTGCAGTGACTCAGTGGCGCAGGCAATGACTCTGGTAGAAACAAAACGCCCTGAATTTCCTGGAACCCTCCAACATACCTTTTGAGCATACCACCCGCCCCCAGCCTCCCATGATGAAGATTCCTTTCACAAGGTGTCAAAAGTGGGGGTGACTATTTTCGGATTTTTAGTCAGCGGATGATAGCCCCGGCTTTACGAACCGGTTTTATTAAATATAGTGTTGCATCCCCAGCAAAAAAAAAAAAAAAAAAAACCTGTTTATCAACCAGGCGTGTATTAATCCGGGGTGTCCATCACCCCTCAATTGGTGGGTTAGGATTTGAACCCCGGTTCCATCCAGTTCCTTTTGAAACAAAATTGGGAAGGCATCCCCCCACCAAACCAAACCACAAAGTCGGGATCGATGATTTCGAGCGAGTCGAAAAATAAGAAAGACAAAGGGTGCCCACCAAACAACTGGAATCCTACCTTTCAATCACCCACAGGCTGGTGGTCATTAATCCGGCGCGCGCTTGTGCTAGAACAGGGGAAGCCCCCCCAAACTGGTCTCGCTTACCCCTTCAAATAGCAAACCGAAGGAAAAACAACAAACATCCAACAGCTGGATCTAAGGAACCTGCCGATGGCCCGGAAGATTCGACAAAACTTGGCACGGGGCGGGGGGACTGTCAGAAGAAAAAAACACCGCCATCCACAAATCCAAGCCTTGTGTTATAGCCTGGCTACCCAATCCAGCAAGAACCAAAAGGGCTAAATTTGCGTTCTGCGCACATGTCTATGTTGAATAGCTGGTACCTGCTGGGTGGTTCTTATCCACATTGGAGGACCAACATCTGTGCCCTGATCCAAGCTTGCAAGGATCGCCATGCCAGCACCCCAACGCCCCAAATCCATTGGAGCAACTTGCAACGTTCGATGTCCATTTGCTTCAGTCCCCTGAAAAAAAACACAAACATATCCAGTGGTGGTAGATTCCCTGCAAAACCAACCGGAGACAAGAGAACAATAACATCCCTTTCAGCAAATGGAAGCAAGGGCTCCCGAGCTCCAGATGGGACTACAAAAAGAACACCATGAAGCTTGAGCAAGTTATAACTGTTTAGCTTGCTGGTGTGATAAGTAGGGAATGAGACATGGAATGAACCTGGGGATTCCCTGAAAGGAAACCACCAGTTGGATGGTTTAATTCGTGGTCCCGCAAGTCATTGCTCTCATGTACCCTGATGGTCAGGGTTGGGCCTTCCGGGGTGCAATCAAACGTCCAGTTCGAGGATTTTTGAAGATGGGTTGAGTTCAAGGGGTACTGGGTCTGGGTTTGTCATGACAGGGGGCCTGCATAGGGGTCGTGAGCCTTAATTAGGGGACAAATCCAGGTTCAGCAGGAAGTTGGGCACGGCAGAGTTCCCTCCAGCTCCCTACATCTCCCAGCCAGCAGGCTCCTCACGGGGCAGCCTGTTCCAGGTGGCCTCCCGAGCCGGAGGGGAGGCCCCGGCCAGGGCGGCCAGGGCGGTTTCCCGACGCCCCGGTTGTGGCGTATCCGTCGCGACGAAAGAACAAAGGCACATGGCGCCTTGCAAAAGTAACCAGGGCAAAAAAAAAGGGGAGCACCGGGTTTGCGTGTGTACATGTTTGTGAAGAATGGGCAAGTAAGTCAGCGACCCGAAGTCGGACTATTTTCGGGGAGCCTTCAGGGTGAAGCTTCAGACCCGTTGCCACACTTTGCGCCGCTTCCGTCCGGCCAACAACGAAAGAAGCCCCCAAACCCACAAAATCGGGCACCGCTGGGCCACTGGGTGGGTCTTTGCGTTTCAACCCCTCCAAACAAAAAAGAACAAAGAAAAACAAAACGCCCGGCACCGCAACCGGGCCACCGCACGCTTTCCCCAAGCCTTCCACCAGCTTTCCACCCGCGTCCGGGACGCGCCTCGGAAATGAGATTCCCTGTGCCGTAGCTCTTGTTCAGCTCCTCCAGGCGCGAGGGGACGTTCGCGTTGTCGCCTCGGGACTTGGGAAGTCGGGTTCGACCGCGCGAATAACAACAGCCGGCTTTCCGGCAGCCAAACGTCGGGGAAAGGGGAATCCGGCAGCCAAACGTCTGGCCGGGGAAGGGGGGGTCTCCAACTTCTTCGTTTTGTTTTGTTTTTTCTTTCTTATAATACGACTGAACAGATCCAATGTCTATTCATCAACTGGGGGATCATGCATCCTGGGTTCCCATTAGCCTGCGACGTTTGCAATATGTCCCGAGCCCAAAATGAGGGAAGGCCTGATAAAGGAATTCGCGTGTCGTGTATGCCCTGAGCTCGTGATTTTTTTCAAATCACATTTGCTCACAACCCCTATTGCAACGCACCAAGGGCCCCGGCTAAGTACTCTTCTAAAGCTGCTTAGGGGTTCGCATGGTGACTCCGGGGACCCATGGCATCGAAGCCACGTGAACTTTGCTCAGCTTCAAGCCCTTGAACTTCAAATAAGGGAACGTTCAAAAGGCGATTCGGTTTCAACGGGTGTTTTGCGGTTCCCTCCCTGTTGCCACATGGCATCTGAACAATCAGTGCTCATCTCCAAGAAAACCTCTTTCAACTTTCAGCTGCAGCAAACCAAGGCGCAGCTAGCAATCCCTGCGAAAGCTTCGCCTGCAAAGCATCGATCCGAACCCATACATCCGAATTGTAGAATCAACCCCCGAGAAAATCCCTGCAGAGCATCGATCCGATTCGATCCGAGAAACCCATGCATCCGAACTTCAGGCGGGAGTGGAAGCCAATGTTGCCCACGCGCACCCAGCCGGTGTGGACCCCACAGCGAATGCTCACCTCGCTGGCTCCAGCGAGGTGAGATGAGGTGAGCGGGGTCACACGCCGACGAATTGGTTTCGACCATCCCCAAACCACCAAAAGGGGTTTGGCGGGATATGGAACCACTGTAGCGGCTCGTGTATATATATATATATACATGTCTTTTTGAAAAAGGTGGTTTGGGGGCTTGTACTATCTTAGACTATTAGAATCAGGAAACCCGAGGGAGGTCCCGAGAAACAGTCCATGAACATAATAAATCGACAGCCTCTCGTCTTGTTCGATGATCTAGGCATGCATAATCTTGTCAACCCCTTCAGTGGCCTATGGCGTTGCATTGCAATCAGTTGACTCGGCTCTTGCAGATTGAAATGGCACCCTCAAAGGTGCACCCACAAAACAGGCGCTCCTCTGCAGGTGAGTGGCCTAAGAAGTGAAAGCCGGCGGGGAAGCCGCTCGGCAAATGTCAAACGGCAACCAAATAATGCAAACAGTTCTCCGTGGGGATCGCGCAGGCTTCAAAAACATGGAATTCGAGGGGGACACGCCGCCCAAACAAAGTACGTTCACAGGGGCGTCCTAATTCTTCACCGAGTGCAAGGGGCCGGGGAAACTCTCTCTTTGCCTTTAGTTCATCTGGGGTCACTACTTTGGCTCAAAGTCAGAAATTGGGGAAACCCCCTGTATGCTACCAGCTGAACGGCCCCGGGGGTGATTTTGATAGCAGATCACCCCAGAAGTTGTGGTGGTACCCTCCCCCGCCAGTCACACTCAGAGGTTGGTGCAGCCACAGGTGCGTGCGGCAGGCCCAGCTGTTGAGACCAGTGGTTAATCTTCTGGACACCTAGGGGCGGTGGCTTACTCTTCCTGAGTGGATTTGCCCCAAACACTCTGGGATTTTTTTGGATGGCAACCAAAATGGTCTTCCCAGAAAGTATGAAGTGCAGGAACTCAGGAAGTGAAGCTGCTCTCAAACGACTCAAGACCTGGAATGGATGAAGCAATTCCTCCGCGTGAGCAACAATAGACTACTGGTATGTAGTTCTGCCAGAAGCGTCTCTGAACAGATTTTGGAAGTACAGCCGGCTAGATAAGTACAGCTAACTAACCTGGTGGTTGTCATTCCTGGCCGTCAATCCCCATGACTGGCTGCTCATGGCTGCTCACTTTGGTCGGACCTTTCCAAGCGCCAACAAGATCCCCACTGCCCCGTTTCCCATGTGTTCCTGTATTCAATCTCGCGCACCAAAATACACTCCGGACAGCTCTTGCGCGGCCAAAAACTCTCGTCCCGCGTGTCTCCGCCTCTCCCCACGTTTGCCAACCAACGCACAGTTCCGGGCTCAGGCGATCTCCCCCACGGTCAGCACCAGAGGAACCATACAAACTCAGGTGTCCTTTTAGGTTGGGAATAGATGGATATCCCTGGTAGATGAGGAAAAAAAAAGTAAGCCAGGGAAACCTATCTATTTTTCAAGCAAAACAACCAAAAAGGGACACCAATGCATCCAAAACATGAGCTACTGCAATCTTGTATCTTTTCAGGGGAATTCATTTGGCTGTGGCTCAAAAAAACGGTACCAAAATGGAACCCTGGTAAGTGGAAACATGGACCAAAACCTGCGTAACCCCCCCTGTTCAATTTTGAGCCACAGCCATTTGGCAATAGAACCACGTTCCTCTTCCGAGCGCTGCGGGCAAAACTTGGGTCCCGCCCCGCCTCGCTGCATCTTGAGCATCGCCTTGACGCAGGCCTGGCGAGGTGTTCTCTGACTTGGTGGGGCTCGGAGACGCTCGGAGGTCGGGGGTAAAAACCCTTTCGATTTGCGGGTGGGTAAATACCAGGTGGCCGTTTTCGGTTCTCTTTTTTTGCCAAAAAAGGCAAAACAACCTGAAAAAAACGACCTTCTAGTAGGTGAAATAGAACCCCCGCCAAACGAAACCAACTCAAAAAGCAAACAAACATCAAAGGGGATGGCTGGGAAGCACCAAGACTTGTCGAGGCCCCACAAAAGGGGGAATGGAAACTACAAACTCCATCGAACTCCCTCACCAATCCCTTCTTTCAGTGGCGCGAAATCTTGAACAGGCAGTTGCCACAGTTCGAACGGATAGCCCTAAAATGACATCTGGAGCATGTCTTTGTAGACGGCACCTTTGGTTGTAAAGGGAAGCCAAAACACGCATACATACATATATATATATATCCTGTGCCGTGCAGCCCATTGTTAGCAAAAAAAGCGGATCAAACAAAAAGTGGCCGAGCTGTGAGAAAATGCTCGAGCTTTCAAAGGGTTTTCCCGGATTGGCTCCCGCTGTTGAGGCAAACCCATGTCGTGCATGTTCGGAAGAGTTTGATCGCCCTTGATGTCTCACGTGGCGTGGTGTGTGCCACTGTTGGGAGATTTAACCCCATGTGTCAACTTTGAGGGTACCCCTTTTGGTGTGGGTTTGCGGGGAAACCAACAAGAGAACCACAACTTTGGAACCCCATCCCCTTGTTGGACACCAAAACCCACATGTTTCGACGACTGTTCAAGACACAAAGGTTTGCGCCCACCGGCCAGCCCATGGGCCGAAGCCGGCAACATTCACCACCAGTCTGGCAACTGACCTGTGAAGTAAACATGCGCCTCACAGATATGCTCCCAGAAAACCCTTTTTCATGGCTATTCCATCCCTCCTTTCTACCCCAAAGGATTTTAGTCCATCCCTCCAATGTTTTATCCCAAAGGATGTGTTGCTCTGTTTTTCCTCGACCTCTTCCCCAAGTTCTCGTTGCCTCCGCGTGGTTGTTGTTTCGGATGGGCGCCCCGAAGACCGCGTAGATGGCGTCGCCGATGAACTCGATGACGACGCCCCCGAAGCGGTCGATGCTGGGCCGCTCGAATCGTCGAGGGCGGATGGCGGAGTGGCCAGAGGAATGGCACATGGGCGGGTGACAAAACAAGCGGCCCCCCCGAATCAAAAAGCACGTGGGTGACAAAACAAGCGGCTCCCCCTCCCCAACAAAAAAACATACAAGTTTTCCTCTGAACCAAAAAGAGAACCTCAAGAAACACACACCCATCTGTCCAACCCTTGTTGACCTTTGCAGGAGGGTTTTAACCTCCTGACTAATTGAGTGGGCTGCCCATCCAAGCAGGACCACAGCCACTTTTGAGTGCTACTTTGCTTGGGTCAAGCGAATGGTTAGGACACAATGGGCTACATCGCTTGAGACATTTAGCAAGGTCCTGGCACCTACCCGGCTTGGGCCAACCCCTCTCACAAATCTTTGAAACCAATAAATGCTTAAACGACCTCTCTTCAGATGCTTTGAGCGTTCAAAAACTGGTGCCCAAAACCGCCGAAGCTGGAAGACAATAGATGATGGACCAAAAGGCTCACGAAAAAGCAAATCTTAGCTTGGTTGCTGCTGACCCCCCTGCAAAAGGTTTATTCTTTGGGGTTTAGTGGAAAACCACCCAACTGTATTTCCCAAAAAGTTAAAGTCTAAAGATCCAACCCAATAGCAGTCAAGTTAGAAACGGAGCGTTGCGCGTGTGCGTTTCTCGTGTCTTCTTCCGTGTCCGGGCGGCACGTCGGACATGTCGTTGAAGTAGCGACTCAGCAGCACCAGCGTGTCCTCTGGCTTCAAAGACTCCACGATACCTCGGTCGAAGCCCAGAAGCCAGGGGCACGCGGCTCGGGGGACATGGTCATGTAACCCTGCCACAATACATATATATATATATAATTATTTATATACATATATATATACATTGGTTGTTGTTACATATTTATTTATACCTATTTTACTATTTTATATTATGTACACATATTTGCTGTCTATATATATATATATGTGTCTTTGCTCGTTCTATATATATATATAATACAAACATTATTTATGTAGGGAATTTCCTCTAACCCCTGCCAACCCAGGAGTAAACTCAGCTGCCCAAAGAACCTGGAAGTGAAGGTGATCACCTTTTGAACATTGCTTCCAAATTAGGGAAACCCAAAGGTCAAATGGTCGGCTTTGGGCACGTGAGGCAATATAATATTAACCACTGTTCTATGTATATATGCATATATGTATATATGTATGTATGTATATGTATATATATATATATCTATTGAATTAAGGGGTGTCCCTGGTTTTCGTTGGGAATCGGACTTTGGAGAGGCCTTTCCCCGAAAAACAACTCGGACGGGTAAACAATTCAAGGGGTCAACATTCGGGGATTTCGGACTTTTTTGGACGGGAACACCCGCCATGGCTCCAAATAAACGCCTACAGCATGGGCGGCTTTCGGGTCCACAGAGAGGTAAACTGAGCGTGAGCCCTTCATTTCCGTATGTTTCCCTTGGCCTTCCCTTTGACTTTCCCTCAAAGAAGGACTAACTACCCTTAAAAAAAAAGGACAATCGATCAACGGTTTTGAACAAGGCTGCTCGCGGTGTCCCATGCCAAAAGTCAGGCGCGCGAGGCCATGTTGGGTTTCTCTCCAGATGGAACCCTCAGAAAGGTCCCCAACACCCCGAAAAGGCCCAGAAGGGCCGATGCCTTGAGGAGAGCCAAGTACGCCTGGGCCAGAATTCCTTCAAGTGGCCCTACAAAAAAAAAAAAACGTGGACCCGCCGCTTCCAAGAACTAAACTGAGGCGCTGGTAAAGGACGCCATGTCCGAGAAGAAGAGCGACACCTCGATCGCGGGTTTTGAAAAACAATCCTGGGGGGGGTGGTGAGCAGGAATAAGGGAAGGCAGACAGGCAGGCAAGCAGGAAAGCAACAAAAGCAACAAAAGCAAACAAATTAAACGAGAAAACTAATAATAATAAAAATAAAAATAAATCAAACACGCCAACAACCCACAACAAAAAGCACGACTACAACACAAACTAGCTGAAACACCAACACAAACCGACTCCCTCGTCGAAAGATGCCCCATGCGCAAAACAGCCAAACCAATGCCTCACACCCCCAGTGGCCATAAAATAGCCCCCCCCGAAAAAAAAACACGTTTTGTACAGAGAACCCCTCCAAGAAAAAGGGACAAATTGGAGCACCACTGGAGGCTCTATCAAAACCCCCGGCCCTTGGCCTCACATCCGTAGCGCGCCGTTCACGGAACCCAACCAGCACCCCCCAATGGCTGGCAAATAACCCCAAAACAGCCACTGGGAGGTCATTCAGACCATTTGCCAGCCATGGGGTCCTGGAAGGGGCCGCACAAATAAATAAATCAAACACAAAAAACAAAAGACAAAAGGACGCAACCCGCTGCAGGCTCCGGCCCATCAGCGCCCCGGCGGCCTTTTTTTTTTCCGGCCCCGTCTCTCTCTGCCCCGCCTCCCGCTCCTCCAGCGTGGGCCTCACGTGCGCCCCGGCCACCAGCAAGTTCTGCACCACCGGCCACGGCACGTACTTCCCCCAGCTCTTGATGGCCACCTTCCTGGCGGAGTTCTCGCTGGCGCGCGCGCGGGCGAGCGCGCGCGGGCGAACGCGGGCCGACTCCGGTGGAGTTGGAAAGAAGCGTGGCCCAAGTTTGGACCCACCCACCGACGGGAGGCATTCCTGGGGGGGGGGAGGGGGGCAAAGGTGAAGTTGCCACATTCATAATATATGATTCAATTAGGGTCACAACGAGTGCTATGATGTGTTCGGTTGTGACATGACGAATGATCTTACTAACCTCGCTGGTATGTATATTAACTTGCTACTGCATAACTGTCACAATTTAGTATTTACCGACCGCTGACGGGGAGGCATGTTTTGTGTTGTTGGTTTTTTTTTTAGGGGGTCCTGGAAGATAAATGTCCATTAATTTTCCTCTTGAAGGGTCCCCCTGCTCGCTGCCATGGCAACGTGGGAGGGGAGTGTAACCTTTTGCCAAATGGGGGAAAAGGTCAAAAGGTCGATTCACTTTGGGCAAGAGAGGTTGGGAGAAAGGGGGCTTGGTGGAAACTTGGACGCTTGGGGAATCTGATCTCGTGCTGAAAGAGGCGCCCTAGAATCGAGGGCTTGGACACACAAAGCAGCGGTGTCCCATCCCATGCAGATCCTATTCCGCGCCCGGAGCGGCTCCAGTTTGCGCAAAAGAACCGAAAAACGGGGCTGAGACTCCAAACAGAAGTGAAGCACGGTTTGCCAGTGGGGTGGGGGGGTGCTGTTTGGGGGGCGTTCCGGTGTCAAATCCAGGATGAAATCCAGACCTTCCCCCGGCGAAAGACCCCAAAACTTACTCTCCTGAAATATCTCCGGGGTTGCTTTGGATGGCGGAGTGCTACAGTGGGTGCAGCTTGCAATATGGCTGTGGCTCAAAACACCGGTACCAAAATGGAACCCTGGTAAGTGGAAGCGTGGACCAAAACCTGCGTAACCCCTCCTGATTAATTTTGAGCCACACACATGGCCCATATGTTGCCAGTGGGCTGGGGATGACTAACAACAGACCCACGCAAACAGTATATTCCAGACACTTCTTACTGGTTCGCGGATGGACATGTTCGACAATACCCCCGAGGATAAACAACTTGGTTCGGTCAAGCCAAGAAGCAACCATGGCAATCTGACAAAAGGTTTCACTTTGCCACGTAGTTGAGCCGGAAGGAGGACTCAGCAAGGTTCCTGTCATTTTCTCCTAGAAGGCACCCTTGACCAACCAGGTTGGATTGTTTTGGGGCCGTGCTTCACTAGATCAGGCGGATCGACATCGCGAAAGAAAGGACACTATTTAAAACACGCAGCACAAGATGGGATGTCCGGCGATGTGTGAACCACCTGGTCGCCAGTTGCTGTGTTTCCTAGCAGCAGCGACTGCGACTGCGACTGTCTTTAGGGCAAAGTGTCTGGAACAACGCCGCATGGCTATATAAAATTTTGGGAAGCCATGACCACCAACTTCGCTCTCCCCCCCCCAGCATCGCATCAATTGGGCAGCGCTCTGGCGCTTGCCAAGTGGCGTCTTGGTGAAGATGTGCTGGATAAGCCGCACCTGGCCATCGCTTAAACTAGAAATGAGGACCCCGCCTGGATATACATCATTGAGAATTAGAGCCCGGAATTGGACCAGATTTCTGGACAACATCAGACTTGGCAGGATGGCTGGGAAGAACCAAGTGAAGAAGCAAGGACTATCCTCAAACAAGTAGCCTTCAAAGGGGCCGCTACCCATCAACCCCAGAACCCAGCAACCCCTCGGCCTCCGCTGCGCCGCGTGTTCCCTGCCAGGCTCGGAATGGTCAGCCAAGAGCGTGGGGGGAAAATCAACCAGTTCAAAAGGGTTGACGAGAATCCCTAGGATCAGTCCAAAAGCCACTTGCTGTATGAGTGGGTCCTCTAAATCAGCTGGTAAAAGTTGATTTCCTTACTACCTCGAGGAGGTCCTGCCTCAGGCAAACAAAATATCAAACGGTCAAGCCAAAGTGCGAAAAAGAAAGGAGCCAAGGATGTTGCGTATGTGTCCGTCAAGCTGAAAATCCAAACGAAATGGCTGGTGGGCCTTTGGAAGAGGATAGTCGGCTGTCTGAACCCGTCCACTTTCAGCGACAAGCTTTGGGAGAGTGGACAAAGTGTCAGCTGTCAGCCACTGAGAGCCGGCACAAAGTGTGAGCTGTCAGCTCACAGCGAACTGGAAACCAGCGGGAGGATTTGCCGCTTCACAAAATGGGCGAAGGTGGATGTATGAGGCGATGGGCTCCGGGGAGGTGGGCCAAACTCGTTGCAGGACGCACGGCTGGTTGACATCCTCATTCAGGGGGAATTCATTAGCTTCCCCGGATTTGGATTGTTGGATTGGTGGTTTACAGCTACCTTCTCGCTTTCAAACCACCAATCCTTAAACCACAAAAATGGGCTACCGGGGAAGGAAGAAAAAATAACGCCCCGCCCCATCAAACCAAAGCAAACAAGTAATGTTAACCCTCCCATGGGGGGTGGCCCCCTCCAAAAGTGATGATTCCCCACTAAACCCAGGGACACCCCCTATTAATGAGCTGTGGTTGATTGATGTGGGGTCAACATTAGGCGAAGTTAAAACGGAAGGCAGCTCGCCCTGGACCCTCTGCTGCACTTTCTTGGAACAACGCGCGTGCCTTCTCCGTGGACACTCCAGCCAGCTGAAGCTGAGCCTCAACCGTCTCCCGTTTGACCCTCTGTGGAACCCGCCTGAGGTGTCCTTTAAACAGGCGGCACACGGCTGTTAAGATACTCGCTTGGTCCGGTTCCATGTTCGGAGGGTACCGCTCACAACTTCCCAAAACACGAGAGAAAAAGGGCCACCCTCGGTGAAAAGAGCATCTTTTGATGAACTTGGTGAAAGCCCCATGCTTTCTGGGAAGCCCCTCCAATCTTGACAGATTCGTGCCCCCAAGCAGTATTGAGGAGTCTCTTTGTTGTGGGGATTCCCTTCTTTTCGGGAGACCCTCTAACAAAAAAACGAGGGCTTACTTGTTCATCAGAAACCAACATAAACCGAGCCCGTCAATCAAAGGCTCTCAAACACCAAGGGCCCTTTCACCCAAACCATTTGGGTTCAAATGACTCTGCCAAGGCCATGCTGCCCAACCTTTTGGGGAAGCCCCAAAAAAAAAGCACGGACACACCCCTCTCTCAACACCCTTGTTCCTTTTTGTTCTAGGCAAGGCACTCAGATAGACCTGAACAATCCAACACTTCTCCAACACTTGGCGGGGGCCGTTGTCTTTAGGGTTGCGGTCGTGAAATTGATTTATTAATTACTTGATTGCTGTTGACCCCCCTGCAAAAAGTTTAACTTTTTGGGGGTTTGGTGGAAAACCCAACTTGATTTCCCACAAAGTCAGCTGTCAAGATTAGAGCGGCCAAAACCCGAGCCAACGACCGAGGCCAACGGCGTCGAATTTACGGGCAAAAGGCCCCTGCCGGACCCAAAACCCGCCAAGACCCCAAAGCAGAGCCGTGCAGCTACAGGGGGCATTCAATAGAAACGTGGCCCCACCGTTTGGTGAAAATCCTTTTCACTTTTGGAGGAAACACCCAGAAAGCCCATCCGAGATCCATACTTGGCATCGCTCGCCTTCCTTTTCTCATGGCGCATTGTGCTTCTGCCGCGAAGTACTGCGGACCTGTCCGGCCTGCCGGTCTGCCGGTCTGCCGGCCCCTTGGCCTCCTGAAGTCACGCGTTTGCTTTTCTCTCTCTCTCTCTCTCTCTCTCTCTCTCTGTCTCTCACTTCCTGAGTGCCTTGGCACAAAAACCAGTGTCCCAACTCGTATCTTGCCACTAGAATGGTCCTTTCCAAAAAGTATTCAGTCCAGGAACTCGGGAAGTGAGTTTTGTGTCTCTGTTTGCTTTCTTGCTTGCTTGCTTGGTGTGGCCCTTGCAAAAGCCTTGCAATGCTGATATCCCGAAAAAAGGCAAGCAGAATCAAATTTCAGGCCGGCAGCCCCATGTCGTGCAACCAAGGGCTAGTCACAGCTAGTCCTGGCCAAACGGAAGTGCAATTCTGCGTGGATTTGATGAAACCGCCGGGGACAACTTCCCTCGCGGCCATGCCAAACCACACGGGTCCCGACGCCGTCGCACTGGGCAGTCCCTCGCCCGCCGATCTCGGCTCGCCGATCTTCTACGCGACTCGCAGCGTCTTTGGCCTTTGGCCCGGCGGTTCAGTCAGCCGACTGAACGCTCGGCCGAAGCGTAAGGGGGCTAATGGCAGCGCCCCCCATCTGCCATGGTTCCTTCACGGGCGCGAGCTTCACGAGGTCCGCAATGCAAGCAGGTACGGCAGCCTTAGATGCACGCTCAAAATGGCCCGACGAAACAAGAACACAAGATAACACAAGGGCCGGGCCCACTTAGTCAAAGTCATGGAATCTTCTTCTGGGGTGGAAATCCGCAGCTGCTTCGTGTTCGTGGAAGAAAGCGAAGAAGCGTGCTGAAAAGTAGGGGCTTGAACCCTCCTTCGAGACTGGCTTGCGTTCAGTATCTCACATGCCCAGTGGCCAGGGGAAAAAAGGATCGGCATCCTTTTTCTTGGTTGGTCGAGTTTGAAGGGAACCCTTAAGGAAAGGGCACCACTGGGCAACTGGAGTATGTTTGCCAACCACTGTTTGGCTTTGTCTCTGAGATGGTCGCAGGTTCCAGCCCGATGCCTGGATGAACTGGCCCAACACACCCCCGATTCAGGCCTCGAGAGGTGCTGAACGGGAGAGATTTTGGACCCTCTTCAGTGGCCCCTGGCAACCCTTGAGGAAAAATCACGTGTGCCCATGATCCATCCCAGAAGCTCGAGGATTGTACGTCCCCCATTCCTTGGCCCAAGTCTGGGGTACGCAGCAAATCATATTGCCACCCCTGCAACCCACCAGAAAATCCATTTTTCATGGCCCCCCCAAAGAAGGCTGTGGAGAGGGGTGGCTATCCCTCATTCACCCCTCAACAAGGCTTTATTGACTGCTACTCCTTGGCTTCTCCCAGGCGTATCCAGGGATACCCCCCCCCCCCCCGCCCCAGAGCTCCCCCCCGCATAGCCCCACCTCCATGACTTTTTCTTTTTAAAATATATATATATATATTATGATTATTATTATTCTTATTATTATTATGTGTATTTCAAAAAAAACTGGTCTTCCAGCACCCCCTGACACGTTCCATCCACTTCCAGACCCCGTCCCCGTCCCCTCCCTCCGCCCTCCGGCCCAAGCCGCAGGCGGCAACGCTCCGCCTCGTTGCCCAGGTCCCAGAAGTTCGGCAGCGCCGAGCCGTCCGGACCTACCGAACCCGAAGCCATTTCATGAAGCCTCCCGGAAAAGAAAAAAACAAGAAAAAAGAAGAATAAGAAAAAAAGAGGGGAACATATATACATATATATATATATATGTATATGTATATATATATATATATGTGTATATATGTATATGTATATGTGCATATATATATACATGTATATTTCCAGTAGTGAAATCGAACCCCTTTAAAACCAACACGGGGAAAAAAGAATCGGCCAGTTTCCTGAAGCCTCCGGGAAAACATAACATATAAACACCTGGGCTGCCTGTTTTCGGATCCCCCGCTAAAAGTGACTCACTTTTAGTGGGTGAAATGGAAACTACCACTAAGCACTAACAAGCTAACAAGCTATGAGGCTAAAAGGCTAAGGGGATGGCTGGGAGCCACCAAGAAATATGTCCAGCCGTGAAATCGATTCCTTTTAAAACCAAGCAGGGAACATAAGCTATATTATTAAGTAGTGAAATCGAATCCATTTAAAACCAAGCAGGGAAAGAAGCAATATTACTAAGTAGTGACATCGATTCCCTTGAAAAACCAACAAGGAAAAACATCAGCCATATTAAGCAAATGGAAGACCGCTGCAAGAAACACTCAGCTCACTCAGCTTCTTCCCGGTTTGGAGGTGCTCGCGGGGGGGGGGGTTCAAATCCCCAAGCCACCCATCCAGACCACTGTAAGCAGGGGTCGCTGCTCAACAAAACATGCGCCCCTTGTAGTGCTGCTGGCAAATTAGGTTCTACAGCCGTCTGGAAAGGTTTCAACATGATCTGTCCGTTTTTTGGGGTTTCCCTTCAACCAAATGAACCCAACACGTGTTCAACAGCTGCGGGCTAAATCTGGCACGTCAAACATCCCAACCATTTTCGGGTGGGGGGGGGGGGTAGGGTTGGGCATTAAACCAACCAACTGGCGCCCTTCAAGGAAGAGTCTGCTTGCACAAGTTGTGCTTCATGTTGAAGCAAGAGGTTGGCCCAAATGGTCTCTCCAAACTGAACTCGGTTGCTTTCGGCTCTTTTGCTAACTAAAAGTTTAACTTTTAGTGGTTTCATGGAAAACCCCCATTAGGTGGCAAAAAGTTAAAGTCCTACCATTAAGCAAAATGCAAACCAAGCCAATGCCGCCACTCGCCCAAATCGGCTGCAGGGTCCCACGAGCCCAAGGTCCGGCGAGAGAAGGTCCCGTGAGTCGAGGGGCGGAAGTAGGTGGTGGGCAGCACCAGCTGCACCACCATGTCCCGTGGCAGCGCCACCTTGCCTCCTGCACCGGGACTCGGATGCTTGGATGCTCGGATGCTCGACACGAATCCCTTTGGAGGTGGATTGTTCGACTCAAGAGGCGAAATGGAAACTGCAGGGTGGCAAATCGCGCTTGGAGGCCTGTGCGATTGCTGCACCAAGAGAAGACAACACGTGTTCAACCAACAGGTTCAAGATCCAACCAAGCAGCTAAGGGTTGTCTTCCTGGATGCCCATCCCAAGAAAGACCCCGAGATAACCCGAGGAATCTCAGACCCCCGCCTGTCACCATGATCTCCGGGGCCTTGCCGTCGGGCCCCACGTCTCCTGACCGAAAAGGACGCGCACCGGGGTTTGCCCGTTCACTTGGGCTGTTGATGGTTTGTTGGGCTGTTGCTTTTGCTCAGCTTGTGGGCTGCTGGGCTGTTGGATTGTTCTTGTCTGGTCAGAAAATGTCATTTTTAGTTTTGGGGGGATCTCAATTGATGAAGACACCACCAACAGCCTCAGGCATCCGGTCTACAAGCTACGTCTGATCTGAACTGATGAAGACACCAACCAACAGCCTCAGGCATCCTAAGGTCTAAGCTACGACCAAGTTTGCCACCTCAGCCAAACCAAAACCTTTGCGTGCGTGCAAACAAAAGAGCAGCGGAGGAGGTGGCGCAGTTGCACAAAACGCGGCACAAGGGCAGACAGTCGACCTGGAAGGAAACAAAAAACTTGTTTTCCAACTGTATCCTTCAAAGGGAGTATGATAATCTTTCGCGTGTTGACCGTCCGCCCTCTTCGCGTGAAAAATAAAAACGACCCTGTGTAGAAACCGGGTACGGTGGTCCTTGCATTTCTCAAACATGGTCGCTCAACAGATGTGGAGGACATGTTGAAGGAGCAGACTTCATTGGTAAGGCTTTCTCTTTCCTTCCTTCTTCTTTCTTTCTTCCTTCCTTCTTTTCTTTCTTTCTTCCTTCCTTTCTCCCTCTCTCTCTCTCTCGCTCTCTCTCTCTCTCTCTCTCTCTGCGGCGTCCCTTGGTGAGGTGTGGCTGCATCATTCCCAGGATTCTAACTCAACAAATTCCACAAAAGCAACCGTATTTTCCCGGGATGGGGCCGAGGGCTCATTTGAATGGCAGGCCACTGAAGGTATAAGCATCATGGAAGTGGTTGCCCTTCTGGCACAGATTCCAGGAATTCAGCGTCAGAACCATGTGGACCCCAGAATCATTGACATGGATCCGGATGTTCAAACACCTAAAGGCCAAGGATCCCGTCGAACTGCACTATATAACGTGCAGGGCAACTATGCAACTATTGCAAGTCCAGAACGCGGACCCAAGTCTAGGGCCAGGGGGTGCCATAGCAACAAAACCCAAGCGCCAAAGACCAACAAAGAGCCCAACAGCCGCTGACCCGGGCGCCCCTCAAGCCCCTACCCGCCGGAGCCAAGGTGACCCTGGTAGAAAAGGGAACCCTTTTAAAGGGCTGCCTACATTTCCCCTGAAACATCACCCCGCAAGAAGGAAACTCATCTCACAGTGGCAGGGCAATCTGGGGCAATACATACACCTGCCCCCCCCCCCCCCTCAAAAAAAGCCTTTCCCCATGTCCAGCACCCCCTTACAACTGTCACAAAAAAAAAACTGATGCCCTGCAGGTGCTGGACACTAAACCATTCAGGGGGCAAACCACTGGGCAAACCGAAAAGGGAAAACCAAAAAACAGCGGTGGCGCTGGGCAAAGCCCGCATCCCCATAGGTGTCCTTTTTCGGGAGAATAGCTGGCTGGATATCCCTTGTAGTTGGTTGAACCCCCCGCTAGGAATCGCGCACCAAATCTACCGAAAAGGACACGCCAGCCGCCATCCCCCGCGCCGGAGGTGTCGACCAGCGCCACCCGCGGCGAGGCATCCAAGTCAGCCCGGGCTGGGGTCTTGACCTAGGCCCAGGGCCCAGAGCCCAGGACAGGAGGATGATGAGGCGGGTGAGGAGGGCGAGGAGGGTGAGGATGAAACAAAATCCCCACAACACAAAATATTCATGCAGACAAATCCCTCCAAAAACCCACCAGACTTGTGGGAAAACAGAGGTTGGCGAATTTCGCTTCGGCGGGTGCGTCTCTTTTTTGAGGGCGCTCTTCTAGACTCATTTCAGGGAACCTTCCCAACCATTTGCGGAGCTCCAATTTTTTAATTTCGCTACAGTCTTGTTCTCCTCCAGCAAAGGGTCCTATTGGATTGCTTCACATCCTAACGCCCAACAGTGCTGAAATGGGCCCAATTACCTAGCCAGGCGCAAAGAATGTCTTGAGGCTTAGAGTTAGCTTCGCAATTGTTTTGGCAAATCCAGTCAGGCCGCTGCTTCGCCGCCCAGCAAGAGTTTTTCTTGATCTTTCTTGCCAAGGTGCCCAAATGCGGGTCAGCTGTGCCACGCAGGGTGTTCCTTGACCTGAAAACGGCAGGACGGAATTGTCAGGAGGACAGCTTCTGTTTGATATTTCCTAGGCGTTCAATGCAGGGGGTCCCTATGTCAAAACAAACATGGGTTTACTTACACTGGCGGTTTTGGAACCACTGGACTATGAGACACTTACCAAACAGTGAATGGCAAAACCATCTTGACCAAACGGAAAGAGGCATACCATGCAGGACAGTGCGGGTTTTGGTTGGCTGCCATAAGCAAATGGACCGTCGGGAGGCTCCCGGACGAACAGGGCGGCTTCCCTCCCAATGGCAAATAGCGCACGCACCACAAGGCGCTTCGACTAAGGGCCATGGAATTCACGAGAGTGGAGGGGCACCTTGAGCACAGTAACCAAAGGCCAACAGGAGAGGAGGGTTCTGGGTGGTCGTTGGTTGGTTGAGTCAATCAATTCGCAGAGCGTTTTCTGGGTGGCAATTGCCCCATCGGAGCTATTTGATTACTAGCGGGTAAGCACATGTTCAGAAACAGCTAAACTGGTTGCACTTCCTAAGTCCTGGCATGCTGGCGACACACTATGTTTGTTTCTTGGTGCTAGCCAACTAAACAGCATGCCAAGAAGAGTGAGGTAAGGATGGGGAGTTCAACAGTGGTCATTGCAGTCATCAGGCGCCAACGCCAACTGCGTATTCCTCAGCACACCCCGTCTGAGACCCTGTTGCACTCTTTGGATCCCGGTCGCAGTTGCACTCAAAATCGAGGCGATTGACTTTGGGGTTCCCATGAGCACCCCCCTAAGGAATCCCCCTCATTTTTGAACTTTCTTTGTGGGGATCCGTTTCTGAACGGTTCCAAAGGGGATCTAAGAGGAAACCAGCCACCAGGAACGGTCCCTCATCTTGGCGGGTGCCTTTCCCCGCCTTTCTCGCGACGGCGATGCTGCACGCAGGGCACGTAGAGGCGGTAGGGGCACAAAGGCGCGACTTCATATTCACCTCGGCACTGAACCCACGGGCGACCGCAAGTCACTTCCCGTGTTTTTGTTTTTTCTCCTTCCGGTCTTCTATCACCAGGACCTGCAAGCATAGGTGTCCTTTTGGGGGAAATACATGGGTAGAGAGGGGAAAAAGCAAGAAAGTAAAAGGGCACTACTGGGGGCCTAGATTACGGCACAGGACTCAAGAACCCGCATAGGTGGGATTCCCTTCTACAGAGTAACAGAAGGAACATAGGTGTCCTTTTGGGGCAAATAGATGTCCCTGGTAGATGATTAAACCACCAGGTGAACCAGGGCCAAAACAACCAAAAAGGACACGATTTGTAGAGGACACTCCCTTTTTTGGGGGGGCCCCCCCTGTTAGGCTTCCATGTTGATTTGCAATGTTGGATCACCTACATGTAAAATGCCTCCGAATGGCTTGGGTAGGGGGCCAAAGCAGTGTGACCATTGGCTCTCGCAAACCCACCACCCAAGGGTTTCGCGTAGGCTTGTCCGATTGCAACGATCCAAGACAAAGGCACTGAGCCTCAACCACTCATGGGTCACTGGATGTCTCCGTCCAAAGTGGCACTTAACTGGAGGATTTTTTTCCGGAAATGGAGGAAGCCTTGCGACACCCCATGTTTGGCTTGGGCCTGTGGAAATTATCTAAACCATCTCGGAAAAATATCACATTTCACTGTTCCCGCGGATCAAAGCCCAAGTGGCTCGGTTTCCTCTTTAACCTTAAGCCTTCAGACCTACACTGTAGGAGCTTCGGAGGTGGCTTTGAGAGGCCAAGGCCCAGCTTCCGAGCCCAGCCCCAGCCCGCTTCAGGCCCCCCAGCCTTCCTCCCCGGGCACTTCCCGCTCCTTGCGCCGGCGCCGGGGCGCCTCGGCCTGACAACGACGAGCAGCACCGAGCATGAAGCTCATCCATTGATCTGAACGGCCCAAGGCACAACTCATGCATGCACATATGTATGTAAATCTAGATATGGTCATGTCGAAATGAAGGGTCTACCAAGGTTGTATCTCAGGCTTCACAACTCTTCGTGCTTGTTTACATATGTATATGTCATGTGTATATGTGTCGATATGTACAAATTGTGAGATTCGTAATTTACCTATATATTAGTAGACTTTAACTTTAACGATTTCCACACCCTCAAATTCCAGCCCCTTGGTACCTTCCGGGAGGTTCTTTGACAGTTTTGACCCCCCAGACATCCTCAAAGCGTACCAACGGCCCCTCTGCCGAGCTTTCCACCTAAAAATGTCACCCTTTCATTTGAGGCATAACTAAAGCCTGGTCTCAAAGCGCAGCCATCATACGACGGTTTCTTGCCACACCGACTTTAAGACTTTTGATGTGTGAGGCCTGTCCTCCCTTCTGCCCAGGCTTGATTGCGTCTCGTCAATTTGCGGCTCCATTGCAATGGGGGCAAGGGCCTTGTTGCATGCCATTTGTCTCTGTACACGCGTCTGCGCAAGGGCGAGAGCCTGGCTTCCCAAATTCGATTCATTCACCCTTGCTGCAATGGTTCGGCGATAGGGGGGTTAAAACCCCAACTGATCAAAGCCCACCATGCCACTAACCAAGCACCTACCAGGGTTCCCTTCCCCAGGTGCTGCGTTTGGAGGAGCGGTCAGCACCAAGACCCAACCGGTTTGGATAGACGCCTAGACCCTCCTTGTTCCAAGAACCTCCATCTTGGATTCCCCCATGGCCTGGCTCAATCCTTGCAAACCTTCCGAAGGGCCAAGGAATCTGTGCAACTAGCTACAATTCACAACATGGAGATACATAAAAGACCTTCATCACGTTTCACCCCGCCTGGTGAGGAAATCCTCAAATTATCATGATGGTATAGATGCTATTTGGGTGTCCGAGGGTCATTTGCAGGTGATCCAGGTGTTGCTTTGAGGGGCTGTGTTGTGTTGGGCTAATTTTCGGGAAGTCTCTCCCCAAAATCGCTAGGAATGGCCAGGTTTTTACGGTCAACAAGTTTGAAAGCAAGCGCAGGTGAAAGTGACCGCCTCATTCCCTAAGCCAATACCGGGGGAAATTGGGCCATCTACCTTCAGACTTTCGCCCAAATGGGGTTTGCCTGTTGAGGGTACCCTTCTTCACCTGAAAAAGGGGATCTAAGGGAAAGATAGAATGTTGGGTGTCCAAATAACTATTCGGAGACCAGCTTTTTGTCTCAAAATGTTGCACCCTTCAAAAAACGACGCAAAAACAACAAAAAACATCTGCCCCAAAAAAAAGCCCACCCTCCAAAAAACAAACACCAACCCACCCCCGCCCCCACATGGGCCCTGCCTTGCGCCCGTCACCCCTCCCCTCCCGAAGAACTCTCCCGCGCCTCCCGGGGGTCCGAGGAGACGCCCGAGTTCCGGGGCGCGGGGCCGAAGAAGCGGTGGCCCTGGGGGCAGCTGTACCTCGGGCCAGTGGCGCCGACTCCGACTCCGGCGGCGCTGATCGGTGGCGGCCGCGCTGTTGCGCCATCGATCACTCGCTGCGGGCGGGGAGGCGGGTGGCCCGTTGCTTGCGATCACTGATCGGTGCGGTAGGGGATGCAGGCTTCGGCCCCTTTCAAAGGGTTGGGCTACAAATTCTGCAGGAGAAAACAGCTGAGTTAGGGTGTTTTGGGGCCGTTTCCTGTAGATTCTCCTGTAACCAACCCACTTGGCTTCAAGGAAATCACCAGTTGGATGGTTTAGAGAGTCATTCCCTGGGGGTCGAATCTGGTCCCTGAATAACCCGTTAGCACATCCAAACACATCCAAACCAAAGTCCTGCCATACATGGTTTCCTCTATTTTAGTGTCTTTTGGGGGTCTCTCTCTCACTTCCGATCGAGTTGCTTGTCCAGAAAAAGTGGCCAAACTGTTTGTTGACCACCAAGAGTGTGTCTCCCAAAAAGTTGAAGGTTCATGGTCTCAGGCAGTGAGTTGTACCAAAATGGAACCTTGGTAATGGAACCAAGTATTAAAGCCTGCGTAACTCTGGCTCTTTGTTTTTGAGCCAAACCCTTTTGGAGCAGAGGCGTCCTTTTGGTTGAAGATCGACGGCCCTGGATGGGGCATGAAACATATCTCAACCAACGGAGCCGATCGATTCTCACCAAACAACCTAAGAGGGACACATATGGTCCAAACCCGGGTTCTCGTTTTTGTTGTTTGGATAAGTACCATATGTTGAGACAAACGTACAAACCCATATGGGTCTAAATTTGAATAGGGGGCCCGACATGGTGGACATCAGTTACGTGGGGAGTCATGTCCAGCAACCACTTTGGAGGTGCTTCCGTATTGAATTGCACAACCACGCCCCCAGCTGTGCCACTGTGGAGGGGCAAAATCCACGCCAGCACCAGTTGCATGGATGAAAGGGACACAGAAAATCTATCAACTGCAGGATGCAAGTGCCAATCCCATTCTGTTAATTTCGGCCTAGCACTTGTCTCCCAGAAAGGTGACGGGAGTTTGGCGTGGGGGAACCCACCAAACCAAAGCGACTAAGAAAAGTTCGTTTACCCTTTCAGGGTCTGGGCCAGCACTTGTGGAAAAGGATGCAAAGCCAAAACGGGCAAAAGGGCCCTTTGTCGATGAGCGAAGTCAGCAATCCGGTGGCTCATTAGAGAACCTCCAAGCCTAAACCAACACCTCCCAACCTCAACCTTCCCTCTCCCCCCCTTAAGCCCCCCCACCAACCTTTCCCCTCCCAAGCTCCCCTTAAGCCAAACCCCTCCTTCAGACCCCCCCCTTGGACCCCACCCACGCAACCCAAGCGGCTCGAAGCCCAGGAAGACCTCCGAGCCAACCGCCGGCCGCCAGCGGCTCAGCATCTGCAGCTGGTCCGCGAAACCCGGCAGCTGGGCCCCCTCCTTCGGCGCCGAGGACGGCATCCCATAAGACCCACCGGCTGTTTCTGCGTTTCTTAAACAAACAAAACACACACACACACAAAAAAAACGAGTTGTTTGTTTTTTGTTTAAACCAAACAAGGTCTTCCCATGTCGTCGTCCCAACAAGTAGATGGGCAGGAAATCAGGAAGTGAGTCAAAGAAATTACGGCGAGGTCGTGCAGGAGACCCATTCCATCTTTGTTGTTGGGTTGGGGGGGGGGGGGGGGACTGCCCTGTTTTGAGACCAGCCCCTAATCGATGCAGGCAGTTTCGCTGAAAATAGGAGCCACCTCCCAAATGCCAGCTTACTCAAAGGGTTCGCTTGTAACGCTGCAATGGTCGTTGGATGCATGGATCTGGGAACAATACGCCTCCCTCGTTGCTTTCTACATTTCTCAACATACCGGGATGGAAAAGCTTTCCAACCCTACTAGGTCCTCCAGTAGAGAGGTTAGAATAAGGGTACCCTTTTTTCTGCAGTCTATTTTAGTAGGGGACCCCTCCCCCAGGAAAGGGTAAAAGGGCACCACTGGCGGACCTAGCCTAGGATTGCGGAGCTCAGCTCTGTGCGCTTCCAACCTCCTTTCAACACATGATCTGTGGTTCAGACCTCCGAGCTGGCGCAACGGCTTTTCCTGTTGTTTGTTCTAGGGGTAACTTCCATTTCCATTATTTCCAGGGATCCGAACCTTTCTAGAAAACCACCAAAAAGCCTGGGGAAAATGGCGGGTTGTTGAAAAGAACGATGGCTGAAACGAATGGACAAGGAATCAACCCCTAGATGGTTCAATGAACCCACACAAACTAGAGGGTACTCTCAAACAACCCCGCCCCCCCAAAACAAAAAAAAAAAAAACGACACGCCGGGTGAAAGTGAAAACCCTGGGGAAGCCGGCCTGGGACAAACACCGTCGGACAGGCAAGGAAGTCACCTTGAGACGGAATAGAAAGGGGGTTTCCTTGTTAGACGGAAGAAAAAAAACCTGACACAAAGCAATCACCCCTCTGGAAAACCCTGAAAACTCTGGCGAGAAAAAAGAACATGCACACCCGCGAAAAACGCTGCCAAAGCAGGCCACATCCTCCAAAAAAAACCACGCGACATCAAATGGCCAAACCCGAACGCCCTCCGAAAAGCCATCCAATGGCGCCAAAAACCCACCAGCACCTCCCCAAAGCCAACCAACAAATCGACCAAATCCCTAGAGACAATCACCACGCATAGCCACGCCTACCTGCTGCCCCCCTTGTGTTTCCAGGGGCCTTGTTGCGGCGCCGGGGCTCTTCGAGCTCCAAAATGCTCCCCATCTTTTACTGGGGGGGGGGGGGGGACTGGTTCGTTGCCATTCCTCCAGTAGAGAGGGTCGAATACGGGTACCAACTGTTTTCTTCTTCTGTAGTCTACTTTAGTAGGGGGTTTCCCTCCCAACCACAAAAAGGGTAATTAAAAGGGCACCTAGCTGGGGGACCTAGTTTATGTCCGACCACGTCCCACCAATAGGTGTCCTTTTAGCGGAAGATGGGTTTCCCTGGTAGATGATGAGAAACCACCAGGTAAACCAGGCAAACCAATCTATTTTTCCAGCAAAACAACCAAAAAATGGACACCTATGTTTCTGTAATCTATTTTAGTAGGGGAACCCTCCCCCCAAAAAATTGTGAGAAAGGGCACTACTGGGGGACCTAGCTAGTTCTTGTTTTTGTTGTTTGGATGTTCCTTCACGAAACAAAATAGCCCAAGGGTCCAAGTACCATATGTTGAGACAAACATACAAACCCATATGGGTGTGACTTTGAAGAGGGGGGGGGCGAAATGGTGGACATCACGGCATCATGGTGGGGAGTCATGTCCAGCAACCACTTTCAAATTCAGAACCACGCCCCAGCTGTGCCACTGTTGAGTACCACAGGGGAATTGTACCACATGTTGAGTACCATATGGCCATGGGTCAAAATCCAAATCGTACCCCCAGTGAACATCCGATTCAATCCCCCACTAAAATAGGTTCTAAAATGGGAGGTGAATTCACCTACCAACCAAAATGGGATCCCAAAACGGTTTTGACCGCCATATGGTTGATGTCCGCCGCCCGTCCGCCGCCCGTCCCTCGCCCGTCCCATGGGCCTTGGGGTCCAGGCGCAGCGGGGCGTCCGCCACCAGCGCCACGAAGCCCTTGGCCTCCGGCAGCGCGGAGGGCAGCGCGCGCATGGCGGAGCTGCCCGGCTTGATCTTCCCCAGGCCTTGGGCGGACGTCCGGAAAAAAACGTGTCCGGCCTGTTGGGGTGGGGGTGTGGGTTGGTGGGTTGGGGGGGGAGGGGGGTTGGTGGGGTGGGGTGTGGGTGGGGTGGGGTGGAAAAACAAAAAAAACATATGGGCGCACAATATGTGGTAGGGTGGGGTTGGGTGGGGTGGTAGGGTGGGGTTGGGTGGGGTTGGGTGGGTTGGGTGGGGTTGGTGTGGGTGGGGTGGGGGGGGGTGGGTGGGGTGGGTGGGAGGCTGATCTTCCCCAGACCTCGGTGGTGGAGAAACGGCCCACCTGTGGTGGGATCGCCCTACCACACATGTGGCACCCCACACCCCACACCCCAACCCACCCACACCCCAACCCCACACCCCACACCCCACACCCCACACCCCACACCCCACACCCCACACCCCACACCCCACACCCCACACCCCACACCCCACACCCCACACCCCAACCCACCCACACCCCACACCCCACACCCCACACCCCACACCCCACACCCCACACCCCACACCCCACACCCCACACCCCACACCCCACACCCCACACCCCCCGCCCGACGGGTTGTTGGATGTGGGGTTGGAAAGCCGCAAAAACCAACCCGCCCAGCTTTTGGTCAGGGGTGGTAGGGGTGGGGGTGGCGGGAGGGGAGCGGCCGGGCGGGTCGCCCTGATGGTCCACTTTGTTGCCCCATGTTTGGCCAATGTTGGAGAAAACCGCGAAAGCCACAAGGTTGGCGGCTCCATGTACAGGATAGTTTACCATATCAATGTGAGAACATCTTGTGGGTACTTTGTTGGGGTTGGTTTTCTGCCCCATTGTGCATGCAGATGGCGCAACGCCCAACATAAGTGGGTAACATCCTCTTTCACCCAACTGAGGTGAACCCTCCCCGCCTTCGCCCAGAAAAAGGTTGCGCCAACCACGAGTTGAAGAAGAAGGGGTGGTAGTTTGGAGAAAAACACACACAAATCACAGGCCCATGTTTCGTCTATCTTGCTCCATGGTCGGCCCATGGTTGGCCCCGTTGCTTAAAGACAATAGGATGTTTGGTATGTTGAAGTCACCGAATTGAATCCTGGTTGTTAAGATCTGGTTGGCTAACCCTTGTGGGTTCCTTTTGAACGGGGCCTCAGCCTGGCCAAAAACAACTATTCAAGAAAAAGAAAAGAGACAAATACCATCCCGTGCTTTCCTGGGTCCTCCAGTAGAGAGGTAAGAATAAGGGTACCCTTTTTACGAGAGTCTATTTTAGTAGGGGAACCCTCCCAACAAAAAACAAGGGTAAAAGGGCACTACTGGGGTGGGGGACCTAGTGTCCATGATCTGGCTACTCAACCGTGTTTGTGTCTTTTTCTGGGGAGGTTGGTAGCTAAAGAGAACCAAAGGAAATCAAAGACCATGACACTGAGAAGAAAGTCAACAGGTTGCCATCGGGAAGAACCCGTGTTTTGACCGCCCTCTTGTCTTTTGGTTTATTCGCCATCGAAATTGGCCCCCTGATCGAGTGAGTTGAGACGTGTACCAAAAAGGTCTTCCCAAAAAGTGGAGTCCAGAAAACACGAAAATGCGTGGGAGCTGAATGCCAAAATCGTGAGGCAGCCTCATAGCGAAGAAATGCCTTGCATGAATTGCACAATTGACCAACAGGTGAGATGGGTTACCCGATTTGTTTTGCTTCTTCCTGGGGGACTCTGACTCGCCATCTTAAGCAGAATTGGCCAGAGTCACATCACCCACATTGACAACACCAACCGCTAGCAAGCGGCGCGGCGATGGAGGGATGAGCACCTTGGCTGCAAGTTCTGGTTCCCAGGTCCGAAGAAAAGAAAGACGCAACTCTTGGATTTCAATCCCTACTGTGGATGGCTGCGAAAAACCATTTCGCACCACCATTCAGAAACCCAACGAAATGATCTGTCCACCCTGTAAATCCCAACGAACCTTATGGTTTCACCTATGGTTTCATAGTGGCGCTGCTTTTGCAGACCTTTATGGCGCCACCAGCTTCGGTGCCTTCTTCCGGGGCCCACCGCCACGGGTGACCTCTGTTGAGCTAAGCACCCCAACAACAAAAAAACCGCCTGCCACGGAGAGGGATCACACCGAGTCCCAACTCTTGGGCATTCAACACCATGAGAAAAACCGCCAAGCATTCGCACTCCCATGTCCACAACCGAACGAAGTGACCTAACAATCGCCAGACGAGGGCACCTGGTTGTCGTGCCACTTGGACAGATCCAAACAGGTTGCTGTCCCGTTCGAGGGGAAAAAGAACACTTGGCCTACTGCCACCCTTCAAGGGCGAGTTTGGGACCGTGGGGTCACCATTTCCCAACCCTCCAACCCCTGGTGCTTTGGCTTCCCAAATTCCACTCCGGTCCTTTGGACCCCAAACTGGGTGGTTGCTGAAAGTAGGGCACCCCCAAACATGTGCAATGCCCTGTTCATGTCTTTTTTTACCCTACACAAATTGGCAGAATCCCTAACTGGCTGTGCCTGTGTCGAGTATACCTTTTTCTGGCTGAAAAAGGCAAGCAAAAAAACAAGAAACAAAAAAACAAACATCCATTTTGAGGGTTCCCCCATTCCAAAACACAAGCCCACCTCATCTCATCAACTCCACCCAAGACCCAAGCCATTTCATGATCTCATCCACGCCTTCCTCGAAACCACGGCCCATCTCACCTCAACCCTTCCCCCCCGACCCCCAAAAAACAACTTCACTCCCTCAAAAAGCCAAAACACCGCCCATACACAAAACCAACCGAGACGAAGCTAGCGAAACGCCGAGGGCAAGGAGCGGGGTCCATCTCGAAGTCGCAGGTCAAGGGGAGGAAGGGCATAAAGCTGGCGTTGTGGCAGCAGCTGCCGAATGAGGGCATCGCCACAGCCGGGCCCTGCGATCCGGATCGCTGGGAGACGTAAAGCTCGCGAGGCGAGAGAACGAGACGTGAGGCAGACAAAAATGGTCGCTGCCTCTGGGGGAGTGGGGGGAGGGGGGTATGAATAATATATTGTTTTGATAGGAACCTCCTTTTGGGATAGGTGAGCACTGAATGACAAGTTGGTTTTAGAGGAGCTATCCTGTGGGGAAAAAACTCTTTCTTGGCTGCAGACCAAACTTTGAGCTGCAAGATTTATGGCTGGTCAATGGGGCACGTGTCCCAAAGTTGAAGGCTCATCCTGGGCTAGGCATGGGGTTGAAGTGTACAATGGGTTGCTGTTGCGAAAGGACATGGCCCACAAGGCCCTACTGTTGTGATCAACGTCAATGGCAAGGGATGATGCTCAATGCAAATGTCCAAGCTTGTCTGGTCTTCAACCCGTTGCACGGGCCAACAGTTGACAAAAAAACACCCAAGTTCAAACTATCTGTTGGCCAAAGCTGAAAAACAAATGACCAGTGGTTGCACCAAGAGGTTTGAGGTTGTCTCGCAGTCCTTGCCACTCGTTGAAAGACGTCACAATCAATCCCCCCATTTGGGATGAGTCACCCGCTCCCACATTTACGGGGATTACTCTGCTATCCACTTTCATCCTGCATACCCTCACTTCCTGCTTGGCTGGGCCAACAATCTTCTGACCTTTTTGGCGCCACTAAAATGGCAACGCCACTAAAATGGCAACCAAACCCAACAAAGTGGCTGTGGCTCAGAAAACTGGTGCCAAACTAAACACGGACCAAAACCTGCGGCTTGCCCGGAACTCTGGGAGTGAGTGCCGCATATCCCCACCTGGGGTGGCACGAAGGAATCCGCCAGCTGAACCTGCCGAGCTTGGGAGCCGTTCGATTCCAAGACCCAGCCACCTTCGCTGCTTCCTTTTTTACTTTATGGAGTTATGTTTTTATTTTCATATTTGATATACACTAGTATACACACTATATACACATGTCAACAGGGACCTGTGTGTGTGGTGGTTGGTTTCCTTCTGGCACCCCTCTCCCTACCGTGTCCCATTTAGGTTTCATCATCTTCCTTACCCACAAGCAGGGGAAGTTGGTCCATCTACACCTCGCGGCCGCCGCCGCAAAACAAAGCAAAAACCCGCTCTCGGCGTTGGGATTGCGTCTCTTCTGCTTGCCTCAAGCTTCTGCTGCCGGCCCCAAACAGAATGACCGTCCCTTCTCCGATTTTTTCTCCAGCCGCCATGGGTTTCCATACGCTTCCCTTCGCTTCAGGCGACCCCCGTTCCCAAAGCAAACGCGAACATATATGTATATATACTCACCAGTCATGTGACTTTATTTCAGAACCCACCGCCCCGCCCAAAAAAAAAGAGAAATCACTGTTTTTACAAATAAGCGCCATTTCCCTCCAAACTCCACCACAAACATGAACCACAAAACACATATACCTGCCATGTTTGGTGTCACCCCCACACCCAGAGGGTAAACAAAACAACTACATGGCCGTGGGGCTGTGCACTTGGCACATGCTCCTCATCGATTCCCAATCTACCGGGCAGGTATTGGGGATATAAGGGTACGCCGTGGCGAACGAAAACCGATCTCCTTCCTGTCGGCAGGTCAGAGGGTTCTGAAACCAACATGGGGGCAAAGCTTCTGCGTTAGGCTCACCACCTGTGAGAGAAACCACCGTTTCTTCAGCATTGTCCGCCGGTGCGGCTGGCCACCTGGCGGCCATCTCCCTTCACCCCTTGACCAAAAAAACGTGGACTTTCACCCCAACCTGTTTTTTCTACTCGCAAGTACCTCGCGGCTCATCTCAACCCTTGGTTGCTGTTGACCCCCCCGCGAAAAGTGAACAACTTGTTTGGGGGGTTTAGTACGGAAAGCCCACCTTGATTTCACCCAAAACGTCATATAAAGTCTAAAGTTCCGTTGCCCAAGAGCGGTCATTTCCCTACAAGCCCAGAAAAAAATGTTAAAAACAACGAGCAAACACATGAACCACAAAACACAGAACCCTGCAACACACAGAGCCACGCGCAAATCGAATCGACGAGCCTGGCTCTTGCCGCAGAGGCAGGGCAGGCAGCTCCGGAAGTTGCTGGCCCCTCGGTGCTGCTCCTGCAGAAAGTTGCGGGGTCCGCGCACACGAAAAATAACCAACACGGAGCAGGTGGCTTCTTTCGTGTTCTTTCTCCCCCGTGTTTTATTTTACGTGTTGTTTGTTTGTTTGTTTTTTTTCTTGAGAGGTTCCATCTTTTGAAGAGAACAAAGCATGTTCTATGGTTGTCTTGTTTTGGATAAGGGTTCCTTGTTTGCGAAAATCCTTTTTCACGTCTAGCTTGCGATCCTGTGGAAACAAAGGCCGGCCTTTTGGCAGACCCTGCCACGTAGATTTCCCAGACCAGTGATGTGTTTTCATTGCCTCACTTGCCCAAAAGACCTGGAAATAAAAGGCTGACCTTTTGGGACCTCTACTAAAAATGGACCAACATGGGAAAACCAAAAGGTCAAAAGGTCGGCTTTGGGCAAGTGAGTTGTTTTTTTTTCAGATATATATTGATTCAACAGGGAAGCCTCTTGTAGATAAACCCTTTTGCTCACCAGTGGCATTCTTTTGGTGTATTGATTCAATTGGGAACTCCCCCCACCAACGGGTTAAAACGGGAACTGGAGGTCTGGGATCCCAGTGCCACTGATTCCTGTGGTCGGATGGTAACTTGCTACCCCGCAACGGGCGGATGAGAACCATCCTTGCGAACAAGCAAGTCCATGGAAGGAAAGAGTCGCTGGTCACTCTCGGCGTGCATAATCCGCATGGTGCTGCAGCCAATGCAAAAACGTCCGTGTAGAAACTAGCCAGTCAAAACCACCAGCTCTCGCTTGCTCTCGAGGGAACATGGCTCATGGCATTCCACCCTAGCCTGATTGTTGGGTTCACATGTAAACGCGTCACCCAAGCCACAACGCATCAACCATTTTGAGAATCACCAAGCTGAGCCGGCCTTGCAAGATTTGCCCGCCTTTCCACCCGCTTTGAAGAAAAATAAGGCAAGGGCTTCGACACTTCTAGGGGGCCTGGTCCCCTTTTTAACCAAACAAATTGTCAGTCAGGAGGCACACTCTGGCGACTTCACAAAAAGCGGGGTCAAAGGACGTCAAAGCATATTCCTTTGACCTTGGCCCTTCAGGGGATGGACTCAGTGTGCTGATTCCTTGTTGGATTCACCGCCAGCAGCTAGACAGTTGCAAGGGCGGGCTTGGCTTCCAGTATGTCCCACTTGAGTGTGAATTTCAGTTCGCGACCGGCACTGAATCTTAGTTTGAGTGAAAAAACAATCATCCAGTAGTAACCGATTCCCTTTTAAAGTCCACAGGGCAAAGCTGAGAAACGCATAAAAAATCCTCCGGCAAAAAAATTGGGAGGTCCTTCGCCGCCCATCCACTCGACTGCCCCCCGGGTCCCTGGGCTCCTTGTGGCCCTCCAGCAAGGCGCAGCTCCTTCCCGACAGACTCCTGGCCTTGCAGGGCCTCCGGCCGATCGCCACTCGGGTGCGAAATCTGCGAAGCCCTGCTGAAAGTGACTCACTTTTAGTGGTTTGATTCGGAAAACTCACTAGTTGGATCAAAAAGTTAAAGTCCTAGCATCCAAGCAACATGCACCAGAGGCCAGGAATCGGTGTCCATTGCTCCCATCCCCCCGCCGGCCCCACTGCCCCAACCCCGGCCCCAACCCGCCCAAAGCAACGCACCACGTTAACTGGAGGCCGTCTTATCCCCCCCTGCGCCTTTGAAAGAAAAGCAACAAACAAGCTAGAACTAAGCAGAACCAAACACACCCAACAAAAAGGAATGAAGCCACTTGGCCACGCGCCTCCCTTAGCACCCCCCCCGCACCCCGAGTCGAGGAGTCGAGGAGTCGAGGAGTTGAGGAGTCGAGGAGTCGCGGAGTCGAGTCGAGGCGCCGCTTGGCCAGGCGCTCACAGAGCTTCCGTGTCTCCGCCGCCGCGTGGCGTTGGAAGGGCGCCGTCGCCTCGACGAGTCGGGAGGTGGGTGTGACAACGAGTGGACCGGTGCACCTAGGCCTTGGTATGACGCATATGTGTGTATATGTGTGTTCTGTATACGTATAGGTATGTATGTGTGTATGTATGTATGTATGTATGTATGTATGTATGTATGTATGTATGTATGCATGCATGCATACATGTATGTATACCATGACTCAAAACACCTTCTGGGCATTAAAGTGACAAACTTTGAGATGCTCTCAACATGGCACAAGCTTGGAGGATCCAGCTAGCAGCGCTAGCAGCCCAGTCATTGCCCCTTCAAAGCTCCTGCCTTCTGCTGCGCCATCTGCTCTGCAGCTTTGAGCTGCTCTTCTTGCCGCTCCTTGGAGCTGTCAAATGGGCCATCCCTTTCTGTGCGAAAGGCCCCTGCGAAAGCTCCACTTGGTGGCCCGAGGGCTCCAACTTCGAGCCATTGAAGCACTTGGCCCTGAGGCCCTGTCGCATGTGTGGTTTCTCAGAGATCAAGATCTCTAGGAAGGCGTGTCTCAAAATGGGGCTGGCCCAGTTTAGAGTCTAGAGGGAAGCCGCTTTGGGAACACCAGGCGCATTTTTCCGCTCAATGACTGTGATGCGTTCCAGCGGTGACGCTGCTGATGAGGATGCTGATGGTGGTGATGCTGATGGCTCTGCTGCTGCGGCTGCTGCTGCTGCTGACAACGATGGTGATAGTGTCCCTGAGTGTGAGTGGTAGCAGATATGTGGCTAGCATTCATGCCAGGAGTACCTCACGCTTCAGACCATCGTGGCACGCTTGCTCAAACATGTGGGTCGATCATTTTCTCTTCGGGGGTTGTGTTGAAGGGAGGCCGACTGGCTTGGGCAGCGGCAAACGCAGGTGGGCCGAAGCATCGTGATCCGATCGGTGTCCCTGCACACCAGCCTGATAATTGCTAGGTCCTCCAGTAGAGAGGTTAGAATAAGGGTACCAATTTTTTTGGTGTAGTCTATTTTAGTAGGGGAACCCTCCCAACCAAAAAAGGGTGAGAAGGGCCACTACTGGGGGACCTAGATTGCATTGAGTCCCACACAAACACACCCAAACACGCCTACAAAGGGACTGGGGATCCCCCCCCAAAGGCTCCCAAATGTGGATACAAGCTCCAAGCCCTTGGCCGCCTTGGCCCTCCTTCCAACTTATCAGGTTGGACGGCCCCCCCCCAGAAATAAAACAAAAACGCAACTTTCGGGCTTGCCTCTTTCAACACCCCCGAAAAGAGGGCACCACCAAAACAAGAGGAGCCACCCGTCCTCCAGTAGAGAGGTTCGAAAAACGGGCACCCTTCTTTCTGTAGCCTACTTTAGTAGGAAAGGGGCTCATCTGTGCCCACATTTTCGGCTCATCTCCGCCCACACAGAAGTGACTCATCTGCGCCCACATTTTCTGACTCATCTCCGCCCACAGATGCTTTCGCCAGTACTTAGAAGTTGATCCTTTGCAAAAAAGGGGTCAGTTTTAGGATCATCTGCGCCCACACTTTGGGCTCATCTCTGCCCACAGCGAGTTTTAGGGTTTAGGGTTTTTAGGGTTTAGGGTTTAAGGCTGTTTAGGGGTTAGGGGTTTCAGGGTTTAGGGTTTAGGGTTTAGGGTTTTAGGGTTTAGGGGTTTCAGGGTTTAGGATCTTTAGTGTTTAGGGTTAGGGTTTTTAGGGTTAAGGGTTTTTAGGGTTTAGGGTCTTCAGGGTTTAGGATCTTCAGTGTTCAGGGTTTTTAGGGTTAAGGGTTTTTAGGGTTTAGGGTTTTTAGGGTTTAGGGATTTTAGGGTTTAGGGTCTTAGGGTTTAGGGTTTTTAGGGTTTAGGGGTTTCAGGGTTTAGGATCTTTAGTGTTTAGGGTTTTTAGGGTTAAGGGATTTTAGGGTTTAGGGTCTTCAGGGTTTAGGATCTTCAGTGTTTAGGGTTTTTAGGGTTAAGGGTTTCTAGGGTTTAGGGTTTTAGGGTTTATGGATTTTAGGGTTTAGGGTCTTAGGGTTTAGGGTTTTTAGGGTTTGGGGGTTTCAGGGTTTAGGATCTTTAGTGTTTAGGGTTTTTAGGGTTTAGGGTTTTTAGGGTTTAGGATCTTCAGTGTTTAGGGGTTTTAGGGTTTAGGGTTTTTACGGTTTAGGGTTTGTAGGGTTTAGGGATTTTAGGGTTTAGGGTCTTCAGGGTTTAGGATCTTCAGTGTTGAGGGTTTTTAGGGTTAAGGGGTTTTTAGGGTTTAGGGTTTTTAGGGTTTAGGGATTTTAGGGTCTTCGGGGTTTAGGATCTTCAGTGTTTAGGGTTTTTAGGGTTAAGGGTTCTTAGGGTTTAGGGATTTTAGGGTTTAGGGTTTTTAGGGTTTAGGGGTTTCAGGGTTTCGGATCTTCAGTATTTATGGTTTTTAGGGTTAAGGGTTTTTAGGGTTTAGGGTTTTTAGGGTTTAGGGTTTTTAGGGTTTAGGGATTTTAGGGTCTTCAGGGTTTAGGATCTTCAGTGTTTAGGGTTTTTAGGGTTAAGGGTTTTCAGGGTTTAGGGCTCTTAGGGTTTAGGGGTTTTAGGGTTTAGGGTCTTCAGGGTTTAGGATCTTCAGTGTTTACGGTTCTTAGGGTTAAGGGTTTTCAGGGTTTAGGGTTTTTAGGGTTTAGGGTTTTTAGGGTTTACGTTCTTTAGTGTTTAGGGTTTTTAGGGTTTAGGGTTTAGGGGTTTAGGGTTTAGGGTTAGGGTTTAGGGATTTTAGGGTCTTCGGGGTTTAGGATCTTCAGTGTTTAGGGTTTTTACGGTTAAGGGTTCTTAGGGTTTAGGGTTTTTAGGGTTTAGGGTTTTTAGGGTTTAGGGGTTTCAGGGTTTAGGATCTTCAGTGTTTATGGTTTTTAGGGTTAAGGGTTTTTAGGGTTTAGGGTTTTTAGGGTTTAGGGTTTTTTGGGTTAAGGGTTTTCAGGGTTTAGGGTTTTTAGGGTTTAGGGTTTAGGGGTTTAGGGTTTAGGATCTTTAGTGTTCAGGGTTTAGGGTTTTTAGGGTTTAGGGTTTTTAGGGTTTAGGATCTTCAGTGTTTAAGGATTTTAGGGTTTAGGTTTTTTAAGGGTTCAGTTTTTTTGGGTTGAGGCGTTTTAGGGTTTAGGGTTTAGGGTTTTCGGGGTTTAGGATCTTTGACAACACGCCGAATGAAGCTTCTAAAACACATCCTTGATTCCAGGAGCTCCCCTCATTACATTCAGGGACTTTCGGTGAAAGCGAATCAGTCCAGGCTAGCTGCTCTGTAGCTACACTCCTTCACCACACATGGCTTGAGCATGGCACTGAAAGCAAACAAAGATACAAAACACGCAAATGCCGCACCGTACCGCACGTGACCCATAGTAGACACCTATGGCAGTTTCTCAGAATATTCTCTAAGAGCTGTAAAGCCCCAAAACACCTAAGATCATCTGTGCCCACACAATACTTGTGAGTACTGCATTTGTGAAGTTTAGAGCATAGGGGACCGCCATCAATCTGACTCATCTGCGCCCACCACGCGGGTAGAAACGAGCGGATACCCGCGGGTACAGACGAGTCGCAAAACGCGGGTACAGACGAGGGGCCTACCCTTTAGTAGGGGAACCCTCCCCCAAAAAAAGTTCGTAAAAGTTGGCCCCTGGCTGGGGGACCTAGACACACGCCGACAACCCCAGCGATTTGTTGCCACGAAGGCGCCGCGCTGCCATTGGCCCCGAAACCGCGGCAGGCCTCGTCGATGGCGTCCTGACGGCAGACACTGCAAGGGAGGCGCCCGACTTTTCTAGGGGACACTTCACCCACAGCAACAAGCGGGGGGCCTCAGGGGGTTCGATAAGGGCTCCCCGTGAAAGTAATTGTTTTAGAGGCAGCTGCTTTCCACAACTCCAGGGGACACTTCCCCATTCTTTCCAGGGATCCTTCTTTTCAGGACATCAGAACCCCAGGGGAAAAAGCAGGTTTTTGAAAAGAACGATGGTTGAAAAGAATGGTTGGAATCAACCCCTAGAACTTTAGGTTTTTCGGGTTTAGCTTGGTGGTCTCCACTAAACCTCTAACCTGTTAGACGGTTAGGAGGAAAAAGGCTGGTAAAACACCTGGTACTCTTGGTGATTTGTTTGCTGGTTGCTGTTTCAGGCTGTGATGTCGAGTTCCATTTTTTTACCAGGGGATGGGAGTCAGGGGGGGGGGGGGGATTTGACCGTCGTTAGGAAATGCTTGCACACACACACAGAAAAGGACATGCCGGTGCACACAGGTTGATGCATGGCCAATGCTGCAGCTGCTGGCCAAAAACAAAAAGGCCTGGAGAGCCACCATGTCCATCCCAGCAAGCCCGAGTTTGCTAGAAGAGTCTCAGGGCAGCACGCAAACGATCCCCTTGCTTCATTGCTTTATAGTGGGGACTCAATGTATAATCACTTCCCCCTATTAATAAAGGTCTCCCTAATAGTAAATATTTGTTTCCGAAGTCCAAAATCCGGGAATACTACTTTTAGAATAGCCAACACTAAACCAATTCTAAAGTAGGTATTTTCCTACCCGTACTCAAATCCAGCCTTATTAGGGAGTTCGGGGGCACGTTTCCTTTACTACGTTGTCTTTTATTATTGGGGTCTCCATTATTAGTGACCCAAAACCCACAACCAAAAACAACAAAACGTGACCTCAACTCCCGCTACTTAAATTCCTTACTCAGAAATGTGCGTTTGAAGCGATTTTACGGAACGGAACAGGGGGACCACAGTTGCAAACAAGCCTACACAGAACAAGAAGTACCTCCAAAACCTGCCCTCCAGAACCAGGGGACCCCTAATAATAAAAATTGTTTTGCAGGCCGGGTATTTTTTTAATTAGGGGGGCGTCGTTTATTAGGGGGAAGGGATTATCGACAGAAGGTGGCAATCAGTGCAAGACTATATATATATATACCCCACTCAGCTTCAGCCTAATGTGTTTCATTATTCGTTTGGAGGTGCCAGCTTCCCATGCGCATTGGCTGCAGTTTGTTAATCAGATGTCCGATCAATTGAACTGCAACTCTGAAAGAAACATGGGCCTGCACCTTCCATTGTTACCTTTTTGTTTGTTTGCTTTTTTCTGCTCGAACACACAGTTTGTGCGCGAGTCTTCCATTTCTGCACAAGCAATGAACAAGTGCCTGAGGTTTATATTTTCAAACGAGCATTAAACAAAAAACAAGGCGCTTGTTTGCGGGTTTTTGCGCTCGTTTTGCGGGCGTTTTTGCACACCATTTCTGCTCGAGTAGGTCATGTTAGGACCTGACAGCCCGCATGCCTCCAAAAACTGCTCGAGGTCCAAAAGCGAGGACAAGCCAAGAAAACAAGGTACGAATTGCAAAAACCAGCCGATTGACAGGGGAGGCAGAAATTTCAGGTACGTTTGAAGGTCCAGGGGTTTTTTGACAATTTACGCATGAAAAACATGCGGTCCTAATTCTCTCGTTCACTGTCAAGCATCAGCCACAGATGACAAATTGCAGAGAAGCCCGGGAAAAACGTGTGTGACGCAGCTTTTGCCTCCAGGTTTGTTTAACAGCCTGTGACCTTTTAGGAGGGGACCTGCGAGCAGCCCAGCAATACTGTGGACGGTTGCAAAATTCATTTCGCACCACGTAACAAAACCATGGTTGGAGCTATGACGCTTGTTTGCATTTGCTGGAAAATCGAAAATCGGTCTATTGGGTTTCTGGGGTGCGAAATGGATTTTCGCAACCATCCACAGTATTACTGGGCTGCTCCCAGATCCCCTGCTAAAAGTCTAACTTTCCGTGGGCTTAGTGGAAACCACCAAGCTAAACCCGAAAAAGCCTAAAGAGCTAAGGGCATGGCTGGGAACCACTAAGCTTAGACGCCTAGCCATTGGGTAGCTAGGGCAAAGACAATCTTGCTATAAAGTTGTTTCATTGGGAAAAAACTCCCCCCTGTTTCTCGGCTTGACTGGCCATGTATTCTTGGTTGCTTCTGCTCCCCCACTAAAAGTTTAATTTTTCGTAGTTTAATTCGGAAAAGCCCTTAGTTGGCATTCCATTCCATTCCATGCGCACAGAGTTCTGTCGAACGCAGCGATTGCATTAATTGCGCACATGCTTTCATGTGCTTGCCCCAGCCGCATAGTCCGGCCCAATTTCTTGTGCCAGCGGCATGTTGGCATACTCAATGAGCATGCTTTGGGAGGAAATCTCAGCAACATCAGTTTGCGTGGTTTCCCTTAGCTGAGCACTGATCCAGAAGCACTTGGCAAATGCCTTGCACAAGAGAGGAGGGTACTCCTTCAACCGGGATGTGCAAAAGGCTTCCCCATTATGGCCAATGGATCTTTCCTTTGCCGGCCACTGACTGCGGGACAGCTTTGTGGATGCAAGGATTCGCTCCCAACCTGGCAGGTGCGTCACCAACAGGTCAGTCGGCTTTTCAGCTGTCTGGCCCCACTGACGCTGATATATTCGTCCCTTTTCGACTCCAGGAAGGGTACACAGCCATCTCACCTGAGCAAGCCTCCATATGGAAGGAAGGCGTGCTTCCGAGGGCTCACCGGGATGCTCTGTAATGGTCACTCCACAACATGCGTACAGGTGTGCAACAACAAGCAATGCGGTTTGCAGGAGTTTGTTGCTAATCTGTAGTTGCTTGCATTCCTTGGAGCATAGGGAGGGGAGTCCCCATGGCTGATGGGCACTCCTGAGTGGACGGGGCGCATTGGGCTTATCTGCTATCTTCACCTCCCTGCACGTGACCATGTCTCACATGGTGGTCCTGCCTGTGCGCCGAGAATGTGACCACTACGGATGAGTACAAGGATTTTTGCAACCAACTCATCAGAAGCAAGGTTACATAACTTTGCATTGTGGACTACATCAAGGCAAATGACAAAGATGCGAAAGGGCTGCCCTACACTCATTTCTTCAAGATGGCGGCGCATGCTGCCCTCACGGTCTCTGCCAGAGAAGAGGTGAAGCACAAAGTGTGTACGAACCCCTTGGAAATTCATGGCAAGAGGATGTACCACTGGCGCCTGGGCAGTGAAACTGGTGCTAGCGCTGTCATCTTGTGCAGTCATCACATCTATTTGATGAACAGAGGTGTTGGGCGTGTGTCCTGCTTTGCGCAGGTTCCTGCCCGGCATGTTAGGATTGCGTGTGTCCCGGCGTGCTCGCAGGGCCGGCGCCGCCTGCCAGAAGAGATCGATCTCTTCCGGGGCATAGTCTTTGGCATTGCTTTGCCTCCACTCAAGCTTGTTAGGGAGTCTCGGACCTCCAAGGAGAATGCAGGGGATCCTCTTGTGTCCTTTGAATCTGCCATCAAGCTTGATGTGAACCGGGGGCCCTGTAAGCGGCTTCAAATTCTGTAAGCAGAATTGCATGCAGCGAGGGTTCTCCCGGAGATGAACATTGACCCGATGGGAGGTGTGAAATTCAAAGAGACATACAACACAGTGGGAGGCATATGTGTATGCACGTGTCTCGGAGGAAACTTGGTGGGCATGCCACTGATGGGCTCTCGGCCCCTGTCGGGTGGAGTTCTCATTGCCGCACAAGTCACATCTGTGACCAAGTGGACATGTCGGCATGTCTAGTTGCCTGCGCTCAACCTGCAAGCCTATCTGCACGTATTGCTACTTTTAGCAACATACGTGAACAACTGGACCCAAGTATAGGTGGCTGACAAGCCATGAAATGCATCAGGCATGACTTCTCTAACAGCTTCCATGTCATGCTGGACAAGGGTCAACCAGGCACGCGACTCATTGACTTGGTATTCATTCAACAGAAGCTGACTCAAGAAGGCAGGGGCACCAATTTGGAGGTGAACAAGATACCGCAATCTCATTTTACGCATCTGCCACTCAAGAGATGGACATCTGGCTTTGACAAGGACATACAGGTTTGAATGCTTTTGTCCATACTGTGTGACACATAAACCTGTGGCAGCCCTGAGAGCTTTCATGTAAAAGCCACTGATGGCTTTTGCAGAGCTACCATCAAGCACTCCCCACGCCTGTGCGCCATACAGGAGTTTACTGAAAACCGTGGCTTCAACAAAGGTTACTTTTGCAGCGACCGAGATTCCCTTGTTTTTGAAGACTCCAATGTGCAGGGCCTGGGCAGCAAGTGCTACACGTCTCCGTGTTTCCTCACGTAATGTGGCATCACAAGTTGACACTGCTCCGCTCATTTTTGGCAACTTGCAGCACTGATGAATTTTCAACAAGGAGTCTTCTTCGGGCTGTCTTCGCTTTGGGACCTGCAAACTGAACCAGGGCTTCAGTCTTACCTTTATCCATGCTGATGGAAAGACCTACACTTTGAAAGGCAGCCTCAGTGATGTTGACAGCTTTGGCTAGTTTGTCAAGCACTTCATCTTCAGAGGAGGCTTCAATGCAAGCAACCACATCATCTACCCAGGTGAGGGTGGGAAATGCTTGAGGGGCAACTTGAGACGGGAGGTGAATGTCAATACATAGATCCCACATCTCAAAATCGGCTTGTATGTCATTCACAACTGCAGCCACAGCCACATTGAAAAGCGCATCAGCCAGGGGTGTTCCTGGACGAGACCCCTGGCGGCTACTTGCAATTTGGCCAGTGAGCATATCTCGCATCCATGTGGCATTTTGGCCATCCTTGAGCTGCTGCAGTAGTACTTTTGATATGCAATTCAGGACTTCTGGACGCTCACTGGTATGCAAGCTGGCATACTGTTCATGCATGGATGGATCGAGGGTCTCAAGCAGTGAGGCAAACTGATCACTTGTGCGATGAGATCCTACAGCGGCTTCTCGTATGACTTTGTAAAAGGCAGATTTGACATCAAGGAATACCACTGCACAACATTTATGCTTTATGCTACCAATCTGCAGAAAGGTGCGCACTGCATGAGATGCAAAGCATGGCTGGCTGCCCTGCTTTCCGCCAAGCTGGGCCACTGGCATTCGGTGGCCAATTTGCTGCATTAGCTGATTTCTCTGGATAGCTTGGTGGCATTTTGATGCAGTACATTGATCCTATTCAAGATTTCTGTGGTGGGCGTATTAGCAACATGGTCGGCCGGCCTGCTTCCTGCACTCGGTGTGAAATGGACTGGTGCGGGAATGTGTCCCCATGTTGCTTCGACCATGCCAGAGTGTAGATCTCGCACACGGGTGTCATTCTCTGGCCACAGGCATCCTCCAGTCTTTATGTGGACCTGCATGTGGGGATCTGGATATTCCCCAGCAAGGGCTTGCTGGATCACATGGTCGCGGGCACACTGTGCTGGAAGGGCAATGGGCCAATGGGTGACCCGATGCGGGGCTCCAGGTGAGTGCTTGTGGTGATGTTGCAACAGTGCCGGAACAAGCATGCGGTGTCTCATCCACTGGAAGTGTTGAGGAGACCAGGCCAGGTAGGTGACATGTTCCAGAATGGACTGAAACAGTACATCTTCACAGGCATTAGGCACAAGGACACGTTGAGGGCGAGTGGATTGAGCATCGGCTCTCCATAGGTGGATGGTCCGCATGCTGTCACTGGAGCTTGGGTTAGGCACACGGCTGCGGCTTTTGAGACACGACTGCAATTTGGCATTGCTTGTTACCTCTGGTCTCCCTTTATTCAGGGTGCTTTGGGATGAAAAAACAGGGTTTCATGAGTGGTGTTAAATCTCACAGTGACAGCGGCATTTTCTTTGTGCTTCTCACGGGTGCTGTCAACTGGACAATTTCCAGGTCTATGGGTATTCCTGAGTGATGCTTCCTGGATGGCATCACTCATAAAGCACACTATCCCTGCTTCTCATCCTCATCTTCTTCCTCATCTCCTTTCTTCTGCAGCGAGGCGTAGCGATTGTGGCTGGCAGATCTGCTGCGCTCACGCTTGTTGGGCTCGGAATTCTGCTTGAACTGGAGTGGGGACTGCTTGATCTTTTCGTCTGCTTTTGGTTTCTTCTTTGGGGGTTCCTTGGGACCCCGATCTTTGGCCTTTTTGCTTTTGTTCTGCTTGTCCTCAAGCTGTGCTGGCTTGTCTGGTGCTTCTGCTGGTGTGACAGGTCATGACTTGGGGTGACTAATGCGGATCAGCCAACGTCCTGCGAGGTGCTGAAGGCGAAGAAGAGCTCCGGATACGCCCAGGTGCCCAGGGACCAGCTCAGCGGCTCCTCCGCTGCCGCCTGGCCGGAGCGAGCGGGCGAGCGGCGGAGCCGCGGAGCCGTCGGGTGCTACAAGCAGCCGGGGAAGTGGGACAGGTGGGGTGCAAAAAAAAACGTCCGACGACGCATCTTTTTTTGTTTTTCTCGGGGGATTTCCTCAAACATGGAAATGGTTCGACACCGTGTTTTTCCGGCCAAGGGTGGGCGATTTAGAGTCCATCCCTAGTTACAAGGAGCCACTGCAAAGGAAATGGGCGCCCTTGCATGACCCAAGGGAAGCATCGAGGCTCGCCTACTTACCCAAAATCAAATGGCAGGGAGGTTTCCCACTTCAGGGTGGAAAGCCGGTGGGACCGCTAGGTGTGCGAAGAGTTGGTGTGCCGAGCTTCGCCGGGCGGTTTCAAACAACACCTTTGGCAGGCAACCTTTCCGTGGAAGGTACCGGATGTGACGTTTGAATTGAGCAGAAGGCAACCCATGGGTCAAATGGCCATGGGGCAAAAGCCCGATCGCACCCCCAGTGAACATCCGATTCAATCCTTACTAAAATAGGTTCTGAAACGGGTGGTGAATTCACCTACCAACCAAAATGGGATCCCAAAACGGTTTTGACCCACAGCCACTATAGGTATAGAAACTCTAAAGCGCACATATCCGTTTCCGCCCCAAGGCTCACCTGGCATTGAACCCGTAGAACCCATAGGTTTTGACCCACACCCACATGATCCCGTGGTTTTGACCCACAGCCAAGTGGGTTAACTAAATGGAAAACTACCACTAAACACTAAAACCCTAAAAAGCTAAGGAACGGGACGGCTGGGAGCCACCCAGCATTCAACTGGGACTTCGGCCGCGCGCGTTTTTTTTTTTTTATCCGCGGCCTCCCCGACCGCTGTGGCCAACTCCTCCGGCAGCGGTCCCGACATCGAGGCGCGGAGCCGGCGATGCAGCGCCTCAAGCAGCAGCCCACGGGGTTGCGGTTTGAGCAGTAAGCACCCCAGGCGGTAAGTAACATACCTACCCGTGAGAGTGGGGGGGGGGGAGGAGGGTTAGTTACTTACCTCAAAAAACTTACTTACATACTTGCTTACTTACTTACGGACCTGGGTTCCTGATATTTGCTGATGGTTTTGAGAGAACCCCGGCGGTGCAACTTGGCGCGAGAGATGCAGGGAACGACCAACACCGGGGTGTTGGGAATGAAACGTTTTGGGGATCCCGTTGAAGGAAACCAGGGTTGTGGTTGATCACTCGGAATTTATCCATCCACTTTTGGGATCTCCCCCTGAAAAAAGGGGTGGTTTAGTCTTTGGGGTTCGGCCCTTGCCGTTGCATCACAGTGGACACCCCTAAAAAACCGGAGGGGGGGGGGGGGTTGGTCTTTGGGCTTCGGCTCTTTGCATCACAGCAAAAACCAATAAACCAATTTTCCACAGCCCTGAAACCACCAGTCACCCAAACCCCCTCCCAACCCCGAGTCAAGCCACCCACTTGGATCTTCACTTCGTCCTCCTTTTCTAGGGGACACTTCCCGATTCTTTCCAGGGATCCTTCTTTCCAGAAAACCAGAACCCCGCAAAAAAAAGACAAAACAAAGCGATCGGTTTTTGAAAAGAACGATGGTTGAAAAGAATGGAACTCAAGCCTTCCATTTGGTTAAGGCCCGAGCAAACAAAAATACATTTAAAAAAAAAAATGTATATAAAAAAATCCAGTAGTGATAAACTCCTTTCAAAACCAACAAGGGGGAAAAACAAAAAACTAGTCATCTCAGCAAATGGAATCCACCCTTTCTTCGCTTTTGGGCCGCGCGGCGTCGGCGGAGGCCAGCCAGTCGTCGAAGCTGCTGGGCTCCTTCTTGCAGGCCTCCAGCGCCTCCACCAGCCTGGAGATCCGACTGGCGACGTCAGAAAATTTTGGGGCGGCTCGGCTGGTTTTAGTGGACCCCCAAATAAATAAATACATATATACATGTACATATATATATATTACTAATATATATATATATATATATATATATATATGTGTGTATGCATGTGTTTGCTAATATACGTATATGTGTGTATATATATATATATATTTGTGTGTGTGTGTGTTGCTTTCCTTTGATTGAACCAAACCCAACTCCCCCCACCCAAGAAAAAATACCCGCTCACCAACATGGAGGTCTTTCTACAGGGGTGTGCACTTACACGTTAGGCGGTGGGAGGGTATGTGTTGCAGTCCTTTCTTTGAACCCTACCCAGAAAGATGTTGTTGGGTCCCTGGTTGATTAATATAAACCCCAGGAAGATTAACGAGTGGTCTAAGTAGCAAATGGATAATGCTAATCCCGGATTGGTGTGTTGGTTTGGGATGCCTTCTGGTAATGGACACCCGGACTAATAAACCCCTGGATGATTTTGATTGGGCTGTCCCAATTCCACTTTTGGAGGGAACACATCCGAGTAATGGGACGTTGCTCTTTTTGTTTTAATTCGGGGTCACTATTACCTCTAAGGGGTGATGTTCCATTCTCTGCACCCGATCTCCCGTGCCTCATGTTTTGCAGAAAAAATCCCTGAAGAGAATGGGAAAGATAAGGCTATAGCACCTGGAGTGTCCATGACCCTTCAGCAAATTGAGCCATGACCGCTTTCTTTTGAGCACTGACCGCATGAATGAAAGGACCATGGTCATTGTTCAACCCTCGAAAAGCTATATTTAGTATGATTACGGGAGAAAACATGCGTAACTAGTCACTACTTCGCCCCTACTTCTTTGGACATTCTTCAACTTCCGACCTAGGATTTGGATCTGTATTACCAGCACGGTAGCTCAGGGGGCAAACATGTAAAATGGTACTGGGTTTCCCGTTCCAAAGTTGCAATTTATTGTGGTGTCCATTGAAACCGCAACTTTCGGAGGCTCCAAAAAAAAGGACATGGAGGAAACCCCGTGGTACAAAATGTCGACCCAGGTGCCACTCGACTCCGAAGCTGTTCCTCACAAAGACCGCTTGCTGCCCCCACCGGCTTTAAAAGTTGAAAGGCCGGCCTAGAGTACCACGGCGGCAAATTCCCAGTTCGCGCGCCACATGTGTATGGCCATGCCTTTGCTTGAGGGCACCGTTGTTCGGGTGGCTGCCGAATAGAACTTTCGAGAGTTACCCTCCACTTGGAGACAGAACCACCTGATGAGTGTATGAAAAGTCGCAAAATTTCCCAAGCCACTAGGCAAGCCTTCGGACCTTCGGAGGTAGATGTTCTGTCTTTGAACATCCCCCTGGCAGGGTACGTTCAAAAGAATGGCTTGGCTTCATCTTCCCCCCTCTTTCCAACCAAAGTGGAACATCGAAAGCCCCCAAACGCAACATTGTCTTCCAAAAACCCCCCGCGATTTTTCAGCTTCCATTGGAGGGAGGCTCCTACGCGTCCCGCTGGCTCGCTCCCCAGGCCTGCTGCGGAGGCGGTCCATGGCTGCGCCAGGCTCCTGTTGTCCAAACGCGCCGGGGGAAAAACTCCGCGACCCGAAGCGCTCAAAGCACACGCCAAGAATCCATGGGGGGTCGACTTGGACGGAGCAGAATCCTGTGGAGCAGACTTGCGTAAACCATACTGAGCAACCACCCGGGTTCTGGCCCTGTTGTCAAAAAAGCACATCTGCAAAGTGTGCCGGAATTCGAAAAGCTGAATTCAGAATTGGATCCCCAAGGACCCTTATCATGGTCAGCTCGTCATGGCCAGGGGAGCGCGCTATAAAATAGGCTGAGAAACAAAAAGCAGGGACCCTCGGGACCTGGTGCCGGCGAAGAAGCCGCCTTTTCAAGAGGAGACCACAAATAGACTTCATCAGCTCCTTGGCAGCTAGTCAACCTCTTTGGCGCCCTCAAGAAACAAATTTGCCCAGAGGTGGAAACATAGTGATCACCGTTTGGACCTGGACCAAAGATGGACATCAGGGAAACCAAAAAGGTCAGATCAGGTCCAATGTTAACTTTGCTTTTCGGGCTTTATCATTTCCTTACCAAATTCAGAAGCCACCCCTAAGTAGTACGGACCTCCAACTACCTCTGAAGTTGACTGGTTGACATTACCTGTCCGGCCGGTGCGAGCGCTCCTTCACCAAGCCCAGGTCTTTTGGCACCTGGCCGCTACCCCATCGGAGCCCCGCGGCAAAGCAAGGAATTGGTGCCCCCGCTTGCTTTGAAAGAGGCGCCCCCTGCGGAAGGGAGCAGAAACCGCCCAGGCATCCTAGCCCGGAAACTTTCCGGAAAACCCCAAACCACCTTTTATCGCCCTGGGCACAGACCCATAGTGTTCAGCTGGGGCAAAATCCAACCTGCAGGCGAGCAAGGGGCTGAGTGTTTGCAGAACCCTCACTCGAAACGAGCATTGGCATAGGTGTTGGAGCTGGGGACTGATATTCTAAAAAACCAGGAGTGACGGGAAGTACAAGGCCCTTCCATGATTGTGCCTATCTATCTCTTTATCTGTATGCACTCCATGCCTCTCAAGTCCGCACCCGTTTCTTCCCCGGTTTGCGCTCAAGGCCTTGCGGTGTATCCCCGGGCCACGTACCCCAAGCTGCTCCATATCAAAACAAATTCCTTGCTGTTCCTATGGCCCTGGAATCACCTTTCCAACTGCGCCCCGAACGCATGCACCTGCACAAGAGACTCGCTTAGGACCGGGCCCGCACAAGTCGAAGAACACAGGGGTCTGTTTTCAGGCCACCCCCAAAATGGTCGGCGTGCCTTTGGTTTCCCTGTAAAACAAAGGGGTACCCCCCAAAAAAAAACAGACCCAGATGTTGTGTGCCACTAAATGGTCTTCCCAAATGGCATGAAGTCCGGAAGCAGAACAATCGCCTCATCCCGCATGCAGGTGACTCGCGCTGGCGTCACGTAATCATATCCATCCCAAAATTCAGCTTCCCTCCAGTTTGTGCTTTGGTGTGGCGGTTTGGACGTTAGTGGGTCCCGCAGGATCACAACTTTGGACGGTGCCCACAGGAGTTTTCTTTTTGGACCACAGAAAGGTGCGTGATCCACCTTGGCTTAAAGGCGAAACAAGAACGAACACCCATCATGTGGTGGCTTAGCCCCCCCTCCCCCCACCCGATTTTCACACCCCACATGGATCCCAAGGACAAATGCATTTGAGAGGCCAAAAAACCCGTCCCTCCGCCTGGGGGCTAGAATCCATCGCCACTGCGCAGGGCCGATGCACGCGCAGCAGCCCCCTGGGGCTGGGAAGGCCGGTGCATGGCTGGATGAAAGTGACGTCCTCAAAATTACCCTCCAAATAGCGGTTCAAAGGGAAGGCACCCACAAAGAAACACAGAAAAAGAAAACGACAAGGAATTCGGAGAACCGATGAACATGTTCACTTCAAGCCCAACTTTAGCAAGGCCTTAGCATGCCTCTTCCGGTGGGCTACTCCCACTACTTGTCACTTTCAAGGGGCCCCCTTGGTACCACGGAAAGAGGCCAGAAAGCCCTGTTTCCCACAACCATGACTTCTCCTAAGATTCCTAGCGTATGCCACGGCTCTCCCCTTAAGGAGCCACAAGAGAATCCCCGAAGCCCAAATGCTCTAACCATGCACACTGCACCACGCATGGAAACCCAATGCACAGTGGGCACTTCAAGGGCTGTACATGCCTACCAGCAGGTAGCCGCAGGAGAAACAAAAGGACCATCCTGAACTTGACTATCGCCTCCAAAACCATGCGCATCCAAAGGACTGTCGCATTGTGGTACCTGCAGAAAGCACTCGCCCACTGTGCTAGCGCCGTGCGGTACACAATAATTAGCGCCGCCAACTGATGCGGCTTCTCTTGCGGCCCTTTGTTACAGTAGCCTCGCTATTTTCTAAGGTTGGCTTTGAAGGAGTGTGTCATTCTCATTTTCCATCCCCAAACGACCAATCCACCAACTAAGGGTTACCTGTGAGCAAGTTGACTGCAAACGACTGCAACTTCGCACACAGCAAAACGCAAACAGCCATTCCTGAAAGTGGACAGGGGGCGCTTTCGAAGGCGATGCTAGCCTTCAAACAACTAGTGCGCTGTCACGATTCTTGGAGGGGACTTGAATTCCAACCAACAAACAACCACTTGAACATGGAACCACGAAAGCGCGTCCCAAAAGTCGAGCTTTCTCTAGGATTGGGTGCGTGTTTTGGGCTTCATGTTCAAAAGGTGCATGAGAATACAGAATAGAAAATGGAACATGGCACTTACCCCCCCGCAAAAAAAAAAAAAAACGCAATCCTTTGGGCCCAAAAACTCAGGTGTTTGTATTATGAATCGCCGGGTCTTCAGGTTCGAAGGTACCCCGTGGCCGCTTTTCCCATGGTGGGGCAAGCACCTTGCCCCCAGCAAGCTGAGGTTGCAGCCAACCAAAAAGCAACGGACAAATAACCCCAAAATGGCCCAGGGCCGTGCAGCTTGGTTTTGTTTCAAGCCCCCTGGAGAAAGAAAAAATCCAGTAGTGATAGGTTCCCTTCAAAACCACCAGGGAAAAATCAAACATGTGGTGGGTCAAAAGCCTGTACCCCCAGTGAACATCCCAATCCCAACTGAAATAGACTAACATATTCTTAAGCAAATGGAAGCCTTGGTTGGCCGTTGCAGCTGAAAGTCCGCTTGTTCTCCTGCAAGAGCTTGAGGCGCTTTAGGCAGGTGCGCCACCTGAGAGTGGCAGTGACTCTGGTTGCCTCCCATGACTTTTGGACCCCCGACCGAGGTGTTTTTGGACCCAACCACAAGTAAAACGGGAGGTCGAAAACCGTCTTGGGCTGAAAAACAGGACAAGCCGCTGAAAAACAGGAGATCCCTGCGGAAAAAAAAAAAAGAGATCCCTCTGAAACAATAAGAATCCCCCGCAACAATACTTCTCATCCCCTAGCATGTTCGCCGAAACGTGGCGCAGTGTTCAGCCCCGCAAAAAATGGGAAGGCAGGGCAAAAAATGGAGCGCGTACGAGCAAAGGAGTAATTTCAGGCGCCGCTCACATGTCAAGTCCGGAAAGTAGAATCCGGCTGGTCCATAGAAGTGTCTCCCAAAAGTGATGGATCCCCTCCAAGAGCCCGTCAAGGGATTGTTAAACCCTTTGCGCCCTCCCCACTTCGCGTTGAGGGGCTCTCACTTGGGGGCTCTCAGAGTCTCACTTGGGCCAGGAAACGCCCAAAGACTTCCCAAACTCCGCACGAACACAACTCCACACCAACGAACTCCACACCTAGGTCCTCCACTGGAGAGGTTAGAATAAGGGTACCCTTTTTTCTGTAGTCTATTTTAGTAGGGGAACCTCCCGCAAAAAGGTTGGTGAAAGGGCACCTAGCCGGGGGACGTAGACACCAAGCAGTGGGGCACCTTGCTGGGGGCCCTGATTCGCGCCTATTGTCCAGCACCCTCTCCAGAGATTCGAAGAGCTGATGCCCGGCTTGGTCGAAGGGGAGCTTCAACCTCAGGTCCCAAGCAGTCGGCCCCTGCCGTAGGAAACACCCCGAAAACACCTCAAGTTGGATGCGAGTTGCCTGTCAACAGAAGACCAACACAAAAAGACGCTGCTGACTCCTTGAAGAGGGGGTGACTGAAGGAAGGTTCATCTTGGGTTTCGTTTTGGCTCCATGTTGCACCATCCAAATGGGGCTCAATGTGCTCCAAATCCACACTTGTGGTCTACAACTGGCATGACAAATAGCCCAAAAACCGCATTCAGATGAACAAGGCCGGTCAAAGGGCGTGTGATTGTCACCCAAAGCTGTAGGCCAGAGACTTCAACACCTGTGGGCCGAAGCAGCTCCGCCACCCTGAGTCTCACTTGTGTGGCCATAGATGTGCTTTTGGGAAAATGCGTGGTCCTAAATGGAATAAAACCGATCTAAACGAAAGTCCTCTATTTCTAATCCAAACGAACCTAAGAAGGACACCTGTGTGAGTGGCGTTTTGTGGGGAAGGAACAGCACTCTTTCAAGTAATTTGGTTGAGCTCAACGTCATTGGGCCCTCACTCCGGGCTCCCTTCAGGTAAAAACACCCATCCCAAGCAGTGGACCAAAGTTGATGCCGTGCTTTGCCAATTGGAAAGCCCAGGAGGTCCAGTGCTCCCAATGCGGAAGGGGGCCCATGGGTCCCATAGCCAAAAAGCTCGCGGTGCACAAAGATGACCAGGGGAGGGAAGCGGTTCTCCGCCTTGCTGTACTGGGCCTGGCAGGTTTTTTGGACAGCGCCTAAGCTGGACCTGTGGTTTCCGGTGAACAACCTGCTGGAGGGAAATTCAGGGATCCAGCTGCGAAATTTACAGGACCGAAAACTGGAAATAAGAATTGGACCTACATGAGTAGTGAAAATCGGCAGCTGCCTGGGGATTCTTTTAATCCGCAACATCCCGCGGCGGGGGAGGGGGAGCATGGTAGAATCTTGTACTGGAAAGGCCAGCTTCTTCACCCCACCACCTGCTGTGGTAGGCTTGCCACATGCAAGACAGAATCACATGCTGATTCAGAGCAGCAAGGGGAGCTGCCATTCAAGGCCCGGTGGCTCCCCCTATGGCTCTGATTCACTGGAAAGTGGGTGTGGAGGCTTGAGACCCCCAAAAACAAACAGGCCCCCCGGCCACAAAGCCTTTCTCTCTCTCTCTCTCTCTCTCTCTCTCTTTGGCAGTGGATTTCGCAGTGAAAACCTGTCCAAGGCTCTTCCCAAGTGGATGGCCCACCCAAAACGTCCAAACTTGTTATGTACCACTAACATGGTCCTCCAAAAACATAAGCAGCGTCCATGTCCATGAACCCAACTGAGTGAGAACTCCTGTCTGCTGGAAAAGGGACCCAGAGACCAGAGACGTCGGCCTGGACCTCCTTCACCTTGGCCAGGGCCCTCAGCGTGTCCGCGTGGAGCCGCGGGGACTGGCCCGGGCAGAGCCAGAGCAGCACGTGGCACCTCGAAGCGATTTAGGGGACTTGGAAGATACAAAGCTGTGGCTGGGTGGGTGGGTGGGTGGCTGGCTGGCCGGGTGGGTGGGTGGGAGGTTGGGGTTGGTGGCTTGGGTTGGTGGGTGGCTTGGTGGGGTTGTTGGTGGGGAGCCCGAGATTTCCCCTTTTAATATGCACCCAAATGAACACGCGCCTTTCGTGGGCCAAAGCAAAAATGATGTTTGAAACCACCAAACAGGGGAAATCACTTGCGAGACCCCTGACCTCGAATCGGCCCAGGAAAGTTCGATGCAAAGCTGTGGCTTGGTGGGTGGGGTTGCTTTGGGTTGGCAGCCCAAAGCTGTAATTAAGGCTTTTCCTCGCAGCTTTCTCAGCAACTTTTGCCTGCATCACTGAAGTTAAAGAGCCATTCCCGTGTGCCGAACAAGACACGGCCCCTCTACATGCTAGCTCTTGGAGAAGTTCTGCACCCTCGTGGTGAACCCCACCCCTTTCACGAGAAAAAAGGGTCATGCCGGCGGAAGGCCCCTAGGTCCAGTAGAGAGGTTAGAATAAGGGTACCACTTGTTTTTGCTTTTTGTTTATCCTTTATTTATTGTGTTTATCCTTTTTTTCTTCTGTAGTCTATTTTAGTAGGGGAACCCTCCCCCAAAATCCCAAAACGGGGTAAAAGGGCACTACTGGGGGACCTAGGCCCAATTAGCACATGATTTTCTGCTGCGGCAGGCCGCCACCGGACCCCAGCACCATGCCCATGTGTTTTTGTTTGTCCTGCCGTTTGTGGAACATGCGCCTGAATAACCTCCATTTGCTTTTTGAAGTCCAGTAGTCATAGGTTCCCTTTGAAACCAACAGAGGACATTTAAGCTAGTAAGCAACTGGAATATAAGAAGCCACCGATTTTGCGTTGGGATTCCCAAATGAACCACAAGCCCAAGGCACAGTTCAAAGAGCAGCAGCAGACCCATCAGGTTTTGCAGCTCCAGGTTGCCACACTTCAAGAGGTACTGGCAATCCTGGAGAGTTCCGCGTGTCACGCGCCATGCTCTCACCATGCCGCTGAAGAGCCTGCACAAGCCTCTAGGGCGATGAATTTCCACCTGAAAAAGTGTCCCGGGCAGCAAAATAGGCCCTCTACGGTGTCTGGCAAGCACAACCCTCCGCCAATGATACCTAGGGCACATGTGGGCGTGTCCTTTTTGTGGGGACCCCCCGAAAAATGATGTTTATGTTTATTTTCTTTTTTTAAACTTTGGTTTCCTTTGAAACCACCAAAAAAAAGTGTATCCACCCACCCCACCCCCCCCCCCCCGCAAAAAAAAGAAGGAACGCCAAAAACAAAAAAACGTGTGGACGCTGCCCTCCCGGGATCCCAAGAGATCAGCATCCCGTGTAGCCAAAAGCTTTACGCGTGAGGCCAAAGAACCGCATGAGTTTGTCCAAGGGCAAGTACCTCCTCAACCAAAAACCGGGTTGATCTTCTCTGCCGAAATGGCCACAGCGAGCCACGGGGGTTGATCAATACTGGCCCCCAAGAACCATGGGTAACTTGTCCGATGTTAGAGGGACATATCATTTTTTTGAGGGCTTCCCTAATGCTCATCCGTAAATAAAGGACCTTTTGATCAACAACCAGACAGTTCCACGCCCAGTTCCCAACGGTGCCAGATGCGCCTCGCCGTCCTGTGGCAGCGTCCAACATCCAGAGGTGTCCAGGCACAGGAAGAGGACGTGGTCCTCCGGGCTGCCCGCTTTCGCGGCAGATTCCAGTTAGGCATGAAGCCGAGCAATCTCGGTTGCTTTCTGCTCCCCTGCTAAAAGTTTGACTTGCAGTGGTTTAATGGAAAACCTATTAGTTGGCAAAAAGTTAAAGTCCTAACATCCAAGCAACATGCACCAAAGCCATGGGAATGGGCTGGAATCCTGAATGGTCCTTTGCCCTGATAGGTCTCGCATCTTTTCTTTGAAGGTGCCCTTTGTCTCACTTCCTGACCGGATGGGCCAAAAACAAGTCCAAACTTCTTGTTTACCACTAAAATGGCAACCAAACAAACAAACATGTGCCTCAAGTCCGGAAACGGAACTCGGCAACATCAGGAAGTGAGTTGTGGGGCGTCCCCCCGCATCCCCACCCCCATCCCCCCATCCCCCCCCCCCCCCTCCCCCGGAATTCGAGCAGAAACCGCCCCACCCGTCTTGTTCCCGAAAAAGCGCCTGGCGCTGGTAGAAGCACTGCACGGGCCCCAGGTCCAGCTCCAGCGCGTGGCTACCAGTGGGGCACCTGAAGTCATCACCACCCGCGATTCAAATGGCCGTAATCCCAGAACCAGTCCCAGCAAGTAACAGCCGGAATCTGACGCGGCTCGTCTATGTGAAGGATTTGGACCCCGCCAAAATGGCGCAACTTTCAACCCCTGCCCCCCAAAACATGGGGGGAAAAAACAAGGGTACCCCCCAAAAGAAGGCAGACCCATATTTGGTAGTTTCTTTGTAAATTGTATGCATGCTTTTTGATTTGACAAATGTCGACCCCAGAATAATACACCTCAGTTTAGTAATGGAGGGTGTAGCTGGGTTTGGTGGGAAATCATCACATTGAAACGGTAAGCCACCTACCTGCTGCGGAACGGATGTTGTCCCTCGGTATGTTCAGCTGTTTCATATTTGACCTAGACTGAACTACAAGATGGTTTTGGAAGGAGACCCCCCCAAATTGGTGAGCAAACAAAAAAAAACGCGTCAAGGACGGGTCCCCCTCTTATCTTTTAGTGGGGAACCCGCCCAAAGAAGAGAGGAATAAGGGCACCACTGTTGGTGACAAGGACAGGTTCCCTTTGCCAAGGCTCCCCCTCATCATTGCTGGAAACCGAGGACACCGTCTGAAAATGCCACCCATTGGAATACAAACCAGTTTCCCCAGAAGGTTTCACACAGCGCATACAACCTCAAAGCAGGGTCTCTGGCCCCCCTATATGATGGACACTTGGGGTCTGTTTTGCAAACGGGTCTTCCTTTTTGTTGCTTGAGTTCTCCCCAGCCTTGCCCCAAGGGACAATGCAGCACGGCCAGGTCTTCTTCAGGGTGTTGGTTTTTAGGGTTCCCGGCTGCAAAATTAACTCTCCGTCCCTCCCCCCCCCATCTTTTATAACCGCCCCCATCCGTAGCCCGCACACGTCGCCTTGTTTCAAATGTTCGAGCACATTCATGAACACAAGCAACCAGAACCAAAAAAGAACAAGCAAACAGAAAACAAGCGAGCAAACGAAGGCAACCAACGGCAAACAAAGACACACAACAAAGCATACTAAGAGGGGTCCTTACCTGTACCCCTTACACACCCAGCCAAAAGGAAATTGAACCAGCAATGGCAACCAGAGTGATGCTTACATCACCCGAAAAGGAAAGCAAAAGGATCTTGACCCCCTCTCCTGAAATCCGTAGCGGGACACCGCTACAAGGAAACCACTGAGTGACTGGCATTTAACATCAGGATTCGGGGCTGATTTTTACCACGTCGGTCTTATCGAGGAGTTCAAATTGTTCTAGCTGGCGAGCGGGGAACATGCGCCTTCACGCAAGTCCATTAAAGGGACATCCTTAAGACTCCCGTCAAGGTGAAAAAAACACAAAAAACAACTACCATGTCCTTACAGAACTCCTGGTAGCCTCGGAAGAAATGTCCAAGACATTTCAACCACATTGCGTCATTTTCTCCTGGCACCCAAAGAAATGAGTGAAAATGCCACCACTTTGGGCCGCTAAGGGCCTGATGGTAAAACAGATGGGTTCCTCTGGCACGTGGGGCATCAAACCAATCTAAACCAGATGAACGCTTTTCTTTCTAATCATGCAATTAAAAACCAACGATCTAAACCAGTGGAACCCATCTACTTCCAATCAAAGTTTCCCACCAAAACTTGACTCCCATGCCAAGAGGAGGCCACCCGGCCGTCCGTTCCGATCCGACCGCATCGGAGATCCGTCCGCGAGATCCGAGATCCGAGGCGCAGGTAGAGCTGCTCCAAGATCCTTCCAGTCTCAGAGGCAGGGCCCACCAGGCCCAGCACCGTGGGCGCCTCCGGGGCTCCGGGAGAAATGCGCGCGCGGAGGTGGTTTTTGTTGGACGTTTTGGTGTCCAAATCCATTTTTTTTGAGGGGGTTGTTGGTTTTGGTTTCCAACTCCAATTCTTTTGAGGGGTTTGTTGGTTTTGGTGTCCGACTACAATTCTTCTGAGGGGTTTGTTGGTTTTTGTGTCAAATTCCAATTCTTTTGAGGGGCTTGTTGGTTTTTGTGTCCAACTTTTCCACTTCCAACCCTTGGCTGTCAATGGATGAAATCCATTTCGCACCAGCTAAGAAACCCAGAAACCCTTGGAATGGGTTTGTTGGTTTTGGTTTCCGAATTCCAACCAAATCCGTTTCGCCACCAGCTAAGAAACCCAGAAACCCTGGAATGGAATCGATTTTCCAAGTCCAAGTCTTTTGAGGGCTTTGGTTGGTGGTTCCAAGTCCAACCAGGGCTTTGTTGGTGCTGTGGATGAAATCCCTTTCGCACCAGCTAAACCCTGGAATGGATGCGATTGCCCTGGTTTGATCGTTGTTTGTCCTCCCAGCCCAAGCCTTATCAGTGGATTTTATGTAAAAAAGGTGGAACCTGACGTTCGGAAAATGGTCCTTGAAAAGGAAAATCATCTTCCAGCCTGTTTTTGTTTCTTTCCCCAACTGGGAAGCTATGCGGAGGTTTTTCGGGTTGTTTTCCCATTTGCTCAGTTGCCCAGTTCGGATCTGGAAGATCAAGATCACCTTTTGACTAAAAATTGTGCAAAAGAGGAAAACCAAAAAAATCAAAAGGTTGATATTGTTTTTCCGCAAGTGAGTTTGGTATGCGCCCAGGGTGGTCTGGGGCAGGTTTCAGGGAGGGTTCCGGAGACTCGGTTCCGGGGCTAGCCATAATCTTAGGGGTCCCCCAAAATGGACACACCCCAACGCGGTTGTGCAACTAGCAATTAACAGATCTCTCTAGAAACAATGTGCTATTCAGCACCCAGTTTAGCTCGGAGCAACCTTGAAGCTGAGCGAGCGCGGATCAAAGCGATGTGCCACGGTCAAATTGTGCGGTTCAGCCCTGAGCTTTGTGTGGGATTTGAGCAAAAACGGAAAGGAACCAGGAAATCGGCAAAGTAGGTTCAATGGAATGGTTCGTCTGTCTTTGGTATTTGGAAACAAGCACTTGATGCCGTGACACGATACGACACTATTTGTTTGGTCTAGTTCCACCCGAATTCGATACATTCTGCACTCATTGCAGCGCCTCACCAACCCAAAGTGGGCAAGGCAGCCTGGCTTCATTGCATTGCGTGTGAGTCTCAGGGAAGCTCGTGAAAACGAGCGCTGAATGATCAAGGTGAGCCCAGATCAAAAAGGACATGGCGAGGCAAGGAACCCCTTCCAAATCAGATGAACAGCCACCGCCACCCCCCCTCCGCGACAAAAAGATGGTGAGGAGCCATGGATTTGCACCCGGTTCAACCCACCACCCCGCCGCTCCCCGCCTCACTCGCCACCGGCTCCAGTTCCGTTGGCTCCATCCCAAAACCCGTGGCCGGGACCCGGGATGGAAACACGCGCGGCTGGCTTGCCAGTCGCCCCTCCAATCGACCCCAAATGAGCTGGAGCCGTTCGGCTGGAAGCCGGGACAAAAAAAGAACAAAAACGGTAAGAGCCGCTGGAGGTTCATTCATTCTTCGACAACTGGCATCGAAACCATCCCGAAGGCCGCGTTGATTGCCATTTGACTTCAAAGCCGTTGGTCGGAACCCCGGCCTTGAGCAGAAATGGCCAAAGAGACGGGGGCGGTTTGACCACCAGCAACAGACCACAAGCCAAATACCACCCTCGTTGGACCCTTCAGCTTCAAACAGTTAGTCTCACCTCAACATGTAGGCATTGAACATGCCGAACGATGCCGTCTCCAAACGGCAATCTCAAGCCACCCCGACTGCCTAAGAAGACGGAAACGACCCTTCATTGGGCCTGGCACCCCTCGCTCAATTGTGACACAAACCGACCTTACAGCGCCAATGCTGGGTTGGACTGTAAATCCCTGCAACAGGTTAAACAGTTTGCTTTTTACGTAGTGTGAAAGCAGAGTTGTCCTTCAAACATATTGCTTGATCAAGCCAAAGGGCGACCAAAATCCATGCCGGGTGGCAAGCTCACACCAGCCATGCTATCTCATAATTCTAGATGTATGGTCGGTGGGGACCATCCCCGGCTAGCTCTGCCTCTCATGTCGGCCCTGGATGAATCAACCTCTTCCCTGGCAAAAAGTACCGATCCCCCTCCGACCTGGGATCCTTAAGCAAGCAGGGGGTACGAATCCTGGCCTTCCCCCGGTGAAATCCCCGGAAACCCTACGGGTCCTGATGATCGATTCTTGGGCTCCAAAACCGCTTGTTTTTCGAGACCCCTAAAGCAGCTTGGGGTGTGGTTCGAGTTGACCCTCTTTTTTTTTTGGGGGGGGGGGTTCTGCACACCAAGCCCCCAAGACCCTTGGGGTGCCTCACTTCATGGCCTTTGGCACCGTGCGCTTTGATTTGTTGCTGTTGACCCCTCTGCAAAAAACTTCACTTGTTGCGGGTTTAGTTCGGAAAACGCTTGAATTCAACCAAAAAGTTAAAGTCTAGAGATGCAACCCAATAGCAAGAACTTGGCCTACGTCTTTCTCGCGTCTCGCTCGATATCTCTGGGGCCGCCGGGCGATGGACTGCATCTCGTCCGCCAGGGACCGCAGCGGCTCCAGCAGCTTCCGGCTTAAGGTGGCCAGGTCCCGGGTGATGGTGAACTCGGGGCCGGGAGCTCCGGGAGCTCCGGGAGCTCCGGAGGACATTTTGGTTGGGGCCGCGGTTCTCGTGGTACGCGCGGAGAAGCGCAGATGCCCGTGGGTCAAAATGAAACAACCGGGAATTGGACCGGATTTTAGTGCTTGGCTCCATTTGGCAGGGTTCGAGTTGGGTACATATTGTCGACCCACTGCCAAATATGAATTTACACCAAAAAAAACACGGCAAGAGGTATGGATATGTCTCTGCCTGGTTTTGAAGACACACGTCTTGGGGTTGTGCCGAAGAGAAACCAAAAGGCTAAAAGGAAAACATCATTCTTTGGCCCCCCGCTGTTTTTGAGTTACAACACGAAGGGAAAGCGGATGCCACTGAACAACCGTGCGCAAACCAGGGTGGTGGGATCCTGGGAGACCATGCGCAGGGCTCTCTAGTGGGCTGGCACCCTCAAGTCGACTTCTCTCTGATTGGTGGCTTCGCGGTTTGGTGGTTTGGAACTGGTTTCCCATTAACCCAGCAATCCACACCACCAAGTAAGGCTTACCCAAACAAGTGCCCAATGATGTGTTTTTTTCCCGAAACTTCCGGGGAACTAAAGGGTCACCCCCTCAGGCCGCACTCTCGATCGGGCTCTTCAAAATGAATGGTTCGACAATCCCAATCCAACAGCCTCCCTTTGGCTTGTCTTTGGTCCTTGCCGCCCAGTTTGCCTGCTGCTGTAGTTTGTGGAATTCTAGGCTGCGGCCCCTTGGGTGGGGGGGATGGGAAGAGTTGCTCATGGGGCGCCTCGCGCGCCTGCGAGTCTCTGGTTGGCGGGTTGGATTGGGTGGTTTCGAGGTTAGGCCATCTACCCTCTACAAGAACCAGTGCTTCAAATCCCCAAGCCAATCCAAACCACAAACCCCCCATGCTTCCTCGACTATGATTTAAATGGGCTGTGTACGCGGGTATTTCTTGGCTTGACAACCAGTACTTGTCTAGGCTGGAATTAGGACCCCAGCAAAAAATAGTATCTTTTGCCTGGTTAGTGGAAAACAAAGGGACCCCAAAAAAAGATCAAGAAACCAAAAGGGGCAGCTAAATTCTTGGGAAGTTGTTTGACAAACCACCAGAGGGTCACCTGACACACGGCACAGCAACCCTTGGACTCGCAGCCATGCCCACGAGGATGATGAAGATCACCGTCCTGGGCCATCGAGCGCTTCCGATTTCTTGCCCGCCACCGACGCCGCCGCTGAAAAATTCGCGCGTTACACTGAAGCTTCCAGTTGTGGATACGTGCCTTGGAAAGAACACACATGTGTCCAGAAGTGATAGGTTCCCAGTAAACACCAACAGGGGGCAATAACAAGTATATTATTTGAGGACTTGTAAGAAAGGAAACTCACATGAAATTGTCCCACAAGGTGACGAGGGCCCGTCTGCCAACAGGAGTCTGTGCACATTGGGTAAAGCAGGCCAGCGCAAGTGCTTTCCACTCGTGGGAGGGAAAAGGGCATGATCTTGAGCGCTTTTTGCATGGTTTTTGTTCCTGCCTTTTGTGCAATGTAACATGAATGCTGGGTGCGGTGCATGTTGGTGAAGTACGGGCACCTGGTGCAGTATGTCCTGATGCACCTGAAATTATCTGAAAGGAGTACCGACAAAGACAAACCTTGTCATCTATATATACCCTTTCGATGCCAAACAAACAGTCTGGGCCATTCGGACGTGAAAAACCAATCGATTCATGTCTGCGATTTGTCTCGAGTTCAGGCCGGAGGTGGTTTGGACCCTTTTGCCAGGCCGTCAAGACCGGATTTTCCAACTGGCCAGAAGATGTTCGAACAGGACACCGCGACAGTCAGCACTTTGCCCGCAGCTTGCAACAGCATGCGCCTATCTGCAACAGCGGCAGGTTGCCCGCGAGTCGAACCACGTGCACCCCAAACATGGCATGTGCAAAATGAAGTAGACCTCTTGCCAAACCACCCTGCCCCCTCCCCTTTTCCCAGATTCTCATGGAGAAAGGGCACCAAGTCACCCACATGTGTGATGCCCCATGCAAAACCCAGATAAATGCAATTGCAAATCATTAGGAAGCAGTAAGCATAGACTTGCTGAACAGTTGTGAAGTGACCTGCTTGCTTCACTGTGGATGATCAGGCTTCAGCTAAAACTGTCACCATCCACATTTGTGGTGATGGGGCATAGGGACTTGCCTTACCCATCACCGGTTCTCCTGGCTGCCCCTTTTGGAGGACATCACACACGGCGCCATCCCTGCGACCGCGTCTCCAGCTGATGACTAGGGAGTTCACCGCTTCCTGGTGCAAGGAAGGGTCGGTAGCACGGAACGTAGCTCCGAATCAAAGCCCAAAACAATGACACCTGGCAAAATCCACCAGGCTCGCCCAACGCAAAGAAAGCAAAGCAAAAATAACCAACACACCAAGCCCACCCTCCCCCTAGTTTGCTCAACACCCGGGCCGGGACACCCAATCCCTAATCCTCACTGGGACAACTGGGGCAGCTAGGGCACTACCATCGGGCATAAGGATTGGTTGTGAACAACCCAGTCTGGGCTCCCCTATTGTGCTAACGTATGTTGGGGCACTAAAAATCGCAAATCGTCTGGGCAAACACTCACAGATTAACATGGAACCCCCACCATTTGCAAAGGGGACCCCCATTCTGCTGCATGTTTACCGTTTACCCCCTTTTTGGTTTCTTCTGGAATCCTATAACGAGCCCTGAAACCCATATGCTATAACAAATTTGCCCCTAAAAGGTGTCCAACTTATGGAAGGACAATCGAGGGCTTCCCCAAATGAAAGTAGCCCCAACTGCCTCTTGTCAGCTTCCATATTGGGAGGGTAGCTTGGGACTTTGTCTACATGGCAAGAAGCCTCTTTTTTTTTGGGGGGGGGGGGGTGCTGCGAACTAGAAATCCGTCTCGGGAGCCCTGATTTCTCTCTTCAACTTGCTTGCTGTTGACCCCTCTGCAAAAAGTTCGACTTTTTGTGGGTTTAGTGCGGAAAACGCCTTGATTTCAACCAAACAGTTAAAGTCTAAAAATCCACCTCGTTCAAGCAGTCAAGTCAAGGGCCTGCTCGTTCAACTCGCGCACGCTCACCAGGGCTATGGAGCGCACTGCGGCGTCCAAGTCCTGTTTGCCCGCGATCCGATTGCGACGCGGATGCGTGGCCCCCGTCCCCCAACCAAAGGGGGTTCCCCTTGGTAGTTACCTTTTGGTGGTTTCCTTGTGGTGGTTTCCTTTTGGTGGTTTCCTTTTGGGTGGGTTCCTTTTTGGGTGTTGTTTTCACGCTGGTCTCCTGCTGGCCCCCCCATAAGTTACAGCGTTACAGGTGGGTGAAAGTAGATGGCACAATTCCAACCCATTCATCCAAATAAGGAAGCGGTGCCAGCTACTTTCACCTTAGTGGGCAAAACACCGAATAAAAAGGAGGGTGGTGGAGGGGTTAAATATGGTTAAATCATTGGATATTATCTCATGATCGTGGGAGTTTTGAAGTCTCCTCACAACCGCCTTCAACTTCTAAGTTCAGTTGCCCAAAGTTGGCAACTTTGAGGGAACCGACTGAGTGGGCGAACGAGGCTGTCAAGAGCCGCATGCGAGCCAGGTTTACGTTTTCTGCGGGGGTCTGTGGATGGACCTTCGGCGGAAACCAGTCGCGCCCAACGCGTTAGATGCTTGCCGCGTCGGCTTCCAACCTGGATTGGCCAAGAACTATCTGAAGTAACAAATGGTGCTTGCCTCTCGTGTGGGTCCTTGAAGCATGTATCCATCCATCCCGACTTGCCAGGCATTACACCAGGGTTTTGCGCTTGGATCCGCGTCTGTTCCCTCAAATCCTCAAGGATGCGGCCTTTTGGCCGGATGCTTCCCATGGCTACGAAACCTCACTTTCAAGGACTTGGGAAAACGGGATTCATCTGTGAGGACCTTTCACCTGTAGACCAGTTCCGGGACTCCCCTTGTGGTTGTGCCTTTAAGGATATTCGGGACTAGCCAGAACGACTAAATCCTGCAACCGCACCCCCCGACCCGCTCCAGCGACGTGTCCACGTGGTCCAGCACAGGCTGCCGAATCATTTCGATGTCATCTGTCCTGGCACTCCGTGGCTCGATCCTGACCGGTGCACGGGCCTAGATCTTTCTCATGCCGGTTTTGGGGCATTTCTCCAGCCTAATGCACCAGGCAGGGGGGGGGAAGGGGGAGGGTTGAATGGACCTCATTTGACCAGCTTTTAATAAAGGCCCCTGGCTGATACATGTCACCTGTGGAAGTCACAAAGGGGCGAGCTGAGCCACATGCACCTGAAACCAGCCGGCATGACACAGACAAGCTCCAGTTGCCCAGCCTATGCGGAGCAAAACCACGGCATGCAACGCAAACCCGCATTTCCCTTACAACAAAAACATCGTCGTCAATACGTTCTTGTATCTTCCGACGCCTCTGCCACTCTGCTCAATCGACATATTTCAATAAACAAACTTTGCAAATGCCAATCAGGGTCCAGCGCTCTCCAAAATTGTGTCCATTTGTACCTGATGTATCTGTGTGAGCCACTTTAGGTACCAATTGACAAGCCTTGGAGGATGCTGGGTGTGTCTTTGCTTTTTAGGGGACCCTTCCAAGAGGCGTGGTTTTCCTTCAGGTTTCCTTGAAGCCATGGGGCGGTTTGCATGCTGGCAGAAACCATGCAGGACCAAAGCCTGGAGCAGGGCGACCTGTTTAGACCACCTTGCTTCAGCTGGATGGGCCAAACAAAGTCGCATGATTTGTTTCCATTGGTTTTCGGCCCCCCCAAAAAAATGTCAACTCAAGGAACTCACGGAGTGAGTTGGTGCTGGTTTCCCCAAAGGAACCACCTGTCAAAGAGCCTGAAAACGCCTGGTGACTCAAAATTCAACAGCTGGGGTGCATTTACAGGTCTTGGTCTACCTTTCTATTCACCAGGGCAACCCATCTCATTTTGGACCCCCATGTTTGAGAGCCTCCCCCCCCCCCGCCCAACACGCGGACACTGAATCCCTCGAACCCGGGCGACCCGGGCGAGGCGAGCCGCCGGGTCCTGTAGGGCGAGGCCTTGATGGCCGCGTCGATCTGGTCGAGGGTGGTGCGCGAGGGCCACGGTGCCAAGGAGTCGACGGCCAGCTGGGAGCCTCCAGGAGTGGAGCGCTTGGAGCCGGCTGGGCGCTTGGGAGGAGAAGGGGGGGTGGGGGGTGGGGGGGAGGTCACTTGACCAGCGGACCCGGTCACCCCGCAAAAAAGGCGATCAGCTTTTGGAACCCTTTAAGGGAATCCCAAACGGTTCAATCGCAACACCCTGGGTCATTCCCTACTGAGCACTAAAACCCACGCCATTGAACGACTGCTGTTTATGGAACCTTGAAGGGGAGGGCCCTTAGGCTCCTGAGGAAGCCCAAGCAACCCCGAGGAACCCAAACGAATCGCTCTCAACTCCCCCCCCCCAGTGGTACCTACCCCCCGGATGGGATTCCACAATTTCTTTGACGCTGTGCAACTTGTTGCACTCTTCCAAGTGTCAGGGTTGTGCCCAAGCATCCCAGACCGCAAACAGACGCCGGCTTAGTTTCATGAAAGCCAGCTGGCCAACAAGGTGCCCCACTGGCAGAGGGGAAGAAAAAAAAGAACACGCCAAACCACAAATCGAACAATTGGGCTTCAACCCACCCGTCAAGTAGGGTCCGGGCATTTCAGCGCATCGACGCCTGGGGAGCGGCCGATTCGGATGTCCACATTCCTATGTTCCAACTTTCCTAAACGCATGGCTGTGCCTTGCTCTGGCAGGCGGTATCCCAAATCTCAGTCCAAAAGCTCCTACAGCTTCCTTCACCCTTGGTCGACACATGTAAAATGCATCTTCACTCTATATGTAGCCTTGGCGCAATCACCGGGAGAAATCTGGACATAGGGCGCCTTGGGCATCTACATGCGGCCAGTGCGCATCCAACGGCTTGCCATGCCCAAAGTGAAATGTGGCCTCCGAAATGTGACCAACCCATCCCAAACCGAACCCACTCACGCTCCAACCCCAGTTCACATCCCACGCCACCCCACAGATTTTCCACAACCCCCAACCCCACCCCAAACCCAACCCCAAACCCCACCCCACCCCAACCCCAACCCCGCCCAACCCTACCCACTCCCCCGCCCATCCGAGCCCCCCGCCGCCCATCTCGCTGCACAGCACCCGGGCGTTGAGGTCCAGGTAGAGCAGCGTGGGCTCCGGCATCGACTGCCTCATCCCCTCCTGACAGACGCGACCGACGTGCGTGCAACGTGTGGGCGACCTGAGCTCGGAGCCCAAATAGAGGGGGGCCAAAGCCCTATTGCAACGCGCACACACACATGTATATATGCATGTATAAACATATGCTTATACATCTATACATACATATGCATTTTAAAGATATAGTTATGTGAGTGTGTGTCTGATTATTCAATTGGCTTCCCTTTTTGCGACCGCATAAAGCCTGCAGAGAGGTGCAGCCCTGGCGACGGCAGACTGGCTGGAGGTGCGGAGGAAAGCCTGAAGTCTGTGTGTTGCAAGCTTTGCCACTCGGATGGTTCTAAGAGCTACCTTCAAACAACAATGTCGTGAAACAATCAAGCCTTTTCATTCCTTCACGCTTCTTAGTCCTCTTGCTGGGTGTGGATGTTCCTTTTTGGATAAGGGAGCCACCTGCCCTCCCCTGCTTCGCCCCCCTTCCTGGGCAGTCCCTGCCTTCCATAGCACCGACGCCTCCAGAAGATCCTGGCCGGACATTTTTTCCGCGCCCACCAATCAGGGAGCGTAGAGGCTCAAGAGACCCTTCCAGGTGGACGACAACGAAAATAACAAGTTCCCTTGGAACGGCAACCAAAAAGCAGTGGTTGGGGGGGGGGGAGGAGTGCTGTTCTGTGATACCGTGATGTTTGTTTCTCCAACCTAGGCATGACGTCTTTGAGCTGACTTTGCCAGAAAAACTCAAACTCCACAAAGATGCAGATCAGGTGCAAAGCTCGGCAGCTGACATCGGGGATCTTTGTCTTCCCCCAAAACCCCTAGAAGGGTCGAAAGGGAGTATCACTTAGTCAAAATGTAGGGGACCAAGTATTTCTGGGAGGTCCCCAAAAACAAAGTCAAACCGAAATGAGCCAAATCCAAATGGCGGTGGGTCAAAATTAGGTACCCAACAAGAAACCCTGGTACATGGAACCAAGGACTAAAACCTGCAGTCCGGTTCCCGGTGAAAAACAAATGACCCACCGCCATTTCTGAGGGTCAAGACAAAACGGCACACCAAAAATAGGGGACTCCCCCTTGTGAAGGATTCGCTGAATGCCTGGTGTCCTTTTGGTCTCCCTTTCTTTTGTTCTCACCAATCCCTCGAAGGGGTACCCAAACCGCCTGAAGAAAAGCCGAGCCGGGCAAAATCCGGTGCAAAGGATCAGCTCCCTCGCCCACCTGCGGCAGCGTGGAGGCGTTCCAGTCGCTGAAGCGGTACGAGGCCTACGGCACGCGAAGCGTCAGGTACCCCCGAATTGGTGGAATGAATTGGTGGCTTTTATTGGTGGGACACTGCCTTGAATTGGTGTTTTGTATTTGAACCCCTGGCCTTTGTTGAGGGTAAATGAGGTTTACCCCTCCTTCACCACCAAGACACCAATTAAGTTGACTGCTGGGTTGCGTCTCAAGGCTGAACCCCATCTATGATATTCTCCGGGGAAAGCCCTCCAAAACAAGGGGCCAAAAAAGGGCACCACTTTGCGCACTTTGTGGGCTCCATGAAAATCGGAAGCAATCGATGCAGGCTGGCAGCTGGTGAGACACGGTTCCAACAAGCAACTCACACGATGGCATGTGGTCCTCTGTGGCATCAGCCCGACTTTGAGATGCTTAATTTGGGAATGACATGGGCGAAGTGGACACTTATCTCGGCCCACGTCTTAGGTTCTTCTTCATATTTAGCCTACACTAGAATTTTACATACTTTGTCATGTTGCCTGCCAAGAGCAGCTACAGGCAAGAGCAGCTAGGGGCGCCAATGCGCCAAATGCACCAAGTACCGTTGCTTGGCAAAGAGAAGCAACGCTGAAGGTGTCAAATGTGTCAAAAACAATCTAGCCTCGTTTGGGCTGATTCGAGTGATTTCCAAAAACGCGACCCCTTGATCTTCTTTCTTTTTGGGGGGCTGGTGTCCTTTCAATTGGTGACAAGTTAGGTATCCTTTAAGGATGTCTTGGGCCGAAAGGAATTTGCACCTGGTGCACCTCAAGCCTTCAGACAACGCACCGCTGAATTCTTCAGCTTTGTCACGGGTCAAAAACGGGTACGGAATTCACAAAAGCGGGTTCTTGAATGAACCCCTCAAAAGCCACAAATGTCTGGTGGTGTCCACTGAAAATGCCACTTTTGGAGGTCCAAAAAAACAGGGGAAATTGGGAGACCCCGTCAAACCCACGTACACATTCACAGGGGAAGGCGTAGCTTCTTGACCGTCTGTGACATGTTGAAACTCGCCCAATAGACAATTGGGCCCCAAAGTTCGGGAAACACCCAAGGCCCAAACTCCACGTCACACATCGTATGAGTGGATTGGCCAAAAACGAAGTCCGGGAACTTGTTGTTTGCCACTAGAATCGCAACCAGACCCAAAACGTGACTACGGAACCTTCCAGTTGCTTTCTAAGTCCCCTGAAAAACAAGTAGCAAAACATATTTCCAGTAGTGCAATCGATTCCCTTTAAAACCAACAGGGGGAAAATAAAAACAATTCCCAAGCAAATGGAAGGAACTCAGGGAACCCCCCCAAAAGTTGGATCGCGGCCCTTGAAGTTGGGCCCAGCTTCCTTCTCAGCCCAATCCGGACATGCAAGGTGAGTCACTTGCTCAAGAACCGATCGGTACAAAAGTGGTCGTAATCCCAGAACCATGCTTCAAGAATGAAGAAGGCGGAGATCCGCAGCCATCTATGGCTGGGATGGTCCCTTACCCTCCAAGTACCCGGGTTTTGAGCACGTGGCTCAGGTGATCACCTGTTGGGGCCACCAAAAACCAGCGGTCCGCCAAAAAGGGGAAGCAAAAAGGCCGGTCGATTCGCCTTGGGCAAGCGAGTCATAGGCGTAGGCGTCCTTTTGGTAAAATGGATGGGTTTCCCTGGTAAATGGAACGAATCAAGCCAAACCAGTGGAACCCATCTGTTGCTAACCAAACGAACCAATCAAAAGGACACCTCTGGTGGGTTGCTTGCAACTGGCCTCAAGGTCCAGCTGCTCCAACCTGAGGGAAAGCAGATGGGAACCCGCGAGCGGGGTCGGATGCATGGGTAGCTTCGTCTTTTCTTTGGAGTTGGGTGCGCCTTTTTTTTTTTTTGGGGGGGGGGGTTCAAAGGGGAAACCAGGAGGAAAGCCATGATTTTCGGGGGGCCCCTAAAAATGAATGCTCCTGGCAATGAATGCTACTATACAAGAGAATGCTCCTCTATGAATCTGCCGGTCAAGGCAACTAACTCTTTAAACGCGTTCTCATATTTGACTTATCTGATGTATAACTTATGACGTCGTATCACTCACGTGGCATCTTTTAATCGGGGCTCAGGCAGCAAGTCAACATGCTTGCCAGCACTTGGGGCTACCTGGCTTGAATTCAGATAGAGCCAGAGGGACTCCCGGTCGGCGGCTGCATGGAGCAGTGGGCGCTTTCACATGCCGCCCTGCCATATCGTTGGTGCATCCCTGTCGCAACTTCCGCCCGACTGATCAACTCAATGAGCCCTGAGTTGGTGATAGCCAGCACCACGAGCTGGGTCGAGGTGTTGAAATCTTACCGGCGCCAGCGAGCAACAACTAGTCACAGTCGCTAGGCTGATCGGCTTCCCGCCTGCAATGGCCTCAAATCATGGTTGTTGATATTTGCCCTGCAGGTGGTCAACATGAAACAGAACCTTTTGCGTTACAGGATGCTGCTTATAGATTGGCACGCTCTGGCATACCTACATACTGCGCGAGTTTATGAACACAACTATGTCAATGTACATTGATGTGGGAAATAAGGTCGAATTGCTGCCTGCATGCTGCATGCACGGTACAAATGACAGCCAACCCCCTTTTTTAGAGAAACACAGCTTGCATAAGGGCAACAGTGACTATTGGCGAAGAATTTGTCAAATTAGGGACCCCGGCCAAATTTATTGCGGTAGCTTGCCCTAAAAAAAACTGCGGGCTCCAACCCGACAATCAACTTACCTAGCTCCCAACCACCCAAACCAAAGCGACAAGCAGGCAGGTAGGCAGGAAGGCAAACAAACCAGAAACCAACCAGCCAGCCAGCCAACCAACGAACCAACCAACGAACCAACCAGTAACGAACCAACCAGTAACGAACCAACCAACCAACAAAAAAAACAATCATGCACACAACCTGTTGGAGGCCCACCTTCAAGTTGACCCAGGCCGGTCAGCCTGGGTCCGCCTGCAAGCCCACATCTGAGGCGGCGACACCATGGGCATGGAGCGGTCCTTGGTGGTGGGCGCCACAAAGCTGAGGACGAAGAGCAGAAGAATCACCTTGGACAACATCGGATGTTCTAGGGGTACCTTCCATTTCCATTCTTTCCAGGGATCCTTCTATCTTTCTAGCAAACCACCAAAAACCCTGGGGACATGGATCTGTTTCTTTTTTGAAGGAACGATGGCTGAAAAGAGTGGTGGAATGAACGAGAAGTGCTCCAGGCCTCATGGTTTTACCAAAGTCACCCCACCCCCAAGTGGTAGGCAAAAGGGAACCAACCCCACATATACCATGATCAAAGCCACCCAAGTGCGACCAAAAAATCAAAGGTGATCACCTTTTAGGTCCACGACTACAAATGGACCAAAAAGGGAAACCAAACGGTTGAAAGGTCGATGTGCTTTGGGCAACTGAGGCAGGCCAGAAATTCCAGGGAGTCCAGGTGGAATTTCCGGAAAATGCGGGTGGAAACTTCCACCATGCACGTTACAGTAACCCCTTAACTCGCTTCCTGAGTGGACTGGCTAAAAAGAGTCTGAACTTTGCATTTGCCACCATACACGTTGCAGTAACCCTGAACTCGCTTCCTGGGTGGAATGGCTTAAAAAAGAAAACAAAAACTTTTATTACCACAAAATGATCTTTGCAAACAGTTTCAAAGTCAGTGAACTCAAGGCGAGAGTCAAGAAGGCCTCATTAAGGGCTACTCCCGGCTTGTCCTTATCCCGGGATAGCCCCCCGATGACCTGAATGCCAATGCATGCCGAAGGTAAATTTGGAAGATGTCGCTAAACAGCGACATCACCGGGAATATGTGAATAATTTCATCATATCATGTGGCCCAGATTTCCTAGGTTCCCCCAGTTGTCCAGTTCGAACCCAACAAAAGGTGATCAACTTCCTCCCACTTTCATGGCACCTGTGGGGAGCCCCTGGAAGATCAATTTTCTCAAGGGTTCTTGTCATGTGTCAGGTGCCATGAAAACGTGGGAGGGGTCGTAGCCTGTTGGGGTCATGACTAAAAATGGACCAACAAATGCTAAAGGTCAACTTGGGGCAAGTGCGTTGTTTTGGTGGTTCTGATAAGGTCGCCGGAATGTGCGTCGTGAAAGCTTGGTCGTGCAGGGAATATGATGGGGGGGGGGTATGGTTCCTCGAAGCACCCATCATCTCATCATTTGACAGGGTACCCTATCTTTAAGAAACACCTGTTTGTTGCTTGTTCGTAGTAGGGACAATATGGGAATTATGCTTTAGCACAAATAAGTTGACCTCGAAGGGAGAATAGTTTGCCAAACTTTGCTGGGAGAGACACCCAACTGCATTGCTCAACTGCATGAACCTTAGGACGTAAAGTCAACTTGAGGGTTGTTCTTTTAAAACCCATTGCTCCCCACCGAACCCGGCCAGGCCCCCGGCCAGTAGAGCGACCTTGACGCCCACGTCCTGAAAAGCTGGCCCACACTTCGAAATATTTCCCGATCGAGAGCAGGAGCAAAGCAAAAGATCGAATCCAAATCAGGCTCCTCAGGCATGGTGTTTTGCTTGTGCTCCAGATTCTCGTTTGGGGTTCCCATCACTGGCGCGGCGTCCAAGTTTCCAAGGCCCGGCAACAGGGCGAGTCCTCCACGCAGAAACAAATATCCAGGGCCTTCAAGAACGCAAAGGAATAATGTTAACCCCGGATTAATAAACCCCTGGTTGATTTTCTTGGGGGGTGTCCCTTTTCGTGGTTGGATTCAGACCACTTTTGGAGGGAACTAGCCACGGGTTCATCAATCCTGGGTCAACACGCCTGATGAACTGGGTGCCACTGGCCCGACATCCTTTATCCTTGGGGCCCTCTACCGTCCCATTGCCATCCCAGCCCCGACTTCGCGGTCCTCCACATGGCTCCTGGCACGGCCCGGCTTTGGGAGGAGAACGCTCTTGACATGATCTGCGGCCCCCTTGGCACAAAAAATCCACGGAGTTGGGCCAGCCGCTTGTTTAAGCGTGGCGTGCGTTTCAAGCCCCATGGCTCAAAAACAACCTTCCGGTGTTTCCCGCAACCCCGGTTGCGTGTGGCTGCAGCCCCCGTTGTCCGCTCTCTCGCGCCCGCGCGCCTGCCGATGTTCTTCATGCTGGCGCCCTTGCCCAGCTGGCTCTGGCATGCGTACACCAGCCTCGGCTGCCCGGGCGGGCCTTCGAAGGGCCGAAAAGCCTCCCTCGGAGTCGCGCCTGGGATGCCCAGCCACTTGGTTTCGAACTGAGACTTTCCCTTCGGTTTTGGTCAAGGGGGTTATTGATGTTCTGGGTTCCCCACTTCGCCGCTCCAGCAGGAGTTGTTAGGCAGCTTCCCTCTAGGTGGTTTGGATTGGTGGCGTGGTCCGCCAATTCAAGGCAACAATGCTCCCACCACTAAAAACCACCCATTCAAACCGCCAAAACCAATGCAAACCACCAAAGGCTTACCTGATGTTGGGCCACGTCAAGCTCCTTTGCTAAGCGAGCAGCTTGCTCTTCACCAGCTCATCCTCCAGTACTCGCTCCTCAGCTCGCGCCAGCGAACTCTCGCGCTGCGCTTTGATCCCGTGCCCCCCCCCCCCTCCCAATGGCCGGAGAATGTGGGGTTCAGTCCCCGTATGGCTCGGTTGCAAAATCTGCGAAGCCCTGCTAAAAGTGACTAACTTTTAGTGGTTTGATGCGGAAAACCCACGAGTTGGATCAAACAGTTGAAGTCCTAACATCCCTTGGCAAAATGCACCTCTGTTTATGGGTGTGTGTGTGTGTGTTGTTGTGAGGGCACCCCTCGAGAGGTTGGTAGAAAGGGATTCCAAAAGGAAAGCCAGCCATTTGGGGGTGCCCCTTCAAAACATGCACAAGCCAATGTCTATATGCATGTTTGTCTGCATAGGCGAACAGGTCGAATCGAATCTCCGCACACCTGCACTTGCTAATCTATTTGCCAGCCTGGATTGCGGGAACCACAAGGAAGCAGTCTTCATGTCACCTCCCGAATTGGTGGTTTGGTTGGTGGTTTGGACGTTAAAGGGGTACCTTCCCCATGTTTCAAAAGGTACTGGGGGTCAAATCCCCAAACCAATCCAAACCACTAAGCAGAGGGAAGCTCATGAGGGCTGACATCACTCATCAAGGTGATGGGAAAAAGTAAGCCGAGGTTGCCACGGGTGAGCTTGGCTCAACTGATTTAAGAACCAAGCCTACCCCTCACTTGCTCTCCCGCCAACAAATATGGAAGTGCGCAGGCCCAATCTTTGCAAGGCACTCCTCTTTTGAACAGATGGCTGGGTAATTCCCTGCTTATTGTTGGCGTTCAGATCATCAAACCCTCATGTCAGTGTGAAGGCCCCCCCCACACCCCCGGCTGCACGTGAGTGAGTCCGCCCAAACGAAGAACCAAACTTGGGAACAAACAACAAAAACGCCACCCGCTCCCCCCCACCCCCACCAAAAAAACAAAAATCGCACCTCCCCTCCCTCCCTTCCCAATCCACTTCCCTCCCCCTCCCCACCCCCCTCCCACCTCCCTCCCCCCCCACCCTCCCTCCACCCTCCCCCCCCCCCCCCACCACCTCCAACCCCCGGCCGAGGCGCCCGGAAGGCGCTGAACTGCAGCGTCTCCTCGTCGTCGGACTCCATGGAGGCCGCCGAGGCGCTGCGCCGCAGCGACGCCGAGCTCAGCGAGCTCTTCTTGGACCACGCGCCTCGGCTCGGGGCTCAGATCGGGCGCTGGCTCGGGCGGTTTTTTCGGGCGATTTTTTGCGGGCGATTTTCGGGTTCCGCGGTTTTTGACGAAGATGGACTCAAACCCAGAAGGGTCTCCTTTTTGGGGGCAATGAGCCAATTCCTGGTTTTAAGTCTGCTCTGGGGGCGAGAAACTCGGGCGAGAGATCGGTCAAGGGCGAGTTTTCGGGGGCTGGGTGGAGGGGTTTTGGGATGGGAGAATGGGATGATCCAAGGAAGAAATCAGAAAGGAAGGCACCAGTTGGATGGTTTAGTCGGTGGTCATTCCAACTCATTCCCTGCTGCCCATCGCAACAGCAAGTAAAATGGCAACGGTTTCCTTTTGGGCCGCCAGTGGATGGGCAAGATCCGGAATGCTTGAACAAGATGGAATTGGCGACCTATCGATAAGTCCCTGGAGTCTCCATGACCCTTCCAAAATGGGGTCATTACCCAAAATAATGGGGTCATGTTTAAAGAGTCATGGAGACTCCATGTCCTTGAAATCTGCCGGTATGAGCATGGTTCAGCCGCGTGTACCTGAGTCTGCCGACCTGTGGATGGAGCTCTGGCTGAACACAGCCTTGGGAATTCTGGGTAGTCTTGACTTTTGCGGGTGCCTGGGGATTGCCCCGATCTCATTTAGCAGCACTCACACCCCTGGTGGGAAGCGTATATTGGTTGCCTTCAGGCGGGGCTTCGCATGTTTCCGCATAGTTATAGAAATGAGCAGGAATGTCTGCAGCAAACTGGCCACCCAACAACTAGGATTTCGTGTAGGCTTTCCTGTCGGTTTGATAGAAAACCGGGTTGAGTTGCTGAGTCACATTAGGCTCCAGTGTCCAAAAGCCGGCCATCGGGGACACTCCTCCGGCGATCACTTGATCCGAGCCCAAATCAATTGAAACACAACAACGAGCCCCGTCCATATAATTGTGTGGTGCTTATTTGTTCCGGTTTGCGACATGTGACTTCATCTGCGTTGCTGCTTCGTCTTCGGCGGTTCCTCTTGTTTATCGATTCTCGGACTTCCTTTGCGCGGCCCAGGCGTTTCTTTCTCTCTTTTTTTTCTGGGGGAGGGGGGGTGGACTTCCTGGCCCATGGCCGCCAGGCTGCGGCGCTTGCGCGCCGCCTCGGCTTCGTCGCCTGCCCCGTTGAACGACCCGAAACGCAGAGCTTTCCTTGGGGAATGCGTCGAAATGGGCGTGGTAGGCCTCCATTTGCTTAAGACCCTGGGAAAAATAAAAAATGCTTCCAGTAGTGATAGATCCCCTTTAGAACCAACAAGGGGAAAAAAACATCTTCTTAAGCAAATGGAAGTAGGGGGGGACCTGTGGGTTTCCCTCTTGGCTTCCTGTTGAAGACGAAACCGTCCTTTTTAGAGGAACCCCCCCCCTCCCCCTCTTCCGCACGGCAACCATCGCAACTTTGTGCAGAAATATGTTTGGCTGTGGGTCACAAATCGGGCCCCACAAAGGAACCCTGGTAAATGGACACATGGACTAAAACCTGCGGTCCTCTGGTGGTTAGACTAGGTCCAGTAGAGAGGTTTGAATAAGGGTACCCTTTTTCCTGTAGTCTATTTTAGTAGGGGAACCCTCCCCCGAGAAAAACAAAAAAAAGGTAAAAGGGCACTACTGGGGCACCTAGCAAATTTTGACCCATACCCATTTGAGTGGAATAAGGGCCCCCAACACCTCCCAAATTCATCGGGACATCATTTGGCTGCCCGATCCCAGCCTGGGTCGCTCGCGGCCCTCGTCATCCTGGGGCACGGAGCAAAGTACTGGAGAATTGGTGTCATGCCCCGCCCAAATCAATGGTAGACCAAACCCAAAAATTCTAGGGGCTGATTCCAACAATTCTTTCCAACCATGGTTCTTTTCAAAAACCAGCTGTTTGCCCTGGGATTCCGGAGGTTTTCCAGAAAGAAGGATCCTTGGAAAGAATGGAAATGGAAGGTACCCATGGAAAAGTCGTCCGTCGGCCATTTGCCTTTCCCAAACTCGCACGGCATTCCCCAAGTGGATGCTTTCTGCATGGGCCAACGGCTCATATTCAAGGCAAACGCCCGCAGTGTGGGTCAGCACAAGGCCAAATCTGTGAAAGCAAGCAGGTTCCCTGTTCAGGGGGTAAACTGATATGAACGCGTTTCAGCATCCGGAAGGCACTCCTTTGGAAATGATGTTGGCAGAAAGGATTGGCAGATCAGCTGAAAATCATCCAGACAGGCAGCCTTCAAAGAACTGAACTGGAGGTTATGAGGCGCCCCTGGCGGTCCTCTCACTCAGGCGTCAAAAAGGGGGCTTTCTTGGATGCGGACCCTCTCCCTATATTGGGGGGATGGGGATCAGCGAGACAAAAAGAGGACTGGAAACAACCGTACTGCTGACATCCAAAGAATGCAGCCCATGCTCACTTTTGTGCATTTTTCGACCACTGAAAAGGAGTTTTTGACGACATGGCGATCCGGTGCAATAAAGGCCTTGGACCCAAAACCCGGTGAGGTGGACTCAGGGGCTGTTTGGAGCGTGAGCGTTTGCCCCCATGTCAGTGATCCCCATTTTTTCGGGGTACGCAAAATGATCAACCCGGGCCGTTTTTTAATGAACGAGCCCTTGCAATACTCCAACACCTGCATGGAACCCTTCAAGGACGGTCCAATCACCATCGTTGCCCCTCCAAATCGGTGAGTTCTACGTTCCCAAATTCAGCCATCCACATGTTGCAATGGGGGTACCCGTGCCCTTTTTTGGGATTCGTCGAAACCCAGCATTTCAGGTACCCCCGCCCAAAAAAAGAACAAAAAACAAAGGTTCCCTCAAGAAGCAGACACTCACATGGCCCTGGGTCAAAAACCAAATCGTACCCCCAGTGAACATCCCAATCCCCACTGAAATGGACTAAAATGGGTGGTGCACCATGGTGCACCTACCCCAAAATGGCACCATTGGTTGTGATCCACGGACATGGCGAACCGGTGGTTTTCTTAAGTCTGGCGGCGAGAGCGTGCCCAACTGATCGCTCTGCCTAGGCTCCCGGCCGGTGTGGATTTTGTGTGGGTCTTGAAGGGGTAGTGTAACCCTTTGGAGTTGGCTTGGAGGGGGGACACAAATGGGCTGCAACACTCTGTGAAGTTCTTGAGTGTTCCAAACGCCTCGCGTTGCTTTTTGAAGGCGTTGAAGGATTCTGGCCCCTGACCATATCGTGTAATTAAACAGGCCACGCTCAGAGAGAGGAGACCGGAGGCCTGGCGTGGGGCTCTAATGCAAGCAAGACTTGACACCCAAAGGTCGGCCAAAACTGATGGCCACAGTCAATACATGAACATCGCGACTTTGGGTGAAGAGGGTGCGTCAACAATAAGGGCCCGCAACACAAATGTGCTTCTTTTACTTTTGGGGGCCTTTTAAACCAACCGAACAAAGGGGAATCGAAAAACAGAAACACAAGATTGGCTTTAGAGCCAGGGCCAACCACTGGGACCAGGTGAACAGGCCAGGACGTCGAATCGCCAAAATCAAACAAGAAGGTAGCTCGACCTGAACGCACCCCTGCGCGGGTGGGGGTGGTTTCATGGTTGTTCTCTGATACCAAGATGGGTCATTCCCATGACGACTTTGTCACCTTCAGGGGAATTTCCCTTGGTATCGCAGGCAATTTCCCCATGATAACCACAGGGACCACTGGCCATGAGGCCACCCATGGGCCATGAGGAATGCCTGGAGGTTCCTCAGCGTGATATTCTCAACAGCCCTGGAAGCCTCCCTGAAAGCTGCCCCAAACCACCAACCAGAGCTTGTTTGGGCACAGACCCCATAGCTTTCAGCTGTTCGGGGAAGAAACCAAACAAAAAAAACATGTCCGCCTTCTCAGCTCAGGAGGCTGCCTATGGCAAGCCTGGTATATTGAGCAACCTGGCGCTGGAAGAGCAGAAGTGTGCCAGGATGAAGCAGTATCCACAAAGAGCGTGAGACAGATGCTGCTGGGAGAATTAGAGCCAACACCTGCAGACGAGGGGCGCTCCGTCCGTGTGGAAGCTGGGATGGACCTCCCGGGTCAAGACGCGCCCCGGAAAGGGGAGGGGGTTTAGTGGGGTGGAGGCAGTTACGAGCTCATCCTGGGACATGCTGGGCTAGGCTCCCCAGAAATGGCCTGAAACCCATGCAGGGCTTTATGTATAGCCTGAAGTGCAAGACCAGGCGGTATGGTTGCCCGTGACACCCTTTTGGGGGGGGGTACACGAGATAAGCCCTTGAATGCGAATTCAGAAAGGAAATGCACCAAGGAAACCTCCCTAGTTTCATTCTGCAACAAGTCTGGCAAAGCATAAGCAGCTTCGTGCCGCAACAACGGACACTCGCCACAGGGAGGTCCTGGTGAAAGCAAGCAACCCAACGAACGCTGCACATCAGTCCTTTGGGCAGCGGACGTCGATCCAAGTGCAGCCGAAAATGCGAACAGCGGAACTTAGCTTGAAAGACCAGGAAACTCGACAATACAACCCAGTGGACCCTTTCACCTGCATATAGCAGTACGTGGTAAATAACCAAGAGAGCCACCTTTTCAAAGCCAGAAGGAAAATAGCGGTAGTTGGCACCCAAAGTTGGATATAAAGAGGTGGCTTTCATCCGCAAAGTCTCCTTCTGTTTGGTGGCTTCGCCAAAAACAAACTGCAACTGATTGATGGAAGTGGGGCTCGTGCAAGGGGAAAGTCCTGGTGCAAGGGATGTATGGCGGGGGGGGGGGGGGGGGGCCGGGGCCCAAACCTTAGGTGGGGATGCTGGGATGCCCTTGGTCAGAATGCTCCCGAGGCACCCCCGTGTTCGTCTGGTCCTTTTTTGAGATGGCGGCATTGTCCTGCGGTGCCTGTTTTCCAACCAACGCAGCAACACAAACATTATATAAGGAAGTGGTATGGTCAGTTGCGCCCTCCTATTATTTCAGAGAACTTTCCTTCTTCCTGCGAAGCCCTATTACCCATGTAGTAGGCAACCAGCCATAATACCCATAATACATGGGCAACAAATGTCCCAGATCGGTTGGGGGAAAAAAGGGAAGCCAACCGGCAGCCAATAGGAAACCACTGGGACACCAATACTTCCATTTGGTTAAGACCCCTGGATTCAAAAATATCAAAACATCCAGTAGTGATTAATTCCTTTTAAAACCAACCAAGGAAATTAAAGACATATTCTTAAGCAGGGTTGTGGGGAATGACCACTTCTGTGATACAACAGAAAGGGCTTCCCAAAGACTAACCCCCCATATGAAGGGGGAGATTGCCTTGTATCACAGTGGGGAAAAACCCCGAGTGAGCCCACAACCCTGTTCTTAAGCAAATGAAAGAATGGGACACCGGTAGGAAGACCATTTTTCGGGGTCCAACCTTTGGTTCGGCTCCCCTCCACCCCGCGAGTCGGTTGTGAGTCTTCAAAAGCGAGCTCACGGCCTGCAAGGCCTGGCTGCTCTGACCGCTGGTCACGGTGTGGTAGGTCTGCATCCTCCTTACACAAAACCCGTTTTTTTTGAGCCACGCACGGGAACCTTCTGGAAACTCTGGAAAACTTCTGGAAACTCCGGGGAAAACGGCTAGTTTTGGAAAGAACGATGGTTGAAAAGAATGGGGAATCAACACGTCCCCGTTTTTTGAACCACGCACGGGCTGTCCGTTTAAAGACCCCAACGAAAATGCCAGGTGAGCATGAGTAGAAAAGGCCAAACACTCAAAAAGATCATCAAAAAAGGATTCATTGCCTCAAACACTCAAACATCTAAAGCCACGTGAGCATGGGTAGGGAAGGCCAAGAATCTCATCAAAACGATTCATTACCTCAAATCTCGCCTGTTTCGGTAGAAAATGGCCCCTGGAATCTGAGTCCAAAGCAAGATTCCCATCCACACGACTACTTTTGCTCTTTAGCAAGGGGGTCCTTTACTTGGTTGACGTTGGAAGGGGAGCAAAAAATTGAATTTCAGCAGCAAAGTGGGGATTTCCCACTAAACCACAATAAGCAAAAATGTAAAATGTTTCCCAACGACACCCATGTTTAGTATAACACAAGGCTGCAACCTACGAACTCACGTTCCCACAATGATGTACGTGAGCCATACAGCTTTGGTTTGGATGCTCATGTTTTAGAGGTGTGGGTGGGGGGGGGGGCTGCATAAGCCGTACATGGGCACTTTGCAAAACGCAAAAAATGGGACCCCTCTGGGCCCCTCTGGGGAGTTGGCTTCATCTGGATTCAATTTGCCTGGACATATCATTAGGGTTCGGTTTACAGCCAATGTTCGACACCCCCCGAATCTGCGATTCTTTGAAGCTCTTTCTTCTTCCTACCAAGTCAATAGTAAACGCCTTCTTGCCAGCTCCGGCCCTACGACGAAGCATCACTTGCTGGTTTTCAGCAAAGAGTTTGGGGAATGAGCCTGGGCATCCCAAAGAAAACCACCAGTTGGATGGTTTATATATATATATATATGGTACCCCCCCCCCCTGGAATACTCAGGTTTTTGGCCAAAAATTGACATGTGGCTGTAAAAATGCATGCACAACACACGTTCCAGCTTCTAAAAATGAGGCTCTAAAAATGCACGCCTTTTTAGGCCTAAATTCTAGCATCGGTACTTAGGGCAATCCAGGATGTGCTAGCATGTGCTAGCACATCCTGGATTGAAGATTGAAGATTGAAGATTCTGAGACCACTTGTTCTGGAAATCTTCAATCCATCCTTAGGACAAACTGATATGTGCTAGCACGTGCTAGCACATCCTGGATTGAAGATTGAAGATTGAAGATTATCTGACAACTCTCTCTGGGATTCTTCAATCTTCAATCCAGGATGTGCTAGCACGTGCGAGCACATATCAGTTTGTCCTAAGGATGGGTTGAAGATTTCCAGAACAAGTGGTCTCAGAATCTTCAATCTTCAATCTTCAATCCAGGATGTGCTAGCACGTGCTAGCACATCCTGGATTGCCCTAAGTACATATTTGGAGAATTTCAGAAAGAGTTGTCTGAGAATCTTCAATCTTCAGATCCTGGGTTGCCCTAAGTGCGGATTGAAGAATCCAAAAGGCAGACCGGGAGTGCACGTTGTCAGAATCAAACTGTGGATGTGCACTTGCACTGCCTGCATTTGGCCAGGGGGGAAAATTGTTGTTGACATCTTTACAGTTTTGTTGTGGACTCCAGGATGGAAGATTCTCAAATAGAAAATATGGTAGATCTTCAATCTTCAATGCAGGGGGCAAAACCGTAATGAGTCTAGAACAAACTGTCAAGTTTTTAGGGGACCAGGATTGAGGATGTTCTAAACATCTGTTTGTGGAATCTTGTATACTCGATCTTCGATCCAGGGCAACACGATCTGAGCAAATGCTGTAAAACACTGCGTTGTACAGCATTTATGCCAAGAATAAGATCTATGATTGAAAGTCATGGCTTGGCTCAGTTCTTGCTTGGTTCAATCCACATGGAGTTCGATAAGGACAATAACCCTTTGAAAAATGAGTTTGATTCCAAATTCATTTGGCCATGACAATAGCCATCTTCTCTAGTTGATTTTTGAAATGCACAAGAAATTGTAAACGAGTAAACTTGAATTTGGTTTGAACTCGAAAGCGTTTTAAACTGGATATCCTTCCCTTGCTTGAATTTCAATAGTTGTTATTGGCGATGGTTGAGCCAAGTTAGACAAGCAACACACACACACACATGGGATAGTTATGTTTCAAATAGACTGAACTAGCATGTACATGGAATTCTGCACAACACTCGAGTTAACACGTAAATGCAACTGCGCAAGGACATGACGTAGGAATGAGTTCCTTTTCCCCAAGTTGATGATCTGCTTAACTTCGCTGCCAAACAAAGGTAAGAAACACAAAATAGCAGAGCTGCTACAGGCGCGTTGAAGCTGCCAAAGCATACTTCGCGCACTACTCTTGTACTGGACAGTTGTGTTTTTTGAGCTGGAGCTGCCAAAGTGAACTTTGCATACTCCAATGCGACGGTCACACAACTCGCAACTCCTTCAACGTTGAGCTTAACTTCTGCTTGGTTGGAATTTGCATGGAGTTGAGCGTCCAGTCAGTTCATTTCAGAATCTCAAGGCATTTCTCACCCCGAGTCTGGCCAAAAACCTCAGTTCTAGCCCAAAACCTGAGTATTTCAAGGGGGGGGTAGCATATATATATATATATATGCGTCATGCCATGTCCCGAATAAAGGAATGAACCGATTGGGGATTCCCCCACATAAAGGAAACCACAGGATGGACCGTTCACATTCCCTGCGAGAGCTCTCGCAGCAAGCAAGTCTTCCCCTGACCGCACCCTCCATGCGGAAAACACCGGTTCGGCTTCGGGTCCAAGGCTCTGAGTTTGTCTTGATCTAAACCTGGTACAAACCAAGAACCAGGTAGACCTCCCTTAGCATGGCTGGGTTCCTGTAGACTTCCCTTCGAAGAATCTCCATCCAAAAGGTGACCCTGGAACAACCCCTTGTTTGGTGTGGTTGCTTGGGGAACCCGCATAGTATCATAAAGCAATCCAACCTCCCAAAAGGGCCTTGGTTTCAGAACCAGATCCCAAACATGTCCTTGCTAGCAGCCTTTTCGGGGCTGGTTGGTTGGTTGGTTGGTTGGTTGGTTGGTTGGTTGGTTGGTTGGTTGGTTGGTTGGTTGGTTGGTTGGTTGGTTGGTTGGTTGGTTGGTTGGTTGGTTGGTTGGTTGGTTGGTTGGTTCCACAGGGGTGGCTTAAGAACTTGAAGGCTGCCCTTGCTTTTCAGCAGGGAACTCGACCCAGCAAGACTCTCGGGAGTGCGGTTTGTTGCTGCTTATTTGGCACGTCTTTCCCCCCCCCCCGGAGTCCCGGTTTTCGAGAGACTCAAAACCCACCAGCGAATCCAGGCTCGATAACCCAGCGGTAAAACTCTACACTTTTTTTCGCGGGGGGCGTTCCACTTCAGATTCACGTAGGGAACTCCGAATTTGAATTCATCCGACGGGTTTCTCAGTCCGTTCGTACCTAGCCCTGGCTACGACCCACCCCTCAAGTCCACAGCGAGCGTCTGCAGGCGTTGCGGCAACATCACCGCGGAGCTGGTCGACCCGTCCATGTCGGGGTGGGCAGCCGCGGAGCTGTTCGTGCCGTCGTGGCAGTCTTCCCTGCACGGGTGCAAAAAAGGCCCACCGCTGAGACCCGTTTGAGATAGTACCTAGGTAGAGGTTAGATTTCTGTAGTCTATTTTAGTAGGGGAATCCTCCCCCAAAACAGGGTAAAAGGGCACTACTGGGGGACCTAGGTACTGTGGATGGGCAAAATTCAAATACGAAGAAATTCAAATACGAAGCACCTAAGAAACCCTGGAAGGATTCCAATGACCCCCCTTCAAATACCAACAAACTTTGCGATTTCATCCCATGGTTTCATTTCGTGGTGCGAAGGGATTTTGTCCATCCACTGTAAAGTAAGTACTGTCCCTCCCAAATTTCCAGGATCTCGCGTAAAGAGGGTCCAGCTGACTGGTTCCGCTCCTAAGGGGGGGGGGTGTAAAGAGGGTTCAACATGCAAGATATGTAAGGGGCACGAATTCAGTTTCCCCTGGCACACTTTGCCCGAGTCCCTCACGACCCCATTCTGATGAAGGCCCTGGAAGGCACCTTCTAACTAGAAAACAAGCTGCGCATGTTACAGGAGCCATACATGAATAGCCCTAAGTAGCCCAAAGACCACCCTGCGCTGGAAGACAACCCAGACAACTACCTAATGAATTCTTGGGGTCCTCAAACCGCCAGGTCTTGAGTCTGAGACCATGGGTCTGGGGCTTCCACGGAGCGTCTGGGTATAAAGACAAATTAATGGACAATTGCCCTCTGGCACGATTCGCAAGTTTGTGCGTTTCGCGACAAGTATCATTTGTTGCAGCTTTTCCACCCGGACATGAGCGATGTTGGTGTTCCACACATATTTGTCGCCAGTGGCCGTCTACCAACCCGCCAGTGGGACCTGTGAACCAAGCAGTGCACAAGTGTGCCAAGTGCCCAGGTCAGACAGCTCCATGCCACGGAAACGGCTCCATGCCATGGACATTTGGCTGTGGGTCAAAACCCTTTACCCCTGGTGAACACCAAAATAGGTGGTACATGGGTGTTCATCCGCCCCAAAATGGCTTGGCATAGGTTATGCCCCATGGACACTTGGAGATTGCTGGCATCCGCCAAACTTCTGACTTGATCTCGTTTATAGACGCCACAAATCCGGCAAGCAATGTTCTGCTGAAACCCCTCCTGTCTGAGCTCGTCTGGTCATAACCCTGAACAACCAATACCCTGCAGGGGAGCCTTGCTAATCTCCGCGCCCCCCCCCCCCCCCAACACAATGCCCAAACCGCGCGTTCGGATGGTGACGCTCCGGCTCCGCCGTCTGGTCAGCTCCTGCGTTTCCGAAAGGCACACGAGTGTGCGCCCGAGGTTTTTGTTTGGAGCTTTACGGCCCAAGGATGAAGACACAACCGAGGTAAGAGTACCGAGCCTCCAAAGCGACGCACCTTAACCTCACTTGCCCGGTTGGGAGCTGGAAATACAAGGTCAACCTTTTGGGACCTTTACCAAAAATGGTTGCCAACATGGGAAAACCAAAAGGTCAAAAGGTCGATTCGCTTGGGGCAAGTGAGTAACTGCGAAATGGAGGCTTGGCAAATCCGAGTCATCGATTGTACAATCACCAAGGGGCCCCTTTCGTAAGTCCCAGCCATCTCCCCGAGAGTCCGCAAGGATGGCTCAAGAGTGATGTGCAAAGCTGGCTGAGTTGCCAACAGCCAAGGGTCCATTGCGAAGGGTCACTCATGTTGAGCATGCAAGGTATTCCCCTGCGCTGGCCATGATCAGAAACTGCCTTGCCTGGCGGCCGCTTCTCTACACGCTACGGAGTTCACCCGCCCACTGAAACTAACGTGCGAGCTAGCACACGGGGGCAACAAAAATATGGCCATGGGGTCAAAAGCCAAATCGTACCCCCAGTGAACATCCCAATCCCCACTAAAATAGGTTCCCAAATTGGTACCATTGGTTTTCACCCACAGCCATATGTCCTTGCCGTCACCTCCAGCCTCTCCCCTTACAACCAGTTTTTTGCCCGAGCCGCAAGCGTTTTAGTAGCCCGAGCCTGTGGCTCGAATTCGAGATTCAAATCCTTCTGGACCCAACCCCCGCAAAGCAACGGCAGCAACGGTTTGACAGCTCAAACATTTGGCTGGGCTCTTGAGTTTAAACCTTGGAAGAGCTCGGCCAAATATACCACAACCCCCAATTTCAACCCAGGGCTGATGGGCATGTCCCCAGTTTTGGTGGGGCGGTTCCTCACTTTTGGAGGGGAACACCCCTATATTATATGAATGAGCGGTTCAACTCATCCGCGGTTCCCATCTTATAGAAAAAACTCGCTTCCCGAGTGGACTCGCCAAAAACGGTCTGAACTGTTCACTTACCACCAAAATGGTCTTTCTTCCCAAAACGTTTAAAGATGAACTCAGGGGGGTTGAGAAAACCCACAAGACCTTGGGACTCCTCAACCCCACTTTTCCGGCGGAACGCCGCATTCCGACGCATTCCGCTCCTGCAGCGCCTGGCTGCTTTTCTGCTGGCTCAAGGAGGTGGAGATCCCCCTGGGCGAGCGGCAGCTTTGAGCTTTGGGCCCAAAAGGCGGACCGGTCACCCCCGACGGCCCGGCGGCCAGCCCTTTTGAGCGCAACAACTTCTGGGCCCTCCAGTAGAGAGGTTGGAATCAGTTGGTACCAACTCTCCTCTTTTCTTTTTCTGTGGCCTATTTTAGTAGGGGAACCCCAAAAAAGTCGGTAACAGGGCACTGGCACTGCTGGGGGACCTAGTTAATGGACGCGACTGGAGCTTTTTCAGCGCAACCACTTGAATTGCATGCTAGCCTGTGCTGCCCTGAGTTTGCTTGCCAGCCTTTTTTGTGCATGTTTTTTTTGCGTGCACTGGGCTCGGGTGAGCACCCACCCCAGGGTGGCTCGCAACAACAAAAAAGGCCCGCCAAAAAATGATGGGTGGTCCGCTAGTTGTCCCTTGAAGCTACCCAACGAAACACCCAATTGTCTTCCCGGGGTGGTTCAAAGGACAACCACAAGGAAACCACCCAGTGTTAGGGGGGGTTGCGATTCCCATGTTGAGATCTCTGTTTATCGGGTCCAAACGCTCATCCGGCCAAGGGCGGCCCTTGAAGCAAAAACCAGCTCCCGCCCTGCTAACATTTTAAACTTGTGGGTTACCATGGAAACCCAACCACTGAACCAACTGAAAGCGGAAGAAAACCTAAGGAACCGGATGGCTGGACACCACCAAGCTACCTCGACAGTCGGCCTTCTGGAGAGTCGCGTGGCGGGGGCCCGAAGCATTCCAACACGCTGGATGGAGGATGGCGCGAACGGACTGCCATTTCAACTTCACCCCCCCCCCCCCGAGTTTTGGGAACCCAGAATGAGACCCAAGCCTTTTTAAGCAGTTTTCGATCTTGGGGACACCCACAGCTGCGCACATGGCTTCAATTGCACATGCCGATTTTTGGTTTGGGCTTCATCACTGCCCCAGATTCACCAGTCCTCCCCCCCAAAAGCCCAAGACAATCATGACTTGGGCCAATTCTCGCAAGGCGAGTTCTGGCCCAACTGGTCGATTCCTCGTGAGAATCTGAATGCCCAGCACCAAACATCTTACGCTTGGTTGGTTTGGGAACTGGGGATTTGAGCCCCTATCCCCTGGTGCTTGTGGGCAAATGGGAAACCACCCCTAACTAACCAAAAACCGCTGTGCTCCAAACCGCCGGATTCTGAAGACATGAGCCATGGCCATTCAGTGCGAACCCCGGCGCGTCAACTTCACATGCCAGCAACAGGCCGATTCAGATCGGCCTGTCAGCCTAGCTCCCCCCATCTAACAAAAATGGGACAGGATTTCACCACGGAAAGAATGACCCAGCATGACGTACAGCTATCAAAACGTAACATGTGAACACCTGTTTGCTGAACATTAGAGAGGTTAAAGTAAGGGTACCCCTTTTTCTGTTGTCTATTTTGGTAGGGGAACCCTCCCAACCAAAAAAGGGGAGAGAAGAGCACCTAGCTGGGGGACCTAGAAGAGACCCTTCCCCCCAAAAAAAACACGGCAGTGGGAGCCATGAGTTGCAAGCGGCCCGAAGGGGGCGCTCTGCGTGCCATCCTCCTGGTTCGTCCTGGCGCAAGATGTGTTTTTCGCGCAGCTGGGGCAAACAGATAAGACGTTTTGCAGATTATTCTAAGGGTTTTTGTACTACACCCTAGGAATACACCCACTATTGACCCCATTTAGGCACATTTCCGGATAAAACCGTGTTATTTTGAACAATTCTGGGTCATGTCCCAAGGGCGTAATCCCAGGTGTAATGCAAAACCCCTCAGGATTATGTTTCATACTTGGTCCACCCTAAGATAGAAAATACTTGTGGGGAGATATGGCATATCAGAAATATGGGTTTTCCTTGGAAAATGATTGTCTCCATGTGCAGTCCGCAAAAACCAAAAAGGGAAGAGGCGAATTTTGGTGAACCGTCCAAAGGAAGCCATGACTCAACATACCATTGGAAAGTATCTTTGGTTTTGATGTGTTTTAACACACTCCCTCACGGTACACGAGCTTGCCCAGTGTACTTTGCTTGACCTTCACATTCTCTCCTCACAGACCTCATGCCTTCCATTTGGATACCCAGACCCCGCAAAACCTGGTTACAACTCCAAGAAGCCAACATCTCAAAAACGTGCGCCAGGATTCGCAAAAAAGTGTCCAACTGCTCCCTCCCCCTATCACTATAGCAGGTACGAACCCAGGCCCAAAGGGAAAGGTGGGCCTTTCGCTGCGGATAGTCACGCTGCGGCTGCGCGGCCGAAAATGTGCCACGGTGCAGGGGGGCTCCGCCTGAAGGCCGGTCGGCTGCTTGCGGCAGGCGGGGACCTTGTGGCTGCCCAAAAAGAATCACCTTAAACCAGCACCCCTCCACCACTGGTTTTTGGACAATATCAGTTGGGACCTTGTCTCAAAACGGATGACGGCTTCGCGGGAAGCGGTTGAGCGACAGTTTTTTAGTGGGCCTCCATTGATTTCTTTGATCTCTAGAAGGAGCATGCCATTCTGGAAAAAGGGGGCTGTCTGTCTTGTCTTACCACGAGGCACCGCTCACATGGCGGCTTTCCAGCACCAGCCAGTCATCAAACAGATGCCTATGTTCGCACACCAACTAAGTCCTCCAGTAGAGAGGTTAGAAACCTTTTTCTGTAGTCTGTTTTAGGAGGGGAACCCTCCCCAATAGCTGGGGGACCTAGGTCCCAACCCAAATCAACGCTTGGGGGAACCGTTGGGAGGCCGCCTGTCTTGGTCCCCCAACCGCCCATTCAGCCCAAAAACGTGGACCAACTCCAAAACAAGCCACGCCCAAATAGGATACCCAAAACAGATGGCTCAGTCTTGTCGGTGTGTTCGCCCTCTTTGCTTTGAACCAGCCCCCAACACACACACACACACACACACAATGATAATAGTAAAAATACTAATAAAGATAATAATAATAAGGATAATAATAAAGATGACAATAGCAAAGATAACAATTATAATAACAATATATCAATATATGTATATATATATATGTGTATATAAAGTGCAGAACCCGCTTTTCCTCGCGCCTCGTCCGAGTTCTCCTCGGAGTTCTGCCCTGGCGAGTTCTGGGGTCCGCCCAGCTTGCTGGTGAAGAGCCGCGTAAGGCTCCGCCTGGCACGAACCCCGTGGCCGGGCGGGTGGGTCAAATGGTCACCTGTCCAACCCTTGGAAGGGTGGCAAAGAACCATGTTCCTTGCAGCCCCTTTCCAAAAATCAACAGAAAAATCTGGTCTGGCGGGTCAAATGGGCACCTGTCCCAGGGGGTCTTTTTGCCACCTTTGGCGGAACAAAGCTTGATCGACCCCCCATTTAGTAAAGGATTCCTTTTTGACAGGGGAAAAGCCAATTTTCTCACGAAAGGTGGCGGAAAGACACCCCTGACCTGTCCAACCCTTGGAATGGTGGCACAGAACTGTGTTGTTTGCAGCCCCCTTCTAAAAATGAACAGAACCTCAATAAAACTGTTTGACTCCGCAAGCTGGGCCAGACTCGCATGATAGCTTGCAAATTCCATCTAAAAATGCAACCAGTGAACCCCAAAGCATGGCTGCTAACCCTAGGTGGTTTCCCGGGCAGAATAAGCCCAGGTGGCATCCCCAAATCTGCTCCAAACCACCCAAGCAGAGCCTATTTAGGAGAAAACGCTATCCCGTTCGCTTCCGGAAAACCACAAAACAAATGCAGCTCTTCGAAAGGGCATCCACGACAAAACGCAATGCCGTGGCACAGAAATGGTCTGAGGCATGCATGTTGGAACGGCTCAAACGACCAGCTAGTTTTCAAATGAGCTCGCTCCAAGTCAGGCCGGCCGACCCGGCACTGGGAAGTTGAGTAATCAAACGGAACAAAACACTCCAAGGCAGCCCATGGTCCTTGGTAAGGCCTTGTTTGCGCTCCCCCTGAAGGCAAGATCTAAAGGGGATCCTTGGTGGCTTCATGTGAGTCATGGGAACCCCGGATCCAAGTAGATCCTCTGGTTTAGAGGGGGTCCAAATCACTTTTGGAGGTCTTCCTAAAATAGGACGGGCTTATCAATCGGCCCGCCTTCTCCTTCGCTTCTTGATGATGCGCCGGACGATGACATCCACCATCTCAGCAGAGACCATGCCGTCGTTGTCCTTGTCCTCAGTGACCGAATGGGGTTTAACAAACACGCATGCAAAAGATCAAGCAACATACCCAGCCCTTTTGATTTCCTTCTGGGAACATTGAAGATTGAAGATTCAATTTCGCAACCAGCCTACTCATTGGCCATATGAGCATGAGGTTCCAAAGAAAAGCAAAAAAACGCGCGACAAGCAACAAACGCAACAAAACATAACATGAACTAAGAAATGAACAACATAGCAACGAAACAAGCCGACACAACACAACACAAACAAATGGCAAACAAACAATCTGCAACCAACTGACCAACCAACCAACCAACCAATCAAGCAACCAAGCAACCAACCAAGCAAGCAAGCAAACAGACCAAGCAAGCAAACAAACAAAAAAGAAACAACAAAGAAACGCGTCGCAAACAAAACAGCGCAAACATACACACGCACAAGAACAAACACAAACACAACACCAAACAAACAAGGACGCAAACAAGCAAACACTCAAGCAACCAAGCAACCAACCAACCAACCAACCAAGCAAGCAAGCAAGCAAGCAAGCAAGCAAGCAAGCAAGCAACAAAGCAAGCAACAAAGCAAGCAAGCAAGCAAGCAAGCAAGCAAGCAAGCAAGCAAGCAAGCAAGCAAGGAAGGAAGCAAGCAAGCAAGCAAGCAAGCAAGCAAGCAAGCAAGCAAGCAAGCAAGCAACAGACAGACACAGACACAGACACAGACACAGACACAGACACAGACACAGACACAGACACAGACACAGACACAGACACAGACACAGAGACAGAGACAGAGACACAGACAGACACAGACAGACAGACAGACAGAACACCTCTCACAATCAAGAAACAACAGCAACGTAACAGTAAGTGCCTGCAACCCCCTTTGAATTGTCAGAACTGGTCCCTCCCACCAAGTTGGCATACCAACGGCCCTAGCCCACAAATGGCTCCCAAGCAATCAAGCCTTTTACTAGGCTCCCGTGATTTCCTTGAGAAGTTGATCATTCTTGTGGGTTCCCGTCATCCACTTTTTGGAGGCCGCAAGACAATTTCAAAAGACGATTCAAACGACCACGTGGCCCCTGCCCATGACGGTGAATCTTTTCTACCATCATGTGGGATGAATTTGAGGGTGGACCCTTTGGCGGAAAGAAGCATCATTCTGTGGGGATTTATGTCCAACTTTTGAGGTGGTTCTCTACTAAATGTCAAACTTCCCACCCTGCCTGCCCCGTGGGCGCTGCAAGATCAAATTCCACCCGAAAGGCTGACGGATCCAAAAAACGACCGTAGAACCGACGTCAGGCCCAAGGCTCTAAGTACATGAACAACCGGTGGAGTTTCCTCTCCAACAGGTTCTCTACCTGAGCGCTCGCACTTCCGCAAGCGAGGGCCCACTGAACGGGTTGCGTGGGCGTATGTAGGCCCCCGAGTTGTACAGGTGCGACAATTGTTTGACTACGTGTATATATATATATATGTGTGTGTGTGTATACATATATGGTACGCCGTGCATACATTATGCATGCATAGATAAATGTATACACATGTATACATGTGTATATATATATATATGCGTGCATGTGCTATACATACATTACACACACGTATGCATTGACATGTATACCTACATTTATTATACATACATAGACATTTATAATTATAAATATATATGTTTATGTATATATTGCGCATATGAATGGTTGGAATAATGCGGTATCCCCCACAAAACCACCAAAATGGCTACCCTTTCATGGAACCTGACGGGCAATACCCAGAATACCATGTCCCTCTTAAAGAGCCTGGCAAGTTCCATGTCGGTGCAACGGTAACGTATGTTTTTTCATGCATATGGGTGCGTCTTGTTTGACAACATGTTTGTGGTTTCAAAGGGAAACCAAAACCACAAGGGCAAGCACATCCGTGTATGTTGTTGTTTTTTTTTGGGGGGGGGCTTCCCTAAGGAAACAAGAAGACACCCATATATGTTGGATACCCGACTTCCGAGGATAAGGCAAATGGAAATGGGCATATCTCAAACATAGCGGGATCCCCCAAAAAAGAAGAATAGTTATACATGGTCGGTTTGCTTTTGGCTTCCCTTTAACCCCAACCCAAACTTGTGAGGTAGCCCTATAACGCTCCCAAAATGGGTGGCTTTCGCCCTATTCTCCGCCGTCTCCCAATAGTAAAGATCTTAATGGAAACGCGAACAAGAAAAACAGCAGGCTTCAGGGCAACACGTCTCTCTAACTACCAGTCCTTAAACGGCTAAATGCCAAGGCTGGTCAAGACATGGGCATCGTCACTGAACCCAAAGATCACCCCTTAGGGAGTCAAACCTGAGTGAGCATTCCCCCAGCCAGCAAACGAATCAACAATTTGATCACCTGTTAGAACTTCAATCACAAATCCAATGGCTTCCAACATCTCTCTCGAAACTACCATGTCTTTACAGAACTCCTGATAGCTCCCTAGCTCCCTCTTTAAAGGCAAATTTGGATACCCCCAGCTCCTTGGCTAGAGGAACAAGCCATGAAGAGGCAAACGTCCCTGCCACGCGGCATCCTTGCTGCCTTCGTCCGGCCTCAGTCGCAAAATTCGGAGCGGCTTGATCTGCAGTTCTCTTGATCTGTTTGCACAGCGGTTCCAAAACCTGAAAAGAGGGATCCCCAAGTACCTTCATTTTCATTTTTGCATTATGGGTTCTGGCTCCTTTCACCCCCAAATCAGTGGAACCGCTCGCCTTAAGGTAGACCCCCCATGCCACAAGCTGTCACTACAAAGGACTAGTGCTCACCAAGACGACCCGAAAAATGTCACTACAAATGACTAGTGGGTGAATCACACGGAGAATCTCCCCAGCCCCCCCCCCCTTCCCACCCATCTCTAGGGCGGGAATACTGGAGAGATGACCCTTTCGGCATATCGGCCGCCAGGAAACCCCTAGACCTCAGGCTTGGGGCTGGCTCGGTTTTCCCCCCCTTGCGACCATCCCTTCCGCTCGTTGCCACGGCGCTTTCCCTTCGCCGCGTTGAACATGCGAGGCAGCATCGCGGAGACCCGCACCTACAATGCATGGGGCATGGAGCTGCACGCATGTGCATTAAGATAGGCCTACTTAAACACATGCACAAATGCATATGCATGTATGCATGTGGCCGAAAACATGTATTCTGGTGTAATGGTGTGACCCAAAATGGCGCACCGTTTGGTCACAAGAAGACGTTCCTGTAGTATTTGCCGGATATATGTTCCATGACCCCCATACACCCCACGATTGAAGGGGACTTGTGGCTGGGGGCGCATCTCAAAACACAGCAAGTAGTTGCTCGTCTTGGAAGCTCGACAGAAACCTGACACGAATGGTAAAGAAATAGCATTGTAGGGCATGAGCTTTTAGGGAGCTCGTCAACAATTTGCCCCGACACTTGGGGGGGACGCACGCCCTGACGTGTGCAAGTCGACCAGCCGCAATCAAATGCGGAGACACCAAGGACGAACATGTGTAGAGGAAGGCTTCTATTTCGCGGTTCCAGGCGACCGGAAACCCGGGAATTTATCACACCCGTGTTGACCAATGGAACCCATGTTGACAGGGACCTGGGCTCCAGAACCCCTATCCAAGCGTATTGACTCACCTCCCCTCGTTTTTTGTGCCAAAAAGGTCGTCCAAGTGCAACTCGGGAAGTCCTGGGCTGTTCAAAATGGAGCGTTGACCAATCCCATACTCCTATTGAAAACCAACTCGTTTCGATCTTGTGGACTTCCTTTGAATAGCCCACTTGTAGGCTTACACTCACTTGCCCAAAAGACCTGGAAATACAAGGCTTAACCTTTTGGAACGTTGACCATGGACCAAATCAGAGACCCCAGAAGGCCAGATTAGGTCGACTCGCCGGCAAAGCGCGTGCAAGACCACCCCATCCTACCCTACCCCATGAACCCGGAAAACCCAACCCCCCCACCCCCGAATGAACCTGGAAAACCCAACCCCCCCCCACCCCCCCATGAACCCGGAAAACTGCGAAACAGGCAGTTTTCCGTTCCACGCGAACTTGTCTCCAAGAAGCCATCCGGGTGAAGCGGTTGAGGCGCGTGGCCTCCCGGGCTAGGCAGCAAGTGGGTGGAAGTCCGCGTGGACACATTCCTTTTGGGGGAATCCCAATGAGCAAAAGGATTCTTGTTGGGTGCATGCCTCTACCGGAGGTGCGGAAAAGGAACAATCAGCTCGGTGCCAGCACATCCCAACCACTAGTTGCCCAGTCCTTCCCCCCAACCACTCACAAGGTTAAGCACCTTGGCCCGCCAAGTCTCTCAAACCAAAGTTTGCCAATCTGCACCCCAACTGCCCCCAAAACCAAAAAACCACCGGCATCTGCAGCTTTCTGCGCGTCGAGCTTAGAATCATTTGGTACCCACATGTTTTCCTTTTTGGTCTAATTTGTCGTAGGGGCCCGGACCCTCCCAACCAAAAAAAGAAAGGGTGAAAGAAAGTTGGCACGTAGCTGGGGGACCTAGTTGAACTTTTAGTGGGAATGGAAACTACCACTAAACACTGAAAGGCCAAAAGGCTAAAAGGCTAAGTTGAACCGGACGGCCGAGCCTTCGAGGAGCGCACCACCAGGCGAATGGCCTGGCAGTTGGCTGAGGCTCGGTGTGCCCGAGCCGTGGGGTGGGCCGCGTGGTCGGAACCCAACGGCACCCCCCACGCGTTTCTTCTCATCCGCGTGCCTAAAAGTCATCTGGAAAAGCTAAAGAATATGCCCAGGAGTGATGGATTCCCTTTAAAATCAACAGGGGGAAATACAACATAGTCTTGAGCAAGTGGAAGTGTTGGCTGGGGTGGGTGGGGTTTAGGGTTTAGGGGAGGCTGACCCCCTATTTTGACTATGCAGCAGGCAAGCAAAGAGCCGTTCCAAACGGGTCCCGTGATGAAAAAGCGGTGAAGCCAGCTGCTTCCAATAGGATCCAGCAAGCTGCAACTTGAAGCAGGCCCGGGCTTGCGCAGTTGTCGGAGACAAGTTGACGTGGGTTCAGGGCGAGCACCGAAATGGTCCGCAATCAACTCGCAGTAATCCCAACCGGGAGAAGAAAGTGGGACCTGTTCAGTCACCCCCAACGATTCATATCTTGCGTGGATGGGCCCAACCAAAACGAGCGTTCCCTTTCTGCCACGCACCCATAACTCCCAAACTTTCTTCCTTTCAACGCCTCCATGTCCGGTATCCGCGGATTTGCTGTGCTACCAGACTATGGAAATCGGTCGAATTGCAAAGACAAAGCACCTTCAGCATTCTGCAAACTTCACCATACTTCCAAAAGCTGAATTAAGAATTGGATCTCCAGGCGAAGAGGGCCCTTCTCATAGTGAGCTCGTTATACCCCCGAATCGGTCAGCTCCCAATAAATTGGCAGAGCAATAAGCTGGTGTTCCCCCTGGAATCGGCGAGCTCGCCCTCTAGCTCCTGAGCACTGCCTTCGCAACAGGGTCTCGTACGCTTCGGAGTGCGGGGGGCCCAATTCCGTCGACCGAATCCTGCGCCCTTCGGGGCCTTCATGAGGCGAGTGGAGCGGCCCGCCACCAAGGTGTCGGTGTCGAAGAGCTGCTGCACGAACCAGGTCTCTGGCAACAGGGAGATCCTGCAGCCCAGGGAGAGAAAATTGTAGGGCCAAGCTCCGGGTTCTCCACGGGAGAAACAAAACATGCTGGGTGTGCATGTAAATGAGGTTGACCCCATATAGTAATCAACCCCAGTTTTGTTTTTTTAATGCGATGGCGTTCCCCTCCAAAAGTGCTGATTCCCCAACATGTATGTGTATATATAGTATGATTGTTTTTTAGCTTCCCGGAGTTGACAAAAGAACCTCAAACGCTCCCCACGTCCCAGCGAACTTGATCCTGTCCCTGGGATGATGGCCCAGTTCTGGAACAAAGCGCCCCACCCCGAGCTAATGTGCACTCGTTTTGGTGTTCCGTGTTGGTGTCCAAGGCTCAGCGCGACCATGTCCAGCCAGAAGAAGGCTCTGAATGCGTAGCCAGCCTTGAAAAGGCCTCGTGAGCTGACAGTTGCCCTAGGGGTTGATTCCACATTCTTTTCAACCATCGCTCTGTATCGCTCTTTTCAAAAACCAGCTGTTTTACTGGGTTTTTGATGGTTTCCTGAAAAGAAGGCTCCCTGGAAAGAATGGAAATGGAAGGTAGCAGGTAGCCCTAGAGTTGCAGGAAAAAACCACCCGCACCTTTCGGTGGGCCACGTGAGGTCCGTTTTATCAGGGTGCTGAACGACCAGCCTCCAGCTCTACACAGCGTATGCCAAGATCATGGCAGGCGCACGCCCAACTCGACAGTGGGTATAGCTATGTACCCGGTTTCAAGGAAACCAAAAGGAACACCGAAGGCATTTGGGGGGGGGGGGGCGGTATGTACCCGTTTTGTTGCTGGGGTTCAAGGAAACCAAAAGGAACGCCGCTTCGGCATTTTGGGGGGAGGTCCCCCTTCCAAAGAAACACATTGTCTCATTAGGGGTTGCCTTGCGTGCCCACTCTTTTCTGAGCCCATCCCGCGTGTTCACCCTGGGGAAGGTGAATGGAAAGGTTACGTCCCTTCGATTGTTAGGGGCTCCTTCATTTGGGTATGGGTCAAACTAAAACCAGCAGGGGACCGCAGGTTTTAGCCTTTGGTTCCATTTATCAGGGTTCCATTTTGGGTACGCATTTTTGACCCACAGCCATTTTATGGGCTGCGGGTTTCTAGCGCCTGTTTTGGTGTTTTTGGCGCCTGGTGGCTGCTGGCTTTTTGGGCACCAGTGTGGGTGTTTTTGGCGCCTGGTGTTCCCGGGTGTTTTTGGCGCCTGGTGGCCGGTGTTTTCAGTGCCGGGGACGGTGTTTTCGGCACGTTGTAAAGGTGTTTTAGGGGTCTGGGAGTTTTTGGCGCCTGGTCTGGTGTTTTTGGCGCCTGCTCCCGGGGAGGGCCGCTTCGGTGTTTCCGGCGCCTGGTATCCTCCGGGTGTTTTCGGCGCCAGGTAACCGTCTGGGTGTTTTTGGCGCCTGGTACCCTTCGGGTGTTTTCGGCCATCCAGGTGCTTCCGGCACCTGGTCCTGTCTTTCCCTGGCCGCGCTTGGCGGCGGTTTTGTGCACGGGCTGAAAGCAGTGCTGCTAGTGCTTGGTGTGATGTTACCGGCGTCGCCGATGTGGTGCTGGGCAGCCGCGGGCTATTTGGAGTTGGCGCTTAGTTGGTGGAGCGAGGGGGGGGAAGAATTAAGAGCAAAGAGCATTATGAGCTTTGGAAGCTGGCTGTTCGAGTTTAGGCGCGGCTGCTGCGTTGGTGTTGTGGCATTTTGTAAGTGCGCTACTTGGTCACGTGGGAAGGCTGTTTCGGGTTTGTTTGCGATTCGGGTGCTCGGATCCTAGCAGTTTTTGTGTTGTCAGCAGAATATGTTTTCGGTTTGGGCCTCGCTGTCAGTTACAATATTACCTTGTTTGCGCACGCGTGGGGGTTCGTACAGTTGTAAATGCCGCGCAGGAGTAGTACTAAACGGAGAACATAGAGCGGAGCGGGAAACTAAAGATCGCGTAGAGAAACACAGCGCAGACCCCTCTTCAGATCATCGGGCTCTTCCCAAACGTTACCCTTCCCCAACTCAAACCAACCACCCACAACCCATCGCGCGAGCGCCCCCCAAAAAAATTCGCCTCGGCCCCCACAGGGAAGCTGTCAGACCACTCTTCAGATCATCCAAACCCTACCCTTCCCTTCCTGCGTCAAGCCGCCGTGCCCGTGGATTTGAACTTGACTGTGCCTCGAAGAGAGCCCCTCAGTTCTTGGGGCTTCACATGGCTCCAGCCCCTTGCCCTCGGAGTTGCTGCCCACCAGGGTTTGTTACGCGGCTGCGGGCACGTCGTTGTTGCGTTAGCATGGGGGGGGGCTGCCGCCCCCCGCCCTCCCTGCTATATGTAGCCCCCCCCCCCTGCAGGCTGCCCCTGCACCTTGCCTTATTTCACTTGCCCCTGCCTCCAGCTGCCTCTTGTCCCCCCCCCCCCTGCTGTCAGAGTTCCGAGCTTGCGCCTTTAGCCCCTCTGTTCTGCATTGCGTGTCGCGGCTTGCGTGTCACGTCTGCTGAGGACCGTGAACGCGCGCTAGGGTTTGCTACGCGGCTGCTAGCATGGGGGGGCTGCCGCCCCCCCCTAACCCCTTCTCTATTTAGGCTGCCCCTGCATCCCGCCCGCTATTGTCAAAGCTGCTTTGCTACACACGGCCTCATTCTGTGTCCTTCACCCACCCGCCTCCAAGCGAGCCCCTCAGTTCTTGGCTTCACCTGGCCCCAGCCCCTTGCCCTCGCAGGTACGTGGCTCATCAGGCTTGTCTTCAATGGCGTTTGTAGCCCCTTTTGCGCGCTGCGTTTCGTCTCTGCTGAGGCCTGTGGGCTGCTAAGGAACACGCGCTAGGATTTGTTGCGTGGCTGCGGGCACGTCGTTGTTGTGTTAGCATGGGGGGGGCTGCCGCCCCCCCCAACCCCCCCGCTATTTTTAGGCAGCCCCTGTACCCGCCCGCTATTTCCGACGGGCCAAAGCTGCCTTCCTACACACGGCGCGTGTGGCACGGCGAGAATTGCTGCTCCCAAACCCTTGCCCTTCACCCAGCCCTCAGCTTTCGGGTGCCTCGAAGCCAGCCCTCAGTTCTTGGGGCTTCACATAGCCCCAGCTGGCTCATCACTCTTGTCATCAGCAACAGAACAACGTGCGAAGAGAGGAGAGGAAGCATCTCCAGGAAACACAAACTACATGAGTGAAAGCTCTGGCTAGGCTTGCAGCAAAGCAAAGGCACGCTTGCGGCCTTTTTTTGGTCAGTGCCTCTGGTTTCCTTTGTTTAGGCCACCAGCGGAGATCATTGCCTGGGCGAATCAGACAATCAAATTTGACGATGGAAGGATAGCAACAAAACAGCAGCGCACGCCCCCGCCTTCTGGGCTTACCTGTCGTCGTCTTGGCTCTGGCCGAGTTCTTTGCAACAGCTTTGGCCTTCGCCTTGGCAAGCGCGCGGCGCTTCCGCGGTGGCTCGGCGGCTGCCTTCGGGCGGCCGCCTTTCCGCTTCTGAGGGAGCGTCTTCAAGTCCACCGTTGCCGGCTTGTGTGTGAGGTCTAGGCTCGCCACAAAGATGGAATGCTCGCACTGGCCGTGGTAGGCGTAGACCGAACAAGAGCACTGCAAAGAGCTACCCATCACGCAGCACAAGTCCTCAAACATCCGGCCGGCTGCCTCAAGCTGCAACTTCCCTTCTCCAGCTAAAACATTAGCTTGCTTGAGCAAGGTGGTGAGGCGACTGCCTGTCGCGACCATGATGTCGGCCAGTTGCGCTGCCATTTTGCTCGGCAGTGGCAACTGCGCTTCGGAATGAACAAGCACAACCCAGTGCTCGTGTGTGGAAGAGCATGTGCGCACATAGAATGTTGTGTCAGGCGACAGCTCAGCAAAGCGCGCCGCAGGCGTTCGACCGGCACGCTTCAGGGCCTCTCCACAAATGAGGTTGGGGTCGATCTCAGTAGTTCTGAGGTGCAAGGGTGAGTCGGCGTGCCACTCGTACCAGGAAGCCCAAGATTCGGTGTAGAGGCGCTGCATGACTCCCAGGACATGAGACACATCGCCCTTGCCACCAAGTTTTTGGAGCTGGGTTTGCCAAGCAGCGTGTACCGCCTCCGCTGGCTGACTGCCGCCGCCCGTGCCAGGGAAGCATCCATCACGGCCGCACCAGAAGGATGCAAAAATGAGTTGGTCTGCATCAGCGGGAGCGCGGCAAAGAGCAGGAGGAAGAGGCCTTTCGTAGGAACGCAGCCAGTCAGCGACGATGCCTTCGCCAGACTCGCGCAAGGTGAAAAGCAGGCTCTTCCACAGATGAGAAAAGATGGACAGTGTTGGCACGAGCCGGAGCAAGGCCAAAGCATCCGCTGTCCATTTCAGATAAGTCTTCACCCACTTGCCTTTCTTTTGCTCCAAGGTCTTGCACTTGCTTGCAAGTGTCGTGTGCTTCTTTTGCGAGAAGTGAAAGAAATCGTCACAAGCTCGAGACGCAGGCCAGCAAGAGCGCCTGGCCGTCTCGATGGCTTTGTGGAAGTCCTAAGTGGCCGAAATGAGGGATCGGACAGGAACGAAAACACGGTTTGGAACATACACCAACGCAACACGCCAAGGCGCCTTGTGGACCTGCAGCGCCACGTCCGTCAACGGTGGGCGGTTTGAGCCGCTCTCCATCCAATGCTTGTCGAAGGCTCGGAACAACCTTTCGTAATTGGCTTCTGTCTCGTCATGGAACACTGCCTGCATGATGGGGACGGCGTGGGACGTGTAAGCCCGGCCTTGGACCCGGCAACCATCCCCGTGGCGAATGAGTGTGGTTGGCCGCAGCTTGTCTTTCACGAGCAGGCTGAGAGTGGCTACACCCATGCCGTGGTTGGCCACCTTCATTTTTGTGTCCACAGCAAGCGCCAACTGGTCATTGACAGCATAGCGGTCCAACATGCGCCGCATGGCTGGCGCTTGGAAAAGGACACAGACCTGTGCAAG